GTAGAATTCAGGTATTCAATAGCTAATTTCAAGTGATGGCTCTAGAGCTTTAGTCTGTTTTGTTTCTTTAAAAGTTGCATCTTCTTTAGTGTTTCGATTTGGCCTGATTTGGGCTTTAGTCTGTTTTGTTTCTTTAAGTTGCATCTTCTTTAGTGTTTTCGATTTGGCCTGATTTGGGTAGCAAATAAGTGATAGGTCTTAAGTTTTTTGATTCTGTTGGTTTCTTAAGATTGAAGAATAGTCTGTTTCGAGAGTATATGGCGGTATTTTTTTTCTCAGCTACTGAAGTGTATTGATTTCGTTTTTTTGTGTTCTTAAGATTTTTTGTTCAAGAGAGAATCTTAGATGTGCTGGCTATGAGTTATGACAGATGCTTTTCTAATTTTAAGACTATAAATGGATGGTCGTGAAGGCCAATTGAAAAAAATAAGAAGATTCTCACAGCTTGTCTCAATAATTCATTGCATCTCCTGATCATTTGTCATTCCTTGACCTTGTCCACCTTTATACTTTCTTAAAGTCAAACCCATTAAAATTTTGACGAAGGGAATTCTATGATATACTTATGTAGTTGAATGCAAAATGATGCGCTATAATTGTTGATGGTTAATAATGTAACTAGGATGGTTTTAACAACTGGAGAAGATATATGTTCTTAACTTTTGATTGTTGAAACATTAGCAATCTTGTTTATAAATCTGGGGAATGCTTCAATTCTTGAGACCTAACTGGTAGTTACTGTGAATGTATGATGGATACACAGGTTGAAGGAAAGACAATTAAGGCCCAGATCTGGGACACTGCAGGTCAGGAGCGGTACAGGGCGATCACAAGCGCTTATTACAGAGGCGCAGTGGGTGCACTTCTTGTCTACGACATCACCAAGAGACAGACCTTTGACAATGTCTTAAGGTGGCTGCGCGAGCTGAGAGACCATGCAGATTCCAACATTGTGATCATGATGGCTGGGAACAAATCAGATCTGAACCACTTGAGATCCGTTGCTGAGGAAGATGGTCAGAGTTTGGCTGAGAAGGAAGGTCTCTCTTTCCTGGAGACATCTGCTCTTGAAGCAACAAACGTCGAGAAAGCGTTTCAGACCATCTTAGGAGAGATCTACCATATCATAAGCAAAAAGGCACTGGCTGCACAAGAAGCAGCAGCAGCTAATTCCGCAATTCCTGGGCAAGGAACTACGATTAACGTTGATGACACATCTGGAGGCGCGAAAAGAGCATGTTGCTCTTCCTAAACGAAAGGTAAACTGTTTATTTCGTTTGTTCCTTCTTCAAAGATTCAAACTTTTGTCTTCACTGGCTTCTCTTCTTTACGAGTTTTGGCTGATGAAACGTAACTATGCAAGACTATGTAGAATACTCTGTTTTTATGCTCTTTGGTTGGGGTTTGTGTTCAGTTTAAAGCTTGTTAGTAGTATATTTAGAATCTTCTGGTGCTTGCTTTCTCTTCTTCTTGCCGTTGGCGTGTTTCTCTTCATTTCTGGTTTATAAAGTATTTTTACATCTCCGGTTTATTCCGGTTGGTCTTGGCTTGGTTTAATCAAATCATTGATTCATCTCTTATGTTACACTGAGAGGCTTCTACCAATATAGATTTTTCAGTTGTCTTAATTAATCAGGTTTCTATCATCATTTTATATTAGAAAAATTATGATTTCTTTCTGAACATTAATTTTAGTATTACCAAAGAGAATTGTTGAGAAACTAATTTTTCTTCTTCAATTAACACAATTTAAAATGCAATTGAACTGCTTTATTATCAAATACTAATAGAATTGTACCCCAATTTAGTTCAGATGAATAAACAGTGGCCATGATTTCTAGTTGTTTTGAACCGACCAAATTAAAAGATTTTTGAAAGAATGGTATTATTTTCAAGTAAAATAGAGAAAGTGACGACGATACATGGAGACGGAGACAGAGACAAGAAGTGATGGAGAAACCAAGAAAAAAACGTCATTCCCGACAAAAAAGAAGAAGCAAAACTAACCAATTGCATGCATGAAAGTATATCATGAAATCATGGAAATTTACATTGTCAACGTGTGAGTTTTTTTTTTTTATTTTGGACACAAACCAAAAGGCTTTCAGGTCTAAATTATTTTTTACTATAATTTCTTATTGGTTCATAGATTTATAAAGAATTGGAAATCCAAACAAAAATTATTTGTTATTCAATCATTGATTTTAAAATCTTAACTAAAATCATGTGTTATTGATTCTATGATTTATAAATACTACTTAAAATCCTATATTATTCGTTTCGTCATTTGTTTTTGGATTTGAGAATCCAAATTATGTTTTAAATGGATTTGAATGGATTTGAAAGAGAAAAATAGAAGGATTCAAATTCATGTGTAAACACATGTTATTTTAAAATCCATATGTCTTGATTTCATAATTAATAAAGATTTTCAAATCCTATATGAATTTACAATTCAATAAACCAATAACACCCCCTTAAGTTCCAAAATTCTTGGTGATTTCTAATGTGCAAAATAACATAAAAATTAATATATATATATATATATATATATATATTTTGTTATAAAATTAAATTAATAAAAATCAATTTGAGAAAATATATGTTCAAACATATTGGGTTGAGATACACAGGGATCATTTGTACTCGTTTGGTTTTTCATTCTTCCTAGTTTTAGTTTTGGTTGTAGTTCGCGAGGGTTGAATCGATAGTTGTGGCTCTATTTTGGGATTAAAATTTAGATATTTCCTCTTCCTCTCTATTAGGTCCTTTTGCAGGGTTTTTTTCGTGTTATATGTATGTTTCTATAGTTGTAGTCTCTTTTCTTATTTGCTTAATCCAATTAGAATCGATTTGATTTAGGGTTTACATGTGTGTTTGGGATTTCAAACCACCAATTGAGAAGTTTATGTGGAGAGGAATACATATCTTTGCTAGGATACATGAAGGTAGAATCGTCATTTGTAAAGCAAAAAATACTTATTTATGTAATCACTTTGTGAATGTGCCATATTGTAAAATTTTGTTATTTTTTTTTTGGTTTCCAGACAATTAATTCTTAACAAAATATAAATTAAATAAGTAAATGACTTGTATCTAGTCCAAACTTAAAATACTCACATACCCATAGTTTAGAATTTAGATCACATTTACAACAAAATATTATAATAGATATATTAAAATAGAATAATGGGAGATAACACTTTTTTTTTAAAAAAAAGTTAAAGACTCAATGCATAGTTAAAAGTAAAAATGAATTTGGTATCTTGTAAATACAATCTAATTTTATCGCCTGTTTTGAGATTTCTTGCTTCTCTGATCTCAGTCCACCCAGAACACATATAATATCTACGACTGTCTTTTTTTATTGTTACCGAGTAACTCTTGTTGTTGTCTAAAAGTTCCACTTGAAAACCACTTGGAGGCATCGCAAAATTTTCTATAGTACTTAATATCTTCTCTATCTGCTTTTTTGGTAAATATAACTTAGCTCCGTGGCAAAGATCGGAGTCTGTTAGAACTTTCTCTAACATTTTATTCGGATCCATATCAAGGCAAATCACTATTTTATTAAACTCTTAACAAATTTAGGAATATAAAAAAAAGGTTTTTAGAAAATAAAATGTTTGAAGACTAGAGATCTACCCATATGTTTATATATAGTTCTCGGTCGGTCAAAGCAGTGTGCTTTTGTCTTCAAACCCTTTAACAAAAAAAGGTGCTTTGTCTTCATCTTTTAAATAAAGTCAATTATATGGATATATTTCTCTATTTTTTTGTAGTAGTATATGAATATATTTTCTAAGTTAGCATATGTTTTTGTTCAAAAAAAAAAGTTATATGTTATGTTTCTAAAATTTCACACCTGTCACCAACTGTGTAGATTAAATTGATTATAACGATCTTACTTCTTAGCCATTTAAAAAAAAGTATTCTAAAACATAATAAAATCTATTACAATATTTAGAAAAATAAATTCATTTAATACTATCAGATTGTATTATTTCAAAAAATTTATAAAAATTGCATACTTGACAGCTATGATTTTGGATAGTTACTTTTTTACAATAACTCTTATTATTTATTTTTTCTTGAAGTTTATAATATCAACAAGAAATTTAGTAATTAATGTATAATGAGATTTTCTTTATGGATTTTTTCATTGAAACTTACAAGTCGACCATGACACTATCCCAATGTTGTTTGCTAATATTATTTGTATAAGACTAAATAAAAATTTGCGCTATGCCGCAAGGTATTTTTTTGTAAATTAGTATTGTGTTAATATAATTATAAGTATGATTGGTAAAAATTTGAACTGATTATAGGATTTGTTATTTTACCTTTATTCAAATTTTAGTAGTTTTTATTTTATTAAGTTATTATATATGCAAATATTAATAAATGCATGTTATACATTATCTTTGTAAAACCACTGTATCGTACCGCACTTTATGAAGATATGCGTTTTATAAACTGTATATATTTTCGTTACTATTAGAACCGTACCGTACTTTATAAAACACATGTCTCTATTGAGAACTTATTACTTAACTTTTAATAAATATACACATTGATGGAGGTATAGACTGAAAAAGATAGAAGCTCTAATTGGTAACATCGTATATACACTAATGACATAAGTCGTATAATGAAAATTGCATAATCAAAATTTGTAGAATAAAATTCGTAGAATAAAATATTAATAATAAAAAAAGCAACTATATATTTATTTATCTGCATAATAAGTTTTTGTTTGTATTTTCTTAGGTTAAAATGCAAATCATGCATATTGGTTATTACCTTATTATCATGTAAATTTTTTTGACAGATTAAAATCTTGCATAATCGTATTAGAAAACGCTATTATACCGTTATGTGTGTTATCAATAATAGCGGTATAAATTAAAGTCGTTATTATAAATAATTTTACAAAAAAAAAATGAATGTCGTTTGTGCTAATAATAAATTAATAACAACAAAAATCGACGTCGATAAAAAAAAGAAAAAATAACGATAAGAAAAGAAGCAATAGCATTTTTGGTTCTCTGTCCAATGGAGAAGAAAACCCAGAGATTGCCAAATCATCTTCCGTAAAAGCACCCATCAGAGAAATTACTTGTCAAGAGAAACAAATCATAAATTTGGAAGAGAAATTTTACAAAGGCGACAACTTTTTCGTTTCAGATTTTGAAATTTTATATTTTGATTTTTTTTTCTTTTATTGGCGATCGAATTCTATCCGAAAGATTGAAACTTGGAAGGTGGGTAAGTGAGGGAATGGCGCAACAAGGGCAGGGAAGCATGGACCCTGCTGTTCTCGACGACATCATTCGACGTTTACTTGATTACAGAAACCCTAAAGCTGGGACCAAACAAGCTATGCTCAACGATTCTGAGATCCGACAGCTTTGTTTTGTCTCCAGAGAGATATTTCTTCAACAGCCTTGTCTTCTTGAGCTCGCTGCCCCTGTTAAGATCTGCGGTATTTAACTTCTGTCTCGATATATCAGCTTTTTTTTTCTCTGTTTGTTCGCTTTGGGATCTGAGAATTTTCATGATTGTGTAGTATCATCTTGCCTTCTCTTATTTAGTTTTTAATGAAAAAGTTTGCATTTTTCTTGGAGGAGATGAGTTTAGCTTTGTGGGAATAGGAACCAATAGAATTGAAGTTATGTGGGAATGTAGAATAGAGAAGAGAGAGAGAGATGTAGGTTGATTTTGGTTCCTGTCGATTCATAGGTTGATTGTAACATTTGTCTCTAGGCAATTGATAGTCTCGGAATCTTGGAGGTTTGCGTGGTTTTGTGAGAGAAAGCAAGTTCATTTTTGATATTTCTCGACAAAAACGCATTGCTTCGATATTAGCAAATTCTCTTGCTGCTATCTTCGTTTATCTTCAACTGAAATATCTTTTGTGATGATTCCGGTGAATTCCTAGGTTGATGTGTAGCTTTTTTCTTTGTATCGTTTCAGGTGATATTCATGGTCAATACTCAGATTTATTGAGGCTGTTCGAGTATGGAGGTTTCCCTCCTGCAGCAAACTACTTATTCTTAGGAGATTATGTTGACCGTGGGAAGCAGAGTTTGGAGACTATTTGTCTTCTGCTAGCTTACAAGATCAAATACCCTGAAAACTTTTTTCTTTTAAGAGGAAACCATGAGTGTGCATCTATTAACAGAATCTACGGATTCTATGACGAATGTAAACGAAGGTTCAATGTGAAGCTCTGGAAAGTATTTACAGACACTTTTAACTGTCTCCCTGTGGCTGCTGTCATAGACGAAAAGATCCTTTGTATGCATGGTGGACTATCTCCTGATTTGATCAATGTGGAACAGATTAAGAACATAGAGCGTCCAATTGATGTTCCAGACTCTGGTTTGCTCTGTGACCTTCTTTGGTCTGATCCTAGTAAAGACATCAAAGGCTGGGGGATGAATGATCGTGGTGTCTCCTACACTTTTGGCGCTGACAAAGTTGCTGAGTTTCTAATAAAAAATGATATGGATTTAGTCTGTCGTGCCCACCAGGTTAGTACATTGTTTAAATGTTTCCTCTAGTTTTTTTTTTTTTGGTTTGGGAAATCGAATCTGTGCTTAAGAACCTATAATGTTCCCACAGGTTGTGGAGGATGGGTATGAGTTCTTTGCTGATAGACAGCTTGTGACTATGTTTTCTGCTCCAAACTACTGTGGTGAATTTGACAATGCGGGTGCATTAATGAGTGTGGACGAAAGTTTAATGTGCTCTTTCCAAATTCTTAAGCCTGTGGATCGCAGGTCGCGGTTCTTTTGAATAGAAAGAGGTATAGATTTGAGTATTTCTCAAAACCGTTGAACTTCCTCTTTGTTTCAGAATCTCAGCTAGCTATATCAGTTTCATCTGCTATATTGTAGTTAAAGTTCTTGCATCTCATAATAAGTCCATGACTAGCTTTCATCGAATCTCATGTTTCTTAACTTTGGATTATGATAGCGGCTCATTTGCTGTACAGCGAGTTTTTTAAGTTTTGCGTAGCAGTTTCCATGTTTCATTTTTCTTGAGCTTTCTGTCTTTGAAAGCGTCATTACTCGTCTGAAAAGCTCTTAAAAGTCCACAAATTTATTAACTTACAGAGGAATTCTTTCATATGCCTTTGCAGTCCTTCTTAACCCTGATTCAAATCTTACGGAAAGATAGGAAGGAGAAAAGGCGAAAACGGATGTTGGTGGCGGATAATTCTGAACGTCCAAGAGTAGTCTCCAAAGTTGCAAAGGCAACAACATATATATTTACATGGTTATCATCTCTGCCACTTCTTTTAAATGTGATCTTGTTTCTTCAACCCAATTTTTGCTCTGTTTTCTTCTTCTCTGTTCTTTCACATCTCAGAGATACAAATCCTCTAAGTGTATATATACTTTATATGTATGTATCAGAATCACACTGCTTGACGCTTCAGTTCATGATTCTTATTAAAACAGAGGGTTCTCTAGTAACTAATTAGCAGTATTTGTAATTGTAGCTGTGGTTTTCTCTAACGGCTCTGTTTTGTTTTTATCTGCCCCATTTTAAACAATGATGCTGAAGCAATATTATTAAACCACAAATCACCAACCAACAACATTCTCTAGAGATATCTAGGGAATCCAAAATAGTCTGAATAACAACGAAGAGTACAAAAGTAAACATCAACTTTGGGCCTGGAAAATTTAAGAATGAAAGGGAAGAAGCATCGAGAGCGACACTTGAAGCAATGAGGTCTACAAATAGAAATGTTGGCTACCACTACTCCATATGAGCTTTCTCTTGAAGCTATGTGTCCTGGCATATGATACGAGAAGTCTCCTACAACACACGAGACATGCAAATTGACTCCACAATCATCGCATGTATAGGACCACTCCTTTGGATCTAGTTTTGTTTCACATACATTGCACCAATATGATGCATCTACATTGTCTTCACCGTATGATAGGATGAGTGGATGATCGTCGTACCTATGCTTCATAACCTTTGTCGGCAGAAATGCACACTTGAAGTCCATAGTAAAGGGACATTCATCACAACACAACATATGGCAAGATTGGTGTTCACCATTTGCATCTGGACTCCTATGTCTTTCGTATTTGTAATATAAAGGATGCGGATGGCTTTTGTGGAAAAAGGGTTCAGAAAATGAACCACACCAAACATCTAGAGTTAGATAAGTAGATGTGTACCTGAAACCAGTGAAATACTTGTTGCATATAGTACATTGATTTTGTTGGCGAGGTGAGTCTCTGCTACTGTCCGTCTCTAGTGTGAATGGTATGTTGTTCGAGACATGCCGTTTCTTTCGAGACATGTTAGCGCATGTTTCGTGTAAAACGAAATCACATTGCTCGCAGCTATAATATGGATTATTGTAGATTTGAAAGACGCATGCTTCACATAGTCTGTCTTCTTGGAGAATGCTACCATCTTTATTGAGTTTCAAGTTATGACCATGGCTAAAATGCTTTATCGTGTAATCATCAATCACTATAAAAGGCGCAATATCTTCTATATCTTCGGGTGTCCCTTCCAGTTCTATCTTGTCCCATACGTCGTACCTCGTTGCACATCTTGAATGGACAGCATAACTAGGACATTTTGAGCAAAAATAAGCGCCATAGAACCCATCAACCTTTTTACGACAAACCCCACATGTCCAGCTCCCATGTCCAAGATAACTAGTGTAAGAGATTCGATGATCATGATGGTTGATGTTGATGACCCGTGGTAAATCAATACAATCTCTATGAATCATGAAATTGCACTGAAGACAAAAATAAGGGCTTCGGTCCCCTTGCGTTCCACAAGCATTGCAAGTAAAATCGACAACTCTTGGAACAAGGTGAAGTGTATGCTCATGGGTTTTCCGGCTTACAACACCAAGTGGTGGTGGGTTTCTCGCACACCTCTTGCAAATACTGAAGTTACAAACGTCACAGTGGTGAAGTTGTTCTTCAAACTCTTTCCCGCAAAGAAGGCATTTCTGTTCGGCGTAACCAGGTGTTCCACATGTGAGGAACTTGAGCGGATGTTTGGGATGACAAGTGTGGTATGCTTCCGGAAAAAGCTTGACACGTTCCTTATGAAATAGAAAATCGCATTGATGACAATGATAGATTTGCCTACTGTTGAAAAATGACGCCTCGCATACCTTACAATTGCTCTTAAGCAAAGTTAACTCAACCTCTCTTCGATTGGACAATATAAGTGGATGTTCGTGCACCATCAAATCTTCAGGAGCTTCCGGTTGGGGTGGGGGTGGTTGCCTTGCACAGCTCAAATCTAACTTGAAGTCACAACTTGAACAAGAATAACCAACTCTCGGTGAATCTCCACACAAAGAGCAATCAAATGGTTTGTAAGCCAAGAAAAGTTTGAGAGGATGATTGGGGTGGGAATGGTGGTTTATCTCCGCTGCGGACTCGGCACACTCTTTGTGGAACACAGAATCACAACCTAACTCATTGCAAATGTAGCCTCCATAAATGTAACCATTAGAATCAGACCAACACCCTGTACAAAGGCCATGATGGAAGCGAGTAAAAGGTATCAAAGGATGGTTGTGAACTGGTAGCTTCACTTCCGAACCAAGTCCTAACCCTCTTCTTGTGGTTAACGGGAGTCTGGCTAGTTGTTCTAAAGTATATTTTTTTTTTTGTTCTCAAAAGATGTACTACTATTAAGACCACCATTAACGGGGGTTATAGTGTTCTTAAGAAAATCTTAGCTCAAAATTTAATGAAAAACCATGCTTAAGTAAGTATAAACTAAAGTCCCAAAAAGATAATATATTTAAATCACCCCACACTAGCGATGCTTTTAAAGTTCGATTCATTGCATACTCTCTCTATATTGTCGTCATTTAAATATTCAGATCACCATGCATTACGGAATCAACACTTTAAATTGAAATTATCATGGTTGTTTAAATTATCTTCCACTTTAATTAATAGATCCATTGTTAATAATCAACATATAAAATTGAGTCTGACCGTTAATATATAAACAGAGAAATATTAGAAAATGAAACTTATAATAAAGTATTATAGAGAGCCATTATCACTTTGAAAACTTTTTATCAAGAGTATATGGTGTCGAATGGTTACGCTATACTAGGCAAAACGAATGGAACGTATACACATAGTAATGCAATTGCAAATATACATATTAATTAGGCTATACTAATTTTTGCTTTGTTTTTTTTTTTTTTTTTTTTTTGATTACTCAGGGGAATCCCAGACCTATGGGGGAGGTGCAGCCCACAGATAGACTCTCTCTCCGGGTATGCAAATGGGCCGAAAGCAAAGACCCATATACATGTGGCCAAGTGGAGATCTAGCAATTGCGCGCTTGCGGGGAATCGATCTCTGGCCTAGACCAACAGGGCAACTCCTCCACAAGTGGCAACCACTAGACCAAGAACACTTGGTTAAAAAATTTAAAAGAAAAAAAAAAGTTTGGCTCTGTTTGATCTTCTCCTTCTCTGTTCTCTCACATGTCAGAGTAGATACAAATCCTCTAGTGTATATAAGAGCAACCACAGTGATTAGTTTCTAAGTAAGGTTTCTATGTATTTTTTATTAATAAATTTTGATAGTTTTGTAGTTTAGAGATTTTGTAGAGTTTTTGAAAAATTTATGGTCCATTGGTGGAATCCTTAAATGGGTTTCTAAAAAATAAAATAAATTTTTAAAAAAATTTTGTTAATATTTTTATTTGAACAAACATGATTATTATTAGGAATTATAAAATTTTAAACATATATGATATAAAAAGAAGAAGAAAAAAAACATAATAAAAAAGCGGAAAAAATAACGATTATATTTTAAGATTGATTCTGGTAATAATGTTGCCATACATGTTCAACTAAATCAGCTTTCAATTCTTCATGTTTAATCCGATCACGAACTCGGGCTCTAGTGGCCATCATATTACCGAGATTTGAAGGTATATCTCTAGCATAGGCGAAATCCAGTTGTGAAGAGATGACTGATTCTGATGTACGAATTCAGATACATCAAACTGAGTGTATCCATCTCGTTCGTCCTCTACTATCATATTGTGAAGTATTATACATGCTCGCATAATATTTCCAATTTTCACCTTATCATGAAAAAGAGCTGGATGTTTGACAATGGCAAACCGAGCTTGCAAAACTCCGAAAGCACGCTCAACATCTTTACGATAAGCTTCTTGAGTTGTAGCAAATAAAGAAGCTTTATCACCTTGTGGAATTGAAATTGATGGGATAAATGTAGCCCATCTAGGATAAATTCCATCTGTGAGGTAGTAAACCAAATTATAGTCTTTCCCGTTGACTACGTATTTCACTTTCGGAGCTCGACCTTGTAATATATCATCAAAAACTGGTGAGCGATCAAGAATATTGATATCGTTTAAGGTACCTGGAGGTCCAAAAAATGCGTGCCATATCCAGAGATCTTGGGAAGCAACGGCCTCTAAAACGATTGTTGGTTTTCCTGATCCACGTGTATATTGTCCTTTCCAAGCGGTGGGACAATTTTTCCACTCCCAATGCATACAGTCGATGCTTCCTATCATCCCGGAAAATCTACGTTGCTCTCCAATATGGAGTAGTCGTATAAGATCATCTCGTGTGGGTCTTCTTAGATACTCATCCCCGAACAAATTTATGATTCCTTCTGCAAAATGTTCCAAACATAACAACGACGTGTTTTCACCAATTCGGAGGTATTCATCAACCGCATCAGCCGCAATACCATATGCGAGCATACGAATTGCTGCTGTAGACTTCTGTAGTGCCGAAAAACCGAATCTTCCGGTAGCATCTCTTCTTTGTTTAAAGTATGGGACTTCATTGGACAATCTCTCAACAATACGCATGAACAACGGTTTGTTCATTCTAAACCGGCGTCGGAATATATGGGGAGGATATGTTGGATTTTCTGTAAAATAGTCGTTCACTAATTGGATGTGACCTTCTTCACGATTTCTTTCGATATATGCTCTTTTCTTCCTTGGCGGGACTCGTTGACGATTACCATAACTCTCTAATGCTTGATCAATACATTGATCAAACTTATCATCGAGATTATAGTTTGAAGAAGAACCTGCCATTTTAGCAAAATTATAGAAATAGAAAGAAGAGAAGAGTGTTTATTATTGTGATAAAGAGAGTTGATAGAAATATTGAAGTAGTGTATAATTGTGTAGAAAGAGTAGTGTTCAACGGATTATATATAGAACAATAAAGGAGTAGTGTTCGGATTCTTATTATGTGGTGTACATTCATTCATACAAAATAAAGGAGTAGTGAATGGTACAAATGAACAAACACATAAATATCTGAAATTTTTATGTTAATATAGAAACAACAATAAGACTTCACTAAGAATCAAGCAAACATATAGAAAACTAAGAACAAGCTAATAACAACATATGCAGCTCAAGCTTAGTACACGAACTAAAAATTTCCAGAATTCGTAATTCAATACACATACCAATGCAATCAGATCATAATCTCTTTCAAAATTCAATTTAAAAGCTCATAAAATCAAATCGATTCGAAGAAGAAGAGATACGATTTTGAATAATCCTATCAAACGAAAGATTGATAAAAACGGGACGCAATCTGTTTTGATAAGAGGACGAAAGAAAGAAGGAACAAAAGTCAAAAATATCTCTCCTCCACACCTCTCTCTTTCTCTCTATTGATTCTCTCTTTCTCAGTCCGACGATACCAAAAGGTAATTCAAAGGAATTTTAGGGTTTACCGTTGATTTCTTCGATTCGATTTTGGAACGTGTTTTGAGGATTCTTCTATCTCTGGGTTTTCGCTTATTGAATTCGAGCTGTAACTAGCTTTTGGGTTCCAGCTCGATCATCATCCCGTGGTTGAATCAGTCGTTTAGGTTGATGATCTGCCATGATTTCATGAACGAATCACTAGATCGGCGTCGACAATTCCAATCGACTTTGGAGTCTCTGTCGGTGAACACGAAGAAACGAGAGAGAAAAAAAAAAAATTATAACGCGTCTGTGTTTTTTTTTTTGGTTTAGTCAAAACATTTACCCAATAAAATGAAGCCACGTATGAGTTTCTATTGGGTCGCGAAAAACCCAATTTTAGGAACGATCCTAAATGGATTGTTCTGTTTTTCTTTCATCTGGGCCCATTTTATCTTAAAAACTCAACATAGAAACCCACTAAAAACCCTTGCTGGACTTGGTCTACCTATATATGTATGTATCAGAATCACAGTACAAGACGCTTATGTTCATGGATTCTTAGTAAACAGAGGGTTCTTTAAACACTAATTAGCAACAGTCGTAGATGGTTTTTTTTTAAGGGCTTTGTCCTAATGGAGAACCTGCAGGAGAGACAACGAGAAGTTCACCAAGCTGGTTTCTTTGTTCCATCTAAAATCTTTCAGACTTTGATGATGAATGGTCCTGATTCTTCTCCGGTTTAAGTGTGTTCTTCCAGTATTTAGGGTTTCAACCAAATGTGGTGAATAAGATATGTGTTTATATACTATTTTAGCGTAGCCTTTTTTGTGCTATCGGGGGTTGCTTGTTATGCAAGCAAGCAGCGTTTTTCTCTTATGTTGTCTCCAAACTCACCACCAAAGCAGCTTCATCATAGCAACAGACCGATGGTTTTGCCGTTTTCAAGATCAAACTTGTAGAAGGATATTATAATTTAATAAAGGCCAAAAATAACAGCTTCTCAGTTCTCACTAACATAGGATCCGCACAAGTGGAAGATAATTCAAATAGTATACATTTTAATATAAAGATTAGAGTAGTGGTTGGACAGAGTACCGTATAATTAGGATCCAATGATTTAATAAAAGTATATACTAAGTATTGTTAATGAATTAAACTCGGAAAGTATCGAGGACATGGTAAGACTTAGCTGTCTCTCAGTTGTCATCGGTAGAAAAATCTTTTTCAAGTGGCCTAGTGATAATTTATAATATATGGATATATCTATTAACTATTTTCCTTTAGTTATGAATGTGAATTGTGAAAGCAAAAAATCCATTTTCTTTGATAACCACTAGAGAAGAGAGATTGGGGTTTGATTTGGAAGTGAATCCAGCATGGAAAAAGTGGTGCTACGGGTTCATGACCATCCTCTGTTACCCTTTGATCGCTTTTATTACGACCGTTGTGATGGTTGCTCGCTTAAAGGTTACTTTTATGGAGGCTACCGTTGCAATGAGTTGGCATGTTATGCGGTGTTCCATAAGGAGTGCGCTGAGTCCAAACCCGAGATCAGCCACCATGCCCATCCCAAGCATCTACTTAAGCTTGGCCAAAGACGTGGTCGTTGTCATTTGTGTGAACGGCCGGTGGGAGTTGGTTATTTTTGTTCAATATGTGACTTTGGTATGCATTTGGTTTGTGCAAAGATCCCACCACTCTCACTTCAGCCACAACTCTCTACTATTGAGAATTACAAGGTGCATGAACATCCTCTTTCACCTTCCCAAACAGCATGGCTTGCAGAACCTGGCAATTGCAAAGGGTGTAACTACATTATCGGCATTGGAGATAAAGCTCCTTATTATGAATGTCATCGGTGTAATCTCTACATTCATTCGACTTGCCTTGAGCTCTTTTTCACCACAGATGCACACCACAACTCTCATCTCAAACACCCTCTCAAATATATCAAAAGTGGGCCCCCGAGTTACGCCGACCATAGATGCCTTCTTTGCGGAAGACAGTTTCAAGATCAACTTGAAGAGTTACAACTACACCAAAAATATGAGCTTTATCATTGTGAAGTTTGTAACTTCAGCATATGTATGTCTTGTCATGGAAACCCACCACCACTTGTTGTTGTTACTCCCAAGACCCACGAGCATCAACTTCATCTCATTCCAAGACTTCTTGATTTTACTTGCAATGCTTGTGGGACCCGAGGTGACCGAAGCCCGTATTTCTGTCTTCAATGCAATTTCATGATTCATCGAGATTGTATCGACTTACCCCGCATCATAAACATCAACCGCCATGATCATCGCATCTCTTACATTTCTCATCTCGGACATGGGAACTGGAAATGCGGAGTTTGTCGTAAAACAGTGGATGGGTTCTACGGGGCTTATTCTTGCTCGAAATGTTCTAGTTATGTTGTTCATTCATTATGTGCAACTAGAAAAGATGTATGGGACATGGTAGAACTAGAAGGAACACCCGAAGAAGAAGAAATTGCGCCATTCGAGGTGATTGACGAGAACACAATAAAGCACATGAGTCATGATCATGATTTAATACTCAACAAGGATGGTATGATTCTCCACGAAAGCAAGCTTTGTAAAGCATGCGTCTCCCAAATCAATACTGATCCGTTCTATAGATGTGAGCACGCAATGCGGTTTCATTTTACATCAAACATGTGCTAATATGCCTCGGAAGAAAAGGCATGTTTTGTGCAACATACCCTTCTCTCTACAAACAGACGATAGCAAGGACTCTTCACGCCAAAGAAAACACTGTAGTCTTTGTCTCCAACATTTCACTGGTTTTTCGTATAATTTGCATATTGCGTATAATTCGCGTACTGAAGTTATGGATGTACGATGTGGTTCGATATTTGAACCATTTGTTCATGAAAGTCATCCACATCCTTTATACTACAAGTTCTACACCTTTTTGGCGGATGCGAAGTCGAAGTGCGACGTATGTCACATAACAAGAAGGCATTTGTTATGTTGTGAAGAGTGTGAATTTAGGTTGGATTTTAGGTGCGCAACTTTACCAAAGAAAGTGATGAAGCAAAGGTACGATGATCATCCTCTTTTCTTGTCTTATGGTGAAAATAATGTGGATGGTGAATACTGGTGTGACGTATGTGAAAAAAGGGTAGATGCAAAGACATGGTTCTATACATGCGATGCTTGTGGGGTCACTTTGCATGTTTCTTGCGTTGTGGGAGACTTCTCATATCATATGCCAGGACCATTGTCAGCGGAAGTAAACTCATACAAAATGGTACCGGTAGTAGGCTCATACAAAGTGGTACCGAACACTTCGACTTATAGATCATTTTGCTCCAGGTGTCACACTAGATGCAAACTCCCTTGCATTCTTGAAGCCTCCGAGGATGGTGTTGATGTTTACTTTTGTTCTAATGATTGTTATAAAAATCCTTGGGAATCATCGTATTATTAGTACTGCATTTGGGTATTTCTTTCTTAATCAATTGCAGTAAGTGACTAAAATATTTCTTTCCATTTTCTTAATAACTTTTCCTAGAGTATTTTACTTTACGTCTTATTATAAATAAGGGTAGGTTTTGTTTGTGAAACCTATCTAAGCAATTGAGAGCGTTGGAGGATTTTATCGGGTTAGACCGAGGGATAGTTCTCTTGGGAGAGTTTTACTCTTGTTTACATTATTGTTTTGTTTATCTACTATCATAATAAAGGTTTTGGTTTCGAATTGGATTCTATCTTTTACAGTTATTATCTTTCTTTTACCCAAAATTTGCTCTACTTTTTTCTCATTCTCTACGTTTTCACATGTCAATATCCCTAGTGTATGTACAATTTATACATCTATACTATTAATTGAGAAGTATTCCCTAATAATAAACCTTATAAAGGGTAAAAAATTACAAAAGATTGCCATTACAATTAATCCAATCTAAGAGTATACTTAAAAATTCGTCCAAGGGTAAAATGGTAAATTTGCTGGCATGTAGACACGCGGATCCTGGGTTATTGGGTCGGATCTAAATCCATATTCATGCGGTAAAAGACGCGGATCTTGGTAAGGCATGAACTTTAGGATCCGTTTGATCCGCGTATCTGATGAAATAATTTCCGCAAATCTTTGGCAATCAATGCTTCTGGAATGTTGTACAATATATCCTGAAATTAATGCCATAACCAAATCTGTTTGTTATCATTTAAAGAGATTTCTATAACAAACAAATCCAATAAATTTAGATTAATAAATAAAAATAAATCTCTTTTAAAACGATATAAGTTATTATATATACCATATCTAACAATAACTAAATATTATGATCCTAACAAATCGAGCATCTATACCTAAAAACACTGAATTCGCAAATTCATATTGGAAAAAAACCTAAATAATCAATTATATACCTTAAACCATGGTACAAATAACGGATTCACAAATATATTATTTAGATCTGATTCCATAAACCCTCAAACAATCTAGCCGACCCTTTTCCCTATAAATATAGATGCCTAATGCCATTGAGGATACAAACTAACCTTTCTCTACGAAAACTTTGTTGTTTCTATTCCTTTTAATAAAATGGCTGCAAATCTTAGCATCATCACTCTTGCTGACATCAAACCATTCATATGGGTTTAAGATGTTTTAAATATTTAGCCGACCTTCTTTTCCTATAATTATTAAAGTCTACTACCATTTTCATTACTCACCAATCTTTCAACTTTTTGTTTTCTTTTGCTACTCCGTTTTTCATTTCAAAGTGTTTTCCTTTTTTCCAGAATCTCAAACCTTATATTTAAAACAACTTAGTTTTGGTTTTTCTAAAGTTTACCATTTTCTTAAGCCATATGAAGTTAACCCTTTCATATACAGAAGCAATAAAGGTAATTAATGTATATCAAACAATAGCAGGATTTTTAGTTTTTAGTAGTAGGCATCTCTTATTTAGTACTTTGATTTTAACATACTAGGGCAAAAGAAAGTTTTCTATATGAAGTATACACAATTCGGCTCAATAACAGTAGGTTCTACAAAGATAATAAAAAAGCGTATAAATTGTGATCTCACTAACCTTCTGCCCATAGATTTCTGAAATAGCTCTTATGACCAAATGTGATAGCCTCCTCCATCTGTTTATGTTACTTGCAATTGATGCTTGACCTAAATACATAATATTAGTACGTTTCATCTTTTATTTAGTACTTTGATTTTAACATACTAGGGCAAAACAAAGTTTTTATTTAACATTCATTGGGTTTGGTAATTCAGAAGTCTGGTAGAAGAGCCAATGATATGAAGAAACAAAGAATTATTTGAAAATTTTCACAAGATCAGAATGTTAAATGAGTTTTAAGGTGTTGTTTGTGTCTTATTAATTTTGTGTGCTTTGTTTATGTAGATGGCAACTTTGGCTATATATTTTCGGACTCGGGAATCAAATGCATAGGTATTTAAAACTAATAGGTATCTTTTTGTGACATTGTGTTATTTATTTCAATTTTTAAATTAGTCATTTAGTCATTTAGAGTTAAGATATGTTATGGTTTTATATTAGATTGCCGACAGAGAGTAAATATTAATATGTGTATGAAAACTACTAAACCCAAGAACTATGCAGAATGACACAAGAAGCAAGGACGAAATCATTTTAAAATTGTTTAGGTGAAGTCATTAAACTCACCAGGTGCCTCTAATTGCTTATTAGGTTAGTCTTCAAACGTTTTTATAAATTCAACTCTGCAAATCTATTCAGCGATGCTCTCAAAGACCATCTTTGTACCTTGCAAACACCAAGATAGCAGGAATCACTACAAAATCTTCAAAGTTTAAAATCTATTATACAATATATAAAGTATGAACAATCTGAATATTATTACTTAAGTTCTTATTTAATCTCAACAATTACAATAAGATCTTATGAAAACTTTTTAAAATAAAAAGAATTCAAAGAATTAAATAATTTTTTGTCACAAAGTACTTTTGCAGCGTTGAACATGATTTTCTTACTCCATCAATTTCAGTTAAACGCCAAGGCAATTAACGACATAACTATTGAGAATTAGAGTCTAACAGCTTCAATTTTAGACATGTGTTTTCAATTATATAGATTTATAAAGAACACAACACATGTTTCAGAGTAGAAGAAATTATTGAAAGACAATTTACCTCGCTTTTTTGAAACAAAAGAATTAGGGAGAGACCTCCGAATATTGTACATGCGCGAGAGGACGACAAGACGAAGCAGTGGGTCAAAAATTCGAAACGCCTGAAGAAAGAAAGATACCGCAAGACTATCAGAATCCGCATGAGATGAGATCAGGGTTACGTGGTCGTCTTCTGAGTGAGAATCGCCGGAAAGAAGAGATAACAAAGAGATGATGCGAGAGCTTTACTTGGAGACTGATTCCTATCATGAATACATCAGATCTCGATACACATCGGAGGAGGAGATTCCTAAGACGGCGGCAGCAGTAGAGGTAAGTGTGGTGGCAGATTTGAAACGGTGAGGAGTAGTGGAAGAGATGGAGGAGGAAGAAGGTGGGTGATAAGATCGAGAAGGTAGTATGGACTCTGTGTGGGCTTTATCAAATAATGGTTTATGTTTAGTTAATAGGCCTTTTATGAGTTGTATTTTAAGTTAAGCTTCTTCTTCATAGAAACTATCAAAACGACGGAAAAAAAAAACTATCAAAGAACGATCAATGATGTTTTTTTTTTTCTCTTTTTTTTTAATGATCAATGAATATTATGAAACCTACATATTATTTAGTAGATCTTTTTTATTTATGTAATTTGGATAATTATTCTTAAGTTTGTTAAAATATGATACTACATTTTTTTATATTATATAATACAATCTTATATTATAAATATATGCCAAACTTATTTTCCCAAAACCCAACTATTTTTTTATACAAACTATACGCAAATACATTTTTTATCGATCGATTAGATTTGTACACCATACCAATATATTCAATCATGTAATATGTAACATAAAATCTATTTTTAATAGTCATACCAATTTCAAATTGATACACACACATTCAAAACCTATATAACATAAGTTTTATATTAAAAAAATCGGATGTTAACAAAACCCCGCACGTACGTGCGGGTCCGGATCTAGTTATATATGTATCTAACATACACTGAAGGATACTTCCATTCATGAATTCTTATAATCCAAGAACACTTAAAACAGAGGGTTCTTTACTAGTATAGTAGATGTCGTTTACAATGATAGAAACTGCACATTTCCATCATCATACACTACCACTGGACACTGGTGGCTCTCCGGTGGCCGCCGTGGAAGACAATTATTCCCGGCGCAAAAGACGATAGTAGCTAAGTAAACTGAGATCAGCCCAATTCAATTAAAACTATCCAAATATGGGCCTAATCCAAATGGCCCATTAACTTACCACGTGATTGGCACGTGTAAACCAACCACGGAAGTAGCAGAGAAACTAGTGGCATCGGCAAGTAAAGCCCCTCTCTTTATCGTCGATCCAAAAACCAGATTTGATATAAAAGCCGCGAATTTTTATGTTTTTCTTTGGGAATTTTCCGGGAAACACATCGGTTAAAGCTTAATCACCGGAAAATGTTTCTATCTCACCCTCCTCAAGTAATACAACCAAATTATTACACAGTTAACTTCTTACCTCGCTCTCCTCTGAAGCCACCGTTGTGTTCCGTTGCTTTAAACAATCTTTCGATTTCTTCCGGCGCCGGAGCTAAAATCTCTAATAATCAGCTAATTCAATCATTGTGCAAAGAGGGTAAACTTAAACAAGCGCTTCGCGTCTTGTCTCAAGAATCTAGCCCGAGTCAACAGACTTACGAGCTTCTGATTCTCTGTTGCGGTCATCGGAGCTCTCTTTCTGATGGTCTACGAGTTCATCGACATATTTTGGATAATGGGTCTGATCAAGATCCTTTTTTGGCTACGAAGCTTATTGGTATGTATTCGGATTTGGGTTCTGTGGATTATGCACGGAAGGTGTTCGATAAAACGCGTAAGAGAACTATATATGTCTGGAACGCTTTGTTTCGAGCGCTTACGTTAGCGGGTCATGGAGAAGAAGTGTTGGGTTTGTATTGGAAGATGAATAGGATTGGAGTTGAGTCAGATAGGTTCACATACACTTACGTTCTCAAGGCTTGTGTTGCATCGGAATGCACGGCGGATCATCTGACGAAAGGGAAAGAGATTCATGCACATCTTACTCGACGAGGTTATAATTCTCATGTTTACATCATGACTACGTTGGTGGACATGTATGCTCGATTTGGCTGTGTGGATTATGCCAGCTATGTGTTTAATGGAATGCCGGTGAGGAACGTTGTTTCTTGGAGCGCTATGATTGCCTGCTATGCAAAGAACGGGAAAGCTTTTGAAGCTCTGAGGACTTTCCGTGAAATGATGACAGAAACCAAAGATTCATCTCCGAATTCTGTGACTATGGTGAGTGTGCTTCAAGCTTGTGCTTCGCTTGCGGCTTTAGAGCAAGGGAGATTGATTCATGGGTACATACTCAGACGGGGGCTTGACTCCATATTACCGGTGATCAGTGCTCTTGTGACAATGTATGGTAGATGCGGTAAGCTCGATGTGGGACAAAGAGTTTTTGATCGGATGCATGACCGGGATGTTGTATCCTGGAATTCCTTGATATCAAGCTATGGCGTTCACGGGTATGGAAGGAAAGCAATTCAGATATTTGAAGAGATGCTCGCCAATGGGGCTTCTCCAACTCCCGTAACATTTGTCAGCGTTTTGGGGGCTTGCAGCCACGAGGGACTTGTTGAAGAAGGAAAAAGATTGTTTGAATCAATGTGGAGAGACCATGGGATAAAACCACAAGTCGAGCATTATGCTTGTATGGTTGATCTGTTAGGTCGGGCGAATAGGTTAGACGAGGCAGCAAAGATGGTACAGGACATGAGGACTGAACCGGGGCCTAAGGTTTGGGGTTCCCTTCTCGGGTCTTGTAGAATTCATGGTAATGTTGAGCTTGCAGAGCGGGCGAGTAGAAGGCTCTTTGCACTTGAACCAAAAAATGCAGGAAATTATGTGTTGTTGGCAGACATTTACGCGGAAGCTCAGATGTGGGATGAGGTTAAGAGAGTGAAGAAGCTTCTCGAACACCGGGGACTGCAGAAGCTGCCTGGTCGATGCTGGATGGAAGTGAGGAGAAAAATGTACTCATTTGTCTCGATGGATGAGTTTAACCCTCTTATGGAACAGATTCATGCTTTCTTGGTTAAGTTAGCCGAAGATATGAAGGAGAAAGGGTACATACCACAGACCAAAGGAGTTCTGTATGAGCTTGAAACAGAAGAAAAAGAGAGGATAGTGTTGGGACACAGTGAAAAACTGGCATTGGCGTTTGGGCTGATAAATACATCAAAAGGAGAACCAATCAGAATCACAAAGAACTTGCGTTTGTGCGAGGACTGTCACTTGTTTACAAAGTTCATCTCAAAGTTTATGGAGAAGGAGATTCTAGTTAGAGATGTGAACCGGTTTCATCGGTTCAAGAATGGAGTGTGTTCTTGTGGAGATTACTGGTAATACTTGTGGGGACTTATACATTTGCTTGTGTGTATAATAACCAAAGACAAGCCAAAGAAATAAGGGAGAAACAGGTTAGGCTTAGAAAATTCTGTAATATATGCAAACGAAATTTGTTGGTATCATTGTTACTATCATATTGTTTTTCAATAAACAAAAAAAAGTTTCACTTTCTCTGTGCACTCAAATTCGAAACAGAAATTGTTTTTTTTTTCTTACGCACTCAATATTCCCATTTTTTTAAATCATAAAAAAAAGGGGAAAATCACATACACCTCTAACAAGAAAATGGAAAAAGAGAAAAAATTATAGAAAAAAGAAAACTAGAAAAAAAAAATGGAAATTAACGAATTGACAATTTGACATAAATTAGATTAAACATGCATTATAAAAGAAAGCACAAGAGTATTCAGTTTCTGTCTAAAAACACAAACACAAGAAAGAGAGATTAAAGATGCCAATGGCTGCGATCGTAATTCTGGCGTTTGCTGCAGTTTTTTGGGTTTTGGTAAGCTATTCTAGCGGCGGGAACAATAATGTTTCAAAGAAGATTGATACCAGACCAAGCGGCATAGGAACTGGATCGATTTTCGTCATAATCTTAGCCCTAATGGCTATGATGGTCTTAAACAACAACGCTGAACAAATTCGACATGATATTAATGATCAAGCTGATGGGATTTGGATTCTTGTTATCATCTTTTTCTGTCTCTTCATGGTTTATCTCAAAGGCGGTTTTTGATCTTCTTTGTTTTAGTTTGGATTATGTATTAGGGATTACTATACATTCGAATGTGATTTGCTTCAAATTTATATTTTTTTGAATTTGTAATCAGAATTTAATTGATTTAAAGAGAGAACGAACAATGGTTTTTTTATATATAATTTTATCATATGATTACAGAAATTTAACTTGAAACAGAAGGAAACAAAAAAAGGAAACTGTACGGAGCTCTGAAACGACATAGTTTATGGCGTTTTCAGTCGTCGTCGACATAAATGGTCTCTTGCTTAAACAGTCCTCCAAACACTTTCCTCACCTCTTTCTCTGGCTTCTTCTGACGTTCTTCCTTCGGTTTGGATGCAAATGGAGATGATGGTCTCTGTTTCACCACTGCTTTCTTGGGTGGCAAGTTTCTCGCTTTAGCTTGTCCTCTGACCGTAGCAACCTGTACTTTAGGCGTCTCTGAAGCGTTTTGAACCGCGGTTGCGAACTGAGAACCGAGTTTATTCCAGGAGAGACCTGAGCCGATATCTTTCGCCTTGTTAAATAGACCGTCCACTGTGATTCCCACGGCGTCAGCTTTCTGCTGCGCATCCTCAGCTAAGCTAGCAGCTTCTGCTTCTTTCTCAGATAGCTTTTGCATTTGTTTCTCAAACTCTTTCGCTGCTTCTGCTGCCTCTCGGGCTTTCTCAGCTGCAACTTTAGCTTCTTCCTCTGCTCTTGCCCTTGCAATCGCAGCTGCGTACACTTTTCTCCTCCCATCTTCCGGGATTACACTATCATAGATTCATAGATAATATTTCATTAAAAGAAGTTAACACAAACATTAATCTAAGCTACAGACTTTATATCGAGAACGTGTTTAAATCCGAAACTCATTTACCTGAAAAGCTCGTTCACTGGCCGCGACGGTGCTGATGGATCTGTAGAAACTTCCACCACCTGCAAAAGGACACACAAAACAAAGCTAATGCTTTTGAGCGCAAACACATATAAAAGTTAATTCAACGGCAATAATTCTTGCCCTAGTGTCTGCGTTTGTATGATGAACAATCACAAACTTGACTAGTAAGTTACTTGTACTATACTTTACCTTATTTTCTGCCACGGCCGTGTTCGCAAAAATGTCTGCTACCAGCGATGCAATCTTCAACTTCGGGACCTGGTAACAAAACAGAACACCAAAAAAGTTAATAAAACCATTAATCAAAACCAATTCATAACCAAATGATTTCGTTTCAATGTAATGTATGATAATAATCCCTTTTTATCGCATACATTACATTACTTTGTAGGCCTCGGACGAACTACTGCCACTGCCGCTGTTACTTCCTTCAGCTGAAACGACGACGTTATAAGCTTTCTCCGGCGAGAAATCCTCCACCAAACTCGTCTTTATGAGCGTGTACGCCACGTCCGTTTGAGCTACTTTCTCGATGAGGTCAGAGATAGTCAATGGCTGAGATTTTGCGAAAAGGTTGCCGAAAAACGAAGTAATCCCGTCTAGCACGTTGTACGTGGATCCGCTGATGCTCCCGTCATAAACGATCGCCACATGGCTTACACCAGCGAGCTCAGCCGCTTGGACCACGAGCAGAGCGTCTGAGGTCGAGACTTGGGCGTCAGGACCATTTTCTGTCGCCCCAACCGTCACAACAACTTTAGTCGCGTTTCCAATCGCTTTTGCGATTGATTCTGCGTCTTGGAAGGGGGATTGAACTGCGTTTAGCCTCTTGACTTCATCATTTGATAAAATCTGTCGAAAAGCTGATCGTCAAACGATAAATCAAAACGCTAAACGCCACAAATTCGCATCGCATGTTTTTGTGAATTATTTTCGAAAACAGAAAATTGAATAAGGCAAACCGAATTACATGCGAAGTCAATACAAATTTCAAAATCAGACTGCGTTTGTATCGCTAAATCGCTAAATCAATGGTGTAATTTGTAATCGTTGTCCTTAATCTAAAGTGCGATTGCGACCAAAATTCAAGATCATCTTTATCGCGTTTAGAAAATGGACAGATTATGAATCGAAGGACTTAAAACAAAACCGGACCTTGTAAGTAGCCGCGACACGAGCGAGGTCTTGGGCAGCTCCAAGGTCAGGAACACCGGCTCGAACGCTGAATCCTCGTTGCAAGAGCGTTTGAGCTATACGTATACCAGCTTGTCCTGTAGCACCGGCCACAAAAATCGTACCAGGATCTTTCTTTCTGTTATTGCCAAACACTAAACCGGTAGAAGGATTCGTCACAACTGGTATCAGTGACTTGATGTCCGGTAACTTTCCGAAGTCGAACTGAAACGGGTTCTTCCCTTTTGGTTTTCCCTCCGAGTCATCATCACCCTTCGGTTTCCCGAGTTGAAAAGCCGTTTGCTTAGCCCACACGGTTAACCGTGGTTTTCTTCGGTTAAACCTGACACCCTGTGGTGGCGCGATGGTTAACGGGAATGAAGTTGAACTTGAAGCCATTAAGAGGAGGTCGACGAACTTAGATGTTTTGCTTGTACCTCAAGTAAACAATGTGGATGCCATACATTGAAGATGAGACACCATGGCGAGTGCAAAAAAGACTTTCGTTGTTTGTGTGTTTTCACAGATGATGCTTTTGTTATCCAGAACAGATTCATAGCCAATAAGAGCATGCCACGTCATTAACATATCTTGATGTGGCTTGGTCTGAACTTTTCGCCACAGAATCTTGATCGTGCGGGGCCCACATATTAAAGAGTTTCAGCTTTGCCACAATATTTTCGCGTAATTTCATTTCTAGGCCAAAGAGACCAGATTTATGTGAAACTCATTTTTTTTTCCAAACAAGTTCAGTAGTCTCTTAACAACATTTGAAACACAAAATATAAATCAGACAATATCATCGAACAGAAACACCAAATAGGTAATATATATTTCAGGTGTTTGGGTCTGTTTGGGTCGACTGGCTTCCTCCCACAAATCACCTCAAGCATTAAAGCTCCAAATGCATAGACATCAGTCCAAGTAGTGGCCACTCCCATTATCATTAGCTCTGGAGCCATGTAACCAGTGGTTCCTATCACACGTCTGGTTTCAAGAGCCATGCCACGATCGTGGAATCTAGCAAGCCCAAAATCTCCTAGCTTTGCATTCAGATTGGCATCTAAAAGAACGTTACTTGCTTTTATATCTCTGTGCAGCACAACTTGTCCCCAGCCTTCATGTAGATAACACAGAGCAGAAGCAACTCCTTTTATTATATGAAGTCGTTGTAACCAACTAAGACCATCACCTTTGAGCAAGTACTCAGAGAGGTTCCCATTGGGCATATGCCCAATGAGCTCTCCTTTCCTCCTGCAGTACCCACGGAGTTGAACAAGGTTCATGTGCCCTAGTCTTGTCATTGTAGCAATTTCTGAAATATACTCTTGTAACCCTTGTTGTGAACCATGGGAGACTTTCTTGTTGGTGTAAGCTTGAAGAAGAAGTAACTTGGGCGATAAGTTAGTTGTTTTAATTAAGAGATAATGTCATATCTTTGGGAGTTATCCATAGATATTAGTTTTAGGAGTTATCTAAAACAAGTCATAGTTTGTTTAGGATTAGGTCTTGTGATTTTCTATATAAGAGTTGCCAAAGCTTGTGGTAAACCTTAAGAGATTCGAGAGAGAGATTAAGGAGAGCTTTAGTTTGAGTTAGTTCTAAAGTTAATAAAAGAAGTGCTTTTATAATCCTTGATCTTAATTTTCGATTCTAGATTTGGTATCAGAGCCTATAAACTTTGTTTCTCAAAACGTGATTAAGAACAAAGATCGTTAGAGATATGAGTGAATTGGCCACGACGGGTGACAAACCAAAGGAGGGAGTATCCTCATCCATACAATGTCCGATGTTAACAAATTCCAACTACACAGTTTGGACCATGAGGATGAAGGCAACTCTCCGAGTCCATAAGGCGTGGGAAACAATCGATCCCGGTTCCGCTGACTTAGAGAAGAACGATGTGGCCCGTGCCTTATTGTTCCAATCTGTACCAGAGTCGATGATCCTACAAGTTGGAGAACATGAAACCGCAAAAGGTGTCTGGGACGCCATCAAAGCCAGAAACCTTGGAGCTGATCGAGTGAAAGAAGCTAGGTTACAAACGCTTATGAATGAGTTCGATAGGCTGAAGATGAAAGAAAGTGACACAATCGACGACTTTGCAGGGAGAATCTCGGAGATTTCTACAAAAGCAGCATCCTTAGGGGAAAACATTGAAGAGACAAAGGTTGTTAAGAAGTTTCTTAAGAGTTTGCCTAGGAAGAAATACATCCATATAACTGCAACTCTAGAACAAGTTCTAGATCTTAAGAACATAACCTTTGAAGACATTGTAGGAAGGCTTAAAACTTACGAAGATCGAGTCTGTGATGAAGAAGAAGATTCACAAGAAGATCAGAGTAAGCTCATGTTTGTGAACTCAGAATCACAAGATGGAGGAAGAGGACGAGGTCGTGGTCGCCTTGGAAGAGGTCGTGGAAGGTTTGGATATCAAAACAGAGATTACGGGTATCAACAGGGCTATCAACAGAGAGATAAGTCTAAGGTAACATGTTATCGATGTGATAAAACAGGGCACTATGCCTCAAATTGTCCTGATCGACTTCTCAAGTTAATCAAGTTTCAAGAAAAGGAAGAAGAAGACACTCAAGAAGCCGAATCTCTTATGATGCATGAGGTAGTATACTTGAATGAGAGGAATGTGATGCCAAGAGTTTTTGAGACGTGTTCCGACAAAGCTTGGTATCTTGACAATGGCGCCAGTAACCATATGACAGGACATCGAGCTTGGTTCTGTAAAATGAATGAGATGGTCACAGGAAAGGTGCGATTTGGGGACGACTCACGAATTGACATAAAAGGTAAGGGATCAATCTTGTTTGTAAGCAAAACCGGAGAAAGAAGGATATTAGCTGATGTATACTACATTCCTGACCTCAAAAGTAACATCATAAGCTTAGGGCAAGCCACTGAAGCAGGTTGCGATGTTAGAATGAGAGATGATTACTTAACCTTACATGACAGAGATGGAAATTTGCTAGTCAAGGCAACAAGATCAAGAAACAGACTCTACAAAGTGAACCTGGAAGTGGAAGAAACGGATTGTTTGCAGCTTGTGGAGTCTAGCGATTCAACACTATGGCATGCTAGACTTGGACACATCAATCTTGAAACTATAAAGTCGATGGTTGCAAAAGAATTAGTCACAGGAATTCACAGTGTACCAAAAGAAAAAGAAGCGTGTGCATCTTGTTTACTAGGAAAACAAACAAGGCAAACATTTCCAAGTTCAACCTCTTATCGAGCATCACAAGTATTAGAACTCATCCATGGTGATCTCTGCGGACCGATATCACCTTCTACAGCTGCCAAGAAGAGATATGTATTCGTTCTAATAGATGATCACTCTCGTTACATGTGGTCAATATTGCTAAAGGAGAAAAGTGAGGCATTTGACAAATTCAAAGGATTCAAGAAGCTGGTTGAACAAGAGAGTGGAGCTAAAATCAAGACACTTAGAACCGACAGAGGAGGAGAGTTCATGTCTCGTGAGTTTCAAGAGTTTTGTGTGAGAGAAGGCATCAATAGGCATCTAACGGCTCCATACACTCCGCAGCAAAACGGAGTAGTTGAGAGAAGAAATAGGACTCTCATGGAAATGACTAGAAGTTTACTTAAACACATGAACATGCCTAATTATCTTTGGGGAGAAGCTGTGAGACATTCAACTTATATCATAAACAGAGTAGGGACAAGAGCCTTGACAAATCAAACACCGTATGAATTGTTTAAAAACAAGAAGCCGAATGTAGAACACATGAGAGTTTTCGGATGTATGAGCTATGCTAAGATAGATGGACCACATCTGAAAAAACTTGATGACAGGTCAAAAGCTCTTATATATCTTGGGACTGAACCCGGTTCAAAGGCATATCGCCTCTTGGATCCGACAACTCGAAAAATCACAGTGAGCAGGGACGTCGTTTTTAACGAAAACAGAGGCTGGAAGTGGAGTAATACAGAAGAATCTAGCCAAGAATCAGGAACTTTCACTCTCAATTTAGGAGACTTTGGAAATCACGGGATTAGTGATGAGAGCATTCAAGAAACAGAGGAAAACAGAGTGAACAGAGACGATGACAATGGTTATGACGAAGAAGGTGAAGATGCAGCAGATAAGGAGTCTGAAAGTGTTGAAACAGAGCAGACCCCGACAGTGCAAACCTCGATGGTACCTTTATTGAGAAAATCAGGAAGACAAGTCACAAAGCCGAGTTATCTTAGTGACTATGTGTTAATGGCAGAAATCGAAGGAGAACATCTTTTGCTTATGACCAACGAGGAACCAAGTGACTTCACAGAAGCAAATAAGTTACAAGAGTGGAGGAATGCGTGTGAAGAAGAGATCATGTCAATAGAAAAAAACAAAACATGGAGTCTTGTTGATCTTCCCATTGGTTGTAAACCAATTGGCTTGAAGTGGGTTTTTAAACTAAAACGTAACTCCGACGGAAGCATAAACAAACATAAGGCAAGACTTGTGGCAAACGGGTATGTGCAAAGGCATGGGATTGATTTCGAAGAAGTATTTGCTCCGGTAGCAAGAATTGAGACAATACGTTTCATCATAGCGTTAGCAGCTTCAAACGGATGGGAAGTGCACCATTTAGATGTTAAAACTGCATTCCTCCATGGAGAATTGAAAGAAGATGTGTATGTAAGTCAACCTGAAGGTTTTGTGACTAAAGGAAGTGAAAGAAAAGTTTACAAGCTACATAAGGCTCTCTATGGACTAAGACAAGCTCCTCGGGCATGGAACACTAAGCTAAACAAAATTCTCAGAGAATTAAGCTTTGAAAAATGTTCTAAAGAGCCTTCGCTTTACAGAAAGAAAGAAAAGGAGAACCTTCTCATAGTAGCTGTCTATGTTGACGACTTACTAGTCACGGGATCAAGCTTGGATGTGATACTTGATTTCAAGAAAGGAATGGCGGGAAAGTTTGAGATGAGCGACTTGGGAAAACTCACCTACTATCTCGGAATTGAAGTGTTTCAAGGAGATGATGGGATTGTGTTAAGGCAAGAAAGATATGCAAAGAAGATACTTGAAGAAGCTGGGATGAGTGAGTGTAACGCGGTTCATACACCAATGACTTCAGGTCTTGAACTTTCTAAGGCACTAGAAGAGAAGCGAGTCAATGAGAAAGATTATAGGAGGAACATCGGATGTCTTAGGTACCTACTTCATACACGACCTGATCTTTCTTTCTGCGTTGGGATCTTGAGTAGGTACTTACAGGAACCAAGAGAATCACATGGAACGGCATTGAGACAGATTTTAAAATACATTCGGGGAACCTTAACTCATGGTCTACATTTTAAGCAAGGAATCGAGTCAGGTTTAGTGGGCTATAGTGATAGCAGTCACAATGTAGATCTTGATGATGGAAGGAGCACCGCTGGTCACGTCTTTTATCTCAATGAATGTCCTATTACATGGTGTTCTCAGAAGCAACAAGTGGTAGCTCTCTCTTCTTGCGAAGCCGAGTTCATGGCAGCTACGGAGGCAGCCAAGCAAGCTATATGGTTACAAGAACTGTTTGCGGAAGTCATTGGAGTAGAGTGTGACAAAGTAACTATAAGGGTTGATAACAAGTCAGCTATTGCACTTACGAAGAACCCGGTATTTCATGGAAGAAGCAAGCATATTCATCGAAAGTATCATTTTATACGTGAATGCGTAGAGAATGGTCAGATTGAGGTGGATCATGTTCCTGGTGAAGAACAAAGAGCAGATATTTTAACCAAGGCACTTGGAAGAACTAAGCATAAAGAGATGAGAGATCTCATTGGAGTTCATGATGTGTCAATAGAAGACTTCAAGCTTAAAGGGGAGAATGTTGGTGTAAGCTTGAAGAAGAAGTAACTTGGGCGATAAGTTAGTTGTTTTAATTAAGAGATAATGTCATATCTTTGGGAGTTATCCATAGATATTAGTTTTAGGAGTTATCTAAAACAAGTCATAGTTTGTTTAGGATTAGGTCTTGTGATTTTCTATATAAGAGTTGCCAAAGCTTGTGGTAAACCTTAAGAGATTCGAGAGAGAGATTAAGGAGAGCTTTAGTTTGAGTTAGTTCTAAAGTTAATAAAAGAAGTGCTTTTATAATCCTTGATCTTAATTTTCGATTCTAGATTTCTTCACTGCAACTTGAGTACCATCAGATAAATCTCCTTTATAAACCTTGCCAAATCCTCCTGCTCCAATAACCCGATCCCCCTTGAAACCATTGGTCGCTTTGTAAAGGGTCCTAAACGAGAATCTTTGGGGGCTATATTGTTGTTGTTGAGATTGAGTTCTTGATTAAATCTGCAACAAAGGAGAAAGCTTTAGTGAGAAGAAGAAGAAGAACAGAGCAAAGAGAAGAAGCTAGCGAAGAAGAGAAGTTGTCGTGAAAGAGGTCAACGACAACAAGAGAACAAGTCAACAAGGTAGAAGAAGTTGGACTTGTTGTTTTGTAATAATAAAAGGGATTGGGCTAATTGTTTAGTTAGGCCCAAACATGTGTTAGTGTTGTTGTTAGCTTGTCCAACTAATAGTTGTTGGAGTTTGCTTATGATTTTAGCTAGAGTAGAGTGGAGTTGTTGTTGTGTAAGGTTTAGTAGTTCTTTGCTTGTAAGCTTGGTTCTAGTCTTAGGGTAATGATGACTAGAAGTATGGTCTCGAGTCTAAGTGAGTGTAGTGTAGCAAGTGGAGAAAAAACCACTATATGTATGTGTGTGTGTCTTGTAAGAAAAGTATCCAAGCAATTATCAATGTAGAAGATTAAAGTAAATGTGTTCTTGTTTTTTCTCTAGAACAAGTGAACACAAATGAGAAAGAAAGAGTAAAATATAGAGAGATCGTGAGAATTACAACAGTTGTTCCCACTGCTCAAAAACCTCTGCGTACTTCTTTCTAAAGTAGTGATACAGGATCCCACTTGGTAGCATAAGAAATACTAAAACAGAGATGATAGAGATTGTAATCACTTGAGCTTTGGTGAGTGCAGGTGAAGAGGGTGCTGGTTGAGGGAGATCCAAAATTTTAGAAATGTCAAGGCTTTGTGCTTTTTCGCCTATTGCCAACGCCCATCCTAGGATATACTGATGACTTCTGATAACACCAGTGGAACCGGAGAACCCGAAATACATCTGCTCCTTGAAGATTTTAGAAAGGTCTATGGGTAATGACAAGAGAGGGGAGCTGGGTTTAGCCGTGTTTAGTGGAGCGATAGTTACAACTAGCAATCTCTTCTCAGCATCATAGTCTATCCAGACATGAATTCTTTGTTTGCTAGCGAGTAACAGAGTTATATTCCTCCTTGTTGTATCATCATAGTAACTGGCGTTTTCAGATTTTACGGATACTATACTATTGATATTTATAGCTTCAGAGCTTGGATTAGTATCAAACTCGACAGCAAGAATATGGTTTTTGGTTTGATTATCACTCGTCTTATTGAATATCCCTAGATATGATCCTGAAGCGCCATACCTTAGATCAATGGTTGGAGAAACAACAAAAGCCATTCCTTGGCCGTTGCTATCTCTTTGTTTTGGAATGATCGCAAAAACAAACTCTGTAGAAAAAGATGAGGAAATGTTTCTGAAATGTATGGGTTTTTGGTGGAAAGCATGCCCTGTAGATCTTTTTGAACTATCTGTGAGTCTCAGTCGACCATCTTCGGTACTTGCCGTTCCATCTATGTATAGATCAGCGTTCCTGAAGTCGTAGTGCACAAATCTATGACCATTTTGAGCTAGCACCAAAGAGACCACAAGTACTGAAAGCATCGTCATCCAAAAACAGAGTGATTCTGTAACTCTAGCCATTTGGAAAAACTCTGCAAATTTTTCTTTCTCTTTCTTTCTGTAGTGTGTACTTTACATCATTACCTTTTATCCTATGAGCTTTGTTAGGCGATGATTAGTTGGCTTTAGTCTCTAGGCGCCACTCACTCTGTCGTCCTATTAATGACTCAAAGACTTTGAGCATCTTGGTTTCAAATTTCTCTCCCTAAAGTGTGATCTGTTTTTGAATTTTTTATTTTGGGCTTGCATTTGTTGTTATCTAACTTCTGTTGAACATGGTTGCTCTTCCTCACTTCCTCGGATGTAGCAGCCTCTCATTCCTTACACTAGAGAACAATCAAATGTGTGATCAACATTTGATACAAACACTTGAACACAAGCAAAAACATATACCAATCGCTCTTTCTTTCTTGCAGCAGCCTTCTTCTTGGGACCAATATCAACTCCATCTTGGGACTAATCCCTCATTCATGTACAAGAGAAAAAAGAAAAGAAATATGTACATTATTAGAGGCTCTTACTGCTTTCCAATCAATGTTTGACGGGTTATTTTTCAAGTAACGCTATTAATTAAATGTTTTTCCGATAGTAACGTTATACATTTTTCTTAAATAAAACTTTGTTTCCCTCAATTTTCTAGTAAAATTATTTAAGGATTTTTTCTTGAAACTAGTTGATTTCTTTTTTTATCACATTTGGAATTGGGTGTTACTAATTTCTCTTTTGTTCTTTTGCAAACTAATTTTCACCTACAAAATATATTACTTTCTAAACAGAGCCTTGGACTTTTTCTTTTATCTCTTTTCAACATACATTTGCGATATTGATGTTATTTTCCTATATACTCCCTCTGTTTCACAAAGAGTGTCATTTTAGAGTTTTGCACACAGATTAAGAAAACATTAAATTTTTTGTTTTTTCAAAACAAAAACATCATTAACTATATACCTAAACATAATCTGCCCAATAGTAAAACAATCTGCAGAATACTAATAGTCATAAAACATAAAAAATCATTAAATTTTGCATTGAAAACCTAAAACGACACTCTTTATGAAACAAAAATAAAACCTTAAAACGACACTCTTTATGAAACGGAGGGAGTATATCTTTAACATGCATCAAGAAGCTGAAGATAGAAAATAAAAGTTTTGGTTTTTTATTCTTTCTTGAAGTAAAAGTCTCCATTATGAGGCTTTAATTTTTGTTTGGAAATTGGAAAAGAAGAAAGAGTTAATGTAGGATAGAGACTTTAAAGATTTTTAAAACTTAAAAATTTATAAAGTCTTAAAAGCTTGATTGCAAAAAAAAAAACAACTTTAAAAGCAGTTAAAGTCTTGAAAGTCCATTGCCAATCACCCCTATATGTTTTTAACATTTGGGTTCAGGCGTATCAGGACATTGATCAAGAATCATAGTAGCATATCCAGATATCACCGGGTCTTTACGAGCCATACAATAACATGGTTTCTCGAGCAACTTCGGAATATGACAACATTTTTTAAACTGGTTCCATTGTCTAGTATCAACTATCAAATAACCTATAACATATTCGAACTTCGAAGGTCTCTTTCACAACTACCGTCTACCGACACCAGAAACTTTGACTGGAACTAGAAATGATGTCAAGAGAAAACGATGGACAACAATGTAATGATTTTCATCTCTGATTAAATAGTAGATGGTGAAAAATCCTTATCAGAAGAAGATAAATTGATTTAAACAATTTGTTTTGCATAAATGTTCTATGTCTTAGGCCTTTAAATAGAAAAATGGAGTCAGTTATTCATTGGAATTGTGAAAGGTGGAAATCGATTCCTTTACACAAGGGAGGACCGCTAATTCTATTTTAAAACAATGGATTTGTTGAAAAGACCAATTCAATAGTCCTTGATTTGCTAAGTTATTGACAATAATGCAAAATACATGCGTCTCGTTAAGCAATTTGAATGTGATTGACCGTCTTGCAAAAAAGAAAGAACACTTAAAATTAAAAGTTGACACTTATAATCATACATGTATTTTAATTTACATAGAAATATATATATATATATATATATATATATATATATATATAAATTATATGTTTTGGATCATTAATTTTAATATATTTTTTGAAATCACGTGTTATTCATTCAATGATTTATTCGTGGATTTTAATGGATTTGGAAGTAAAAAGTATAAAAGATTTTTAATTTTAAAATACTTTACAATTTAAAGTTGTAATTTAACTTTGAAAATAATTAATTTGAAATTATATAACTTAAATTCATACTTAACGCAAAATTAATAATAAAAAACTCATAAAATGTTTAAATCCATATTAATTTAAGGGCATTATCGATTTATTTTATTTTTTTGTAGACTTATATCATTTTATATTGACTTATTTAAACATCGAAACTCGTAGACAATGCAAACTGAAATGGTTTATAGGCTGTTCACTTAGATGTTGCCTTTAGACTATGCGGAAAAGTTAAACTAGCAAATGGATTTGATTCTTGAAATCTTTCCACAGAGACTACAGAAATCAGAAATCTTCTACGTACACTTGAATCTTTACTTAAGTCTTGTTGTATCTGCATCATTCTTGTAGTTACATTCTCTTGTTTGTATCTGCAGATTCCCTGAAGCTATACCGACCATGAAGCCAATGATGACTTCTCTTCCAAATGCATTTATGTGGCCAGAGGTTTTACAACAAAAGAGAAGGCATACAAAACAGATACAAAACTAACATGATCAACACAACAACATAAACAACCTTAACCTTTCAATCAACATTCTCTAAGATAGAAGTAGAACAACATGTAAAACTATGATCAGGCTTTGATAATGTGGACCTTGATTTCGTGAACCAAACCGTGATAACCATTGACCATCTTTAGTTCGAATACCATTTCATCACCTGGCTTCACATGATTCCTTCGGATGATACTACTGATTCCATTTAGATACACGGATTTGTTCTTCCAAACCGCGATTCTCCTCTTCAATATGCCAATCTTGTCACGCACGATAACCATGTTTGGAAATGTCAAGTTGTAGTCCTTTATAAGTAAAGACGGTATGCGCTGCAAAATCAAAACCAATTGATGGACTAATCATAATGAATGACAAAACCATTTTGAATTTATTTTTTTTGTCACATTTCGTTTTCTTTACCGTTCTACTCTGAGTCATATCAACCGGAAACGACGGATTTAGTTTGTTGCCTAGATGTTCGTAAAACTTATGACTGTCAGTCTTCAAATTCTCACGTCTTCTACTTGTACCACCTATCCAATGATTAGGAAACAGAACACTTACAAAAACATTAGTTGAGTCTCTTATAAACATCGAAAATGTAAAGTGTTTTTGATACCTCTTCTTGGCGACTCCTCAAGCCCTTTTGTGCTCTCTTCATCATCCACAAGCACATCTTCTTCAATTTCTTCTTCAGTACTGTCCACTTTTATCACTTCTTTTTCCATTGGAGATCTCATCCTTTTACACATTGAACCATACTCATACACACAAAAGTGGAATACACCAGAACCATCGAACTCAAGCTCCAAGAAAATTGTCTCTGTCACATTCTCGTCCTTGACGATTCTCTTCCACCCGTCTCGGAGAAACACGGTGTCACCGTTTGCTTTCATTTCCATCCTCCAAATGTTCCCGGAAGACACGCTTTTAACAGTCACCTTCCGAGGAAGAGGCTTCCCTGAGATCTTGTCCAAAACCAAAGGTAGATTCTGTACAAAACAATAGAGAAACACATCATATTACCGGCGGATTTGCCACATAAAACAACAACCTAAAACCTAAAAAAATGTCTACTAAAGCTAAAATTTTCAAGATTCTTCTAAGATATCATCCAAAACTAGGAAAAAAAAGGACAAGATCTTGCAAAAACAGAACGAAAATGCTCTGTTCTAAGAGATCTTAAGCAACGTACCATGTCATCTGCGGTTTGATTTGGTATGTAAACTCTGAAAAACTTCTGAACTGTATCCAATAGCTCGTTTTGACTTGAGTTCTCTTCCATGGCCGTGAGAAGATTAAGTGTAAGAGAGATATAAAACAGATGAGAAAAAGAGAGAGAAGAAGAAGAAGAAATGGAGATTCAAGATTAGATGATGAGAGAGGGAGAGAGAAACATTCAATACAACACAACACACAAAGTCATGAAAATAGAAACAAAACAGAGCTCTGGTCACTTAGCGTTTCAGGTGGTTCAAACGGGAAACAATGTTGGACGTAAATAGTAATCCCTCATCAATTATCGATGTTACGTGTTGACAATAATAGAAAAAGTAAATAGACTAGGCCCATAATTATTTGGCCTAATTAAAAAAAGAGATAATTAGCTTAGAAGTAGAGATCTGGGATGAAATTAGTTTTTGATAAAATCTTGTCGGGGTCTAAAACAATTCTAACATTAGCCCATCCTCTTTCCATATTTAGCCTCACGCGCTCAGTAAACCGACGAAGTTTTTTTTTTGTTTCTTCCTAGACGAATATAGGTGGCTTTGTAGCGTGCATGCATGTACACAAATGTTAACAACGTTCTATCTACGTGTTTATATGTATACAAATGTTAATAACGTTCTATATACGTGCTTACATGTATTTTAATGTTAATAACGCTCTATGTACGTATTTACTTGTATATAAATGTATTTTACTTGTTAATAACGTTCTATATACGTGCTTACATTAATGTTAACAACGTTCTATATACGTGTTTACTTGTATATAAATGTTAATAACTATCTATTATATATATGTGTATATATGTATATATTTACATGTATACATAGATCTAATAGCTTAACACTATAATAACTTTTAACGCTCTATGTATGTGTTTACATGTGTATAAGTATTAAAATCGTGTAATATATGTTTGTAGCGTGTTAAAATTGCTCTAAATCGAGAAACAAACAATTATTGTTAGTTTGGTAAGAGTCACTTCACATGTTGAGCATTTAATGTCTGTCAGTTCGTTTTTATTCTCTCTCAAAAGTCAAAGCGTCTGTCACGCGCATATCAAAAAATCAACATGGTTTTTTCGTTATTATTGGAAAATTGAGGGCCATTAGTTACGTGTTTTTTCTATTGTTTGAGACAAAAAAAAGACATTTACTGATTCGCAAATTACTTGCTCTGTTTTTACCTCTGCGTAAAGTCTCCCTAAAAAAAGTCATAATAACGTTTCATCATCGCATCATTTCCAGTACTGAATAATTTCGTCATTTTTTCTTTTATTTTGTAACGCGAATCAATTATTTTCTGACACAATTTTCCTATGAAAAAAATACATTGAATTCAGAAGAACCCTAGATTAATTAAGAGATCTGCTGTGAGATTCTTGACATATTTTGTTGTTTTTGTTGTTGTTGATTCAGTGCCGGTCCGACATCTGCGAGTGCCCTACGCAAAACTTCAAAAAGTATGCCTTTTTCATATACTACAAAAACTATTAACGAATCATTATCAGCTTTCTTTTTTAAAATAAATTTGCAAGGAAAAAACAATATATTCAAAAGCAAAACTAACAATTAACCTAAAAAACTAGGATTTTTCACTTGTAAAATAAGCAAATTGACTCACATACACGCATAAGAGGTATCATGTAGCGTTAGTTTTTTTTATTAATATTCAATCAGCATTTTAGAGTTGTTTTTACTAAATCAAAAATTTAGTGTTGAAGATAATTAGTTTGTTTTTAAAAGCCCATATCATTTTTTAAAAAAGGTCATACAGAATAATTTATACCTTTTGCAGCATATCCAAAACTTAACAAATTTTTAGTTTAAAAGATCCTAAAATTTTGAGGCCCCAATCGCTGGGTTCAGTTGCTTGGCCTCTGCGCTGGGCCTGTGTTGATTAATTAAGAGATCTTATGTTTGCCTGTGGTAATAGTGAAAGATCAAAAAGAGCCACACCAATCTCTAGAAGATAATGGAAACAATCAAGATTAACAGGTATTTCATTAGGTTATGTTCATAAGGATTAGTGACAACAAGCTAGATATTGTTGTACCACGATTCAAGATTCGTACTAGAAATCAAAAGCTGCTAATAAGAATTATATAAAAATTTATTTATATCTTAAAACAAAATATGACAAAACTGCTAACTAGAAATTATAGGAAAACTCTACTTGTGAACATGATTGTAACACTTTTGTTGAATATTTTCATGCCATTATAAATTTATAACATTACAAGCGTTTCCTGACCATAGTGTTTTGTATTTGATCTTTCATTGTATACATAGTGACATAAAGAATGTGGACAAACTGTAAAGAAATGTTTCCAAGATTATACCGTATTTTTGTAGGTTCTTGAGAGAAGTGGACTGTTCTGTTCTTTCCGGGGACTAGACGAAGTGCTGCTACGCAAGAACTTCGTTGTACGGTGTTGGAATACTGATCCCAGGAGTGTCTGGAGGCATCTCAGGCAAAACATCATTTCCTTCAAGATAGTTTACCACTTGGGACATACTAGGCCTGTCCTCTGGATTGTACTGTGCACATAGTAGTCCAAGCTTTAGTACCATCTCTATCTCCTTGCAGACGTAGTCTCCTTCCAATCTAGCGTCTCGGGCGCCAACTAAGTTCCCTCTTTTCCAGCATTGACACACCCAGCTGATCAGGTTAAACTCTTCAGGCTTCCCGGGATACTCAATGAACATTCTTCCACAAGCAAACTCAAGTAGTAATGCCCCGAATGAATAAACATCGGCTTTGGTTGTCGGCATTCCTGTTATTATAAGCTCTGGAGCCACATACCCTACGCTTCCAAGCATTGGATTCCTGTTTGTACCAAATCTAGCTAGACCGAAATCTAGCCGCCCGTTTAAATCCTCATCCAAGAGTACATTTGCGGCTTTTACATCTCGGTGGAGAACGATCTGTTCGTGCAAATATAGAAGAGCTGAAGCCACTCCTTTGATAATGTGAAACCTTTGAGACCAACTAAGGTTAGGCCTTTCTTCATTAAACAAGAAATCGTCAAGATTTCCATAAGGCATATAATCATAGACCAAGAGTAATTCACCTTTTCTTCTGCAGTATCCTAAAAGCTGCACAAGATTCTTGTGCCTTAACTTCCCAATACCAACAATCTGAGAAACAAGGTGTTTGGTATCTTGTTCTGCATCTAAAGAAACTCTCTTTACAGCAATCTGTGCATTAGAAGAGAGCTTTCCTTTGTAAACTGTCCCATTAGCCTCTGTACCGAATAACTCGCTCTCTTTGAACCCTTTGGTGGCTTTGTAAAGAGCTTTGTAAGAAAACCTCTGAGGACTGTAATCTTCCTCCCATTCTTCTCGGACTTCTTCATACTTGCTGTTCACATACATTGATCTTAAAGCTGCCCCCATTCTCAGAAATATACCTGCAAACATGTCAGATTTTTGCAGATTTTCAAGGCAGCTTTTAGTACTCTGTTTCCATTGTTGTGTCTGTTGCAACTTTGTCAAGCCGTTTTTGTTGTGGCCAATTGGTTGCAGACCACTTTCTTTTCAGGAGAAGGTCAACTGTTGTACCAGGACCGTCCATTTCTTGTTCTTTAATGGTACTTAATCTCTTAAAATGGTATTTAATTATACTAGTGGCATTTAAAATCTCCAATGAAGATTTTCATTATCAATTATTTGCAATTTATATTGCAACATTGAACAGGTTCATCATTTTGATCACCTGGATGAATTAAATATTCAAATTTTTATGAAGATGCAATATTTTCTTCTTATTACAGAAGTCAACTACAAGAAGGAAAGAACAAAAAAAAGATGTATTAGAATCTCTTATGTATACAACAGACTTCAGAGTTCAGAAAAAATGTATCTAGGTTTTGGTATGATAACATAACTAATAGGGGAAAAAAGTGAATTGGAATAGAAAGCCTCTTTCTTACATAGAGGCTTTTATAAACAATACACATATTAAAGAAACACTCTCTGTTCTTTAGTTTGGTTGTAGTATCTTGCCATGATTTTCTTCTTCAACAACTGCAGCAGAATAAATGCATCAGACTTCAAATGCAGGTTTGTCAAATTTTTATAGTTGAGGAATAAAAGAGGAACTCACTTTCATTTGTGTTGGCTAAAAGGGGAGCTTTGTTGTCTGCTGAATTTGGAGCAGGTACAATGGTTGTGGCTGCACCAAAACTAGAAGTCTGAGAAGAACCTTTACGAGGACTGATAGCTTTAGATATCACTCGAGATAGTTCTCTATCGTCTTCGCTAGGTTCAAACTTCTGGGATATGTATTCCTTCATTGATACCCCTTTGTCCCACACCTGATTCCACATTGTTACAACCAAAAGATGATTGATTGATGCATTTACCTAAAATGCAAAAACACATGAAAATTTATAGTACCTTAGTATTGAAGCCAGTGGGCTGGTTAGTTCCGGCAGTGTTGATTTCCGCAACATCATTTACTTCTTCTTCTGGCTCTGTTGGTTCTGGGAAAGCCATATCTTGAATCTTCTTAGTTATAGCTTGAGTTGCGTCAGAGACTTTAGCATAAGCAGGTGCTAGCTTCTCTGTTACAGTTTCTGTTACCGTTTTGCTTGGACTAATAGGTTCCTGCTGGCTTGTGCACTCTTTCCTTGTCTTCTCAGTTACTATTGTTGTTGTGTCAGAATCAGCAGGCTTCTCTTGCTTGACATCAGATAAAACATTCTTCTCAGAGATTACAGGATGATGTTCTGTGTTGGAACCAGTACAATCTTTTTGTTCTTGTTCAGCGTCCTGTTTGGCTGGGAGTACAGACAAGACATTTGTCTCAGTGATCACAGGATTTTCCCGGGGATGCTGCCTCGCGGTCTCCTTTAACTCTTCAGGTGCCTTCTTTGATTCATACACTGGAAATATAACACAAGAAGATTGATCAGTCTTAATCAATTCCAAAGAAGATGGTTGTTACTTATGCAGCTTTGCTTAATTTGATTTACTTGGGGCTCCAAGATATTCAGGATCTTCTTCTTCTTCTCCTCCTTCTTCTCTGATTTTACGGTCTTTCGACTTGTCACGTGGTGAAAATGACGCATAACCACCTTCTCTAACTTCATGGTCTTCGGATCTGCTAAACGGTGACATGGTTGCATCACCTTCTTCATCATGTCTCTTCTTGGTGCTGACACTGTGCTGCAGTTTTTTCGCCTTATCCTTCATTTTGGAAAACAAAGATTTCTTATGGTGCGAATGTTCTCCATCATTTTCTTTTCTTGGTGAACCAGAAGGTGACCTTTTTGAAGCTTCACCAGCTGAAAAAAGTATGAAAGATAACACCCAAGAACATCAAATCAAATCACTGAGAAGCAAACAAAATGGATATTGCGAAAACCGAACATTTCTTGGAGAGACTTACATTGGTGACGCTGGCTAAGTGTTGAGAAGCAAGGATTTCCAGAATGATCAACATGTGTTTTTAAGCTTTCGAGCTCAGCGACGGGGTCAAGTTGACGCGACATTTGAGAAACACAAAATTCTTGTTGATCTTCCGTTTGGGAACTCTGTTCCTCAGAGAACAACATAAGATACATATAATACAAGAAAAGGTATGCATGTCCACGAATCTTGTTTCTCCGAGGTTCTTGGACAAACCATAAAAAAAAAAAATGCTTAAAATAGTCATGGTCACTTATTGGAGAAGCATAAAGAGAAGACAATTTCTTTGCCTGAGAAAATGACGTTTTGAGCTGAATAATAGGACTCACATTTATAGAGTTTTCTAGAGAAACATGGAACCATAAATAACAAAGACACTCTTTAAAAAACTTAAGCAAGACTTGTCTCTGAACTTTAATGACCAAACATATTACGACTATGTGAGAAAACGAAAGAACACATCTGAAACTTAGTTGAAATCCATAGCCAAACCTGCATTGTTGAAAGTAAAAAACCTCTGGACACAATACATAAGTTGCAGAATCATCACAGACTATACATTTCAGAAACCTATTACTTATTGAGATATTTGGGAATATAGTACGTTTCTGAAAAATAATAGGAAATATAGTACGGATACTTATTGAGATATTTACTTATTTGTCTCACTGGCACTGCATGCCGTTTAAAACTAAATAAAACGTCATGTAGTTCTCTTGTAAATACACTAAACGGGATGAGTCTAAAAGGAAAGTCTCTCTTTACCTGCTTAAAACCCGAAAGTACAATTTTCGCCGAAGCCAAAAATCTTCACTTCCTTCTTCTTCTCTGTAAAACCTTATCTTCTCCGCCCATGGCCGCCTTCTCCGTCAACGGGCAGCTTATCCCGACGACAACTAGCTCCACCTCTTCCACCTCACTCTCTTCCCGTCGGAAATTTCTATCTCCTTCCTCGTCTCGCCTCCCTCGCATCTCCTCACCATCTCCTCGCGTTCCATCGATAAAATGCAGCAGTAGCTTACCTAACCGAGATACAGAGACTTCCTCAAAGGATTCTCTCCTTAAAAACCTAGCTAAACCTCTAGCCGTAGCCTCAGTCTCGTCCGCTGCGTCATTCTTTCTATTCCGAATCTCGAATCTTCCGTCGGTTCTAACCGGTGGTGGCGGTGGTGGTGGAGGAGGAGATGGGAATTTCGGTGGATTTGGTGGTGGAGATGGAAATGATGGTGGATTTTGGGGGAAATTGTTTGCTCCTGCTCCTGCGGTTGCTGATGAAGAACAATCACCGGATTGGGATTCTCATGGTTTACCGGCGAATATCGTTGTGCAATTGAACAAGCTTAGTGGTTTCAAGAAGTATAAGGTCTCTGACATTATGTTCTTTGATCGACGGAGACAAACCACAATTGGTACTGAAGATTCTTTCTTCGAGATGGTCTCGATTCGTCCTGGTGGAGTTTACACTAAAGCTCAATTACAGAAGGAGCTTGAAACCCTAGCTACTTGTGGAATGTTTGAGAAAGTTGATTTGGAAGGGAAAACGAAACCTGACGGAACCCTAGGTGTTACAATCTCCTTTGCTGAGAGTACATGGCAATCTGCTGATAGGTTTAGATGTATTAACGTTGGGTTAATGGTGCAGTCGAAACCGATTGAGATGGATTCAGATATGACTGATAAAGAGAAGCTTGAGTATTACAGGAGCTTGGAGAAGGATTACAAGAGGAGAATTGATAGGGCACGGCCTTGTTTGTTACCTGCACCTGTGTATGGTGAGGTTATGCAGATGTTGAGGGACCAAGGGAAAGTGAGTGCGAGGCTGTTGCAGAGGATTAGGGACCGTGTTCAGAAATGGTACCATGATGAAGGGTATGCTTGTGCTCAAGTTGTGAATTTTGGGAATTTGAATACTAAGGAGGTTGTTTGTGAAGTTGTGGAAGGTGATATAACTCAGCTGGTTATTCAGTTTCAAGATAAGCTTGGTAATGTGGTTGAAGGTAACACTCAAGTTCCTGTGGTGCGCAGGGAATTGCCTAAACAGGTATGTGTCTCAAGTTATGCTATGTTAGATGTGTCATTGTTGATGTGATCATGATTCTGGCAGTAAATTTGATGTCCTCGTTGGTATAGGATAGGATGATGACGAAAGTGTAGTTATGTTATAGACTGATATATCAGGAAAAAATTGACAGACTTTTAACTTGAACTTGCTATTTAATTCTGATGGATGTAAAAGGATTAATCGCTTCAATGAACTCACTGTAGAAATGTTTTATATTCCAGACATGTTATGATATATCTCATTTGTTGTGTTAGTTTTAATGATAGTATCTATGTTTTGTTGACAGCTTCGCCAAGGTTATGTTTTCAACATTGAAGCTGGGAAACAAGCTCTCAGGAACATCAACTCATTGGGGCTGTTCTCTAACATTGAAGTCAATCCACGCCCAGATGAGAAAAATGAAGGGGGCATTATTGTTGAGATCAAGCTTAAGGAGCTAGAACATAAGTCAGCTGAAGTCAGTACAGAATGGAGTATTGTTCCTGGGCGTGGAGGAGCTCCCACACTGGTATGAATCCTTCCTTACTGGAATAAGTACAGAGTGTAAAATTTGAGAAGTTCCATTGAGTTTGATTGTCATTGTTTATATGCATCAGGCTTCATTCCAGCCAGGTGGGTCTGTTACTTTCGAGCATCGAAACCTCCAGGGTCTTAATAGGTCTCTCATGGGTTCAGTGACCACTAGCAACTTCTTGAATCCTCAGGTACATTTGATAAGCTTACATGATTGATACATCTCTGGTTCAACTTTCGGTTGATACCATCCATCTATTTCTGTTTTTCTATGTGCTACACACAAACCTTATGTTACATTTTTTCCTCAGGATGATCTTTCATTTAAACTTGAGTATGTGCACCCGTATCTGGATGGTGTTTACAATCCTCGGAATCGCACATTCAAAACGAGCTGCTTCAACAGCCGCAAACTTAGCCCAGTATTCACTGGAGGACCCGGTGTTGAGGAAGTGCCACCAATTTGGGTTGATCGAGCTGGTGTGAAAGCTAATATAACTGAGGTAAGCTTGCCGATACTCAGTGCCATAATCAACTTGTTTTGTCCTACAAACACTTACCTGAAACATATTTTCATGCAGAACTTCACCCGTCAGAGTAAGTTTACATATGGACTTGTGATGGAGGAGATAACAACCCGAGATGAAAGCAGTCACATTGCTGCAAATGGTCAGAGACTACTACCTAGCGGTGGAATCAGTGCTGATGGACCTCCAACAACTCTCAGTGGTACCGGTATTGATCGAATGGCTTTTCTACAAGCCAACATCACCCGTGACACTACCAAATTTGTTAATGGGGCAGTTGTTGGACAGAGGACTGTCTTTCAGGTTTGCTTTCCCAATGATCAAATGAGATCATAATTATGAGTCATCTGTATACTCTGTAAGCTTTACACAATGTATTTGCATATCACAGGTGGATCAGGGACTGGGTATTGGGAGCAAATTCCCATTCTTCAACCGCCACCAGTTAACCATGACAAGATTCATTCAGCTGCGGGAAGTAGAAGAAGGGGCTGGTAAGTCACCACCACCAGTTCTAGTCCTCCATGGGCATTACGGAGGCTGCGTTGGTGACCTTCCAAGCTACGATGCTTTTGTCCTCGGTGGTCCGTACTCTGTCCGTGGCTACAACATGGGTGAGCTCGGTGCTGCTAGAAACATTGCCGAGGTAATACAACAAACACAAAACAAAACAGTCTTTTCTCCTAAACCTGACAAAATGTGTGTCTAATTGGTTTCATGGATTGCAGGTGGGTGCTGAGATCAGAATACCTGTGAAGAACACTCATGTCTACGCCTTTGTTGAGCATGGAAATGACTTAGGAAGCTCAAAGGACGTGAAGGGAAACCCTACAGCAGTCTACAGGAGAACGGGGCAGGGTTCATCATACGGTGCAGGTGTGAAACTCGGTTTGGTCCGAGCTGAGTATGCTATAGATCACAACAACGGAACCGGTGCTCTGTTCTTCCGGTTTGGAGAGAGGTATTAAGGTGATGTGAGAAGTAAGTTTATGTAACCCACCTTAGGCTTTCCAATTTTCTTTCTAAGGATCTATTATTTTTCTCCTTTTTCCTTTTCTTTTGTGGGTTTTTCAATAATTGCTTAATATTAGTGTTTGCTTACGTTGCTGAGTTGTGCTGAGAATCGGGCAAGAGTTTCTTCTTCTTAAACTTCATTGTTTGAATTTAAAAGTGTACGTTAGCGACACTATTTGATCTTTTTTTTTGTTTTTTATGAGTATTCCTGAAAATGGTCCCTTCTTTGATATTTTGAGTAAAGTTACATATTTTATTTCTTATTTAAATTCTTCTAACTAATAAAATTTTATGGGCACATGTAAGACCAAAAAAATGTCAAGCACATAAGAATTTATTTAATAGATCCTTGTTGTTGAATTGTCACCTAGAATTATTAGCTTTGCTTTTGTTGTATTTTAAATTTGACACCTTTTCTTTTCGTATTTGCGACGAATATTTCATATTATCTTGCCATAGACTATTTTTTTTTTTTTTTTTTCATCTTCTTGCCATAGACTCTAAACTCCTACACTTTTAACACAACAAAAATCTGAACCAAAATGTGAGACGCATATTTCAACATACATATGAAAGAATGAAACTTCCACGAAAGATAGTACGACAAGTTGAGGATTGAGAATGAGAATTTATATTGGTCCGACTTTTCTACGTGGAATATTGTGGACATAGTTACAAACTATGCATAGTTGGTCCGAAATAATTATAGGAGAGGATAAGATTTCATCAAATATCAACAAGTCAACGTCTGAAAGCTTCCAAAGTCAAGTTGACAGAAGGAAACAAAACACATCTCAAGTCAAGTTGACACAAGGAAACAAAACATATCTTTAATCTTGTGCTTACTGTGACTCTGTGAGATCCGTGCATTCAACCACGATACTGAGAATATGGTCGATGCGATTGCGGGATTTCTTGTGGGAAAGATCGGCAACTATATCATTGAAGAAGCATCAATGTTGATGGCAGTCAAAGACGATCTAGAGGTGCTGAAGACAGAGTTGACGTGCATCCAAGGTTATCTCAAGGATGTTCAAGCACGAGATAGAGAAGACGAGGTCTCAAAAGAGTGGACAAAACTGGTTTTAGATATCGCTTATGACATTGAGGATGTTTTGGACACCTATCACATGAAACTCGAAGAAAGATCACAAAGGCAAGGCTTCAAGAGATGGGCCAACAAATTAGGCAGGAAAATGGATTCGTCTAGCATAGTTGATGATATCAGAACCCTCAAGGGAAGAATCCTAGATGTTACTCGCAAGCGGAAGACTTATGGAATAGGAAACTTGAACGAGCCTCGAGGAGGAGAGAATAATTTAAGTTCATGGGTAAGGGAGCTTCCGCATGCTCGATTTGTTGATCAAGAAGAGCTTATAGTTGGTTTGGAAGATGATGCTAAGATTCTTTTGGAAAAGATTCTTGATTATAAAGAGAACAAGAGATATATCATCTCCATATTCGGCATGGGAGGTCTTGGAAAGACGGCTCTTGCTAGAAAGCTTTCTAACTCTTGTGATGTGAAGAATAATTTTGAATACCGCGCATGGACTTATGTTTCTCAAGAGTATAAAACCAAAGATATGCTTATGGGAATCATAAGTTCTTTGGGAGTAATTTCTGGGGAAGAATTGGAAAAGATCAGGATGTTTGCGGCAGAGGACTTAGAAGTTTACCTTCACAGTCTTCTAGAAGGGAAAAAATATTTGGTGGTGGTAGATGATATATGGGAGATAGAAGCGTGGGAGAGCCTGAAGAGAGCTTTACCAGAGAATCATAGAGGAAGTAGAGTCATCATCACTACGCGTATCAAAGCCGTGGCTGAAGGCATGGACGAGAGAGTCTATGCTCACAACTTAAGGTTTCTGACATTTGAAGAAAGCTGGAAATTGTTTGAAAAGAAAGCATTCAGGAATAGGCAATGGGTCGATGAAGATCTTCAGAAGATTGGGAAAGAAATGATTAAAAAATGTGGTGGCTTACCGCTTGCTATAGTTGTTCTTGGTGGGTTTCTGTCTAGGAAAAGACCAAGAGACTGGAATGAGGCGTGTGGCAATCTCTGGCGACGCCTAAAGGATAATTCCAATCATTTCTCCACTGTATTTGATCTAAGCTTCAAGGAGCTACGACATGAGTTGAAACTGTGCTTTCTTTACCTTAGTATCTTCCCAGAAGACTATGAGATTAACGTAGAGAAGTTGATACGGTTACTTGTGGCAGAAGGGTTTATAGAAGAGGATAAAGAGATGATGGAAGATGTGGCTCGGTATTATATTGAAGAGTTGATAGACAGAAGTCTGGTGAAAGCTGAAAGAATAGAGAGAGGGAAGGTAATTACTTGTAAAGTCCATGATCTTCTGAGAGACGTGGCTATCAAGAAAGCCAAAGAGCTCAACTTTGTACACGTTTATGACGATCCGGTGGCCCAATATTCTTCTGCTACTGCAGAAGAGAAGTGGTTCACCATCAGATCAATAGATACTTATCTGAGAAACACCGGAACAAGCGGATGCGATCCTTCTTATTCTTTGGAGAATCAGAGGATTTGGTAGGGCGTGATTTCGAAACCATTTACTTAAAACTGAAGCTACTTCGAGTGCTTGATCTCGGAGGGGTTCGGTTTCCTTGTGAAGAAGGGAAGAAGAGTTTACCAGAAGTGATTGGGGATCTGATCCAATTGAGGTACCTTGGAATTGCTGATACTTTTCTCAGCAATTTACCATCTTTTATCTCCAACTTACGGTTTCTACAAACACTAGATGCATCTGGCAATGAATCCATCAGGCAAACAATTGATCTCCGTAACCTCACATCACTGAGACATGTCATAGGAAAATTCGTTGGAGAATTACTACTAGGCGACACCGTTAACCTTCAGACCTTGAGGTCTATCTCCTCCTATAGCTGGAGCAAACTAAACCATGAGGTTTTCATAAATCTTCGGGACTTGGAAATCTTTGATTCCATGTGGGTGGATCAGAGAGGAATTTCTTTGGACTTGGCTTCCTTCTCTAAACGGAAGAATCTTCGTGCCTTGACGCTGAAGGTATCCACCTTCAAGTTATCTTCAGAATCGGAAGAAACAGTTCGGTTCCAAACCCTTGTTGAGCTGACACTGCGTTGCGATATAAGGAGACTTCCCAAGGACATGGATGTGATATTTCCTAGTCTTGAGTCACTTACACTTGTCGGATCATGACTCGAGGAAGATCCAATGCCTACTTTGGAGAAATTGCAAAGACTAGAAGATCTGTCACTGACAAATTGTAGTTACTCGGAAACAAAGATGAGCATCAGCGCACAAGGTTTTAGTCGGCTGAACAAGCTTGAATTGTTCATGGTAAGATTAGACGAGTTGGAGTTGCATATAGAAGAAGAGGCCATGCCCAGTGTGTGACTAAGATGAATCTGACAACCAAAGGACGACAAACGAAGCTGATGATTCCAGATCGATTACGAGCTTTTGTTTGAGGCTACCAGTAATAGAACACGCTAAGATAAACGAAGCCAGTTAGGTTGCTTGGGTTGCAAGAATAATTATTTGTGATTTTAACGAATGTTTTTGTGGAGGTTTTGATATTTGTATTTTTTGTTTAGCTGCGGTTATAACTTATAAGTTGAATTAATAGCAATAATTTGTAATAAATTTATGGAATTGTGTTTCTATAAGTGAATGACATTAGCAGAGACGTACAACTTTCAACTTTACTACTCTTGGCCTTCTTAATCTTGCCTAAGCTTTCTCGAGAACAAACATCTTGATAGTTGATGTAAGCTTCGATATATGGTACTAAAGCACCAATTCAAGGTACAAAAATGACTGACCACTTGTTATATCTTGATTTGATAAAAAAAGAAAAAACAATCTCATTATAAAAGATTGATTTCATGAAATAAAATAGTTTTACGTAACACATTTTTTAGTTCTTTTTTTCTTTATAATCTCATTTGTTCTCATTATAAAAGATTGATTTCAAGAAATAAAATTGAATAAAATAGTGTTACTTAGCAGTTAGCACAGTTAGTTTTTTTTTGTTCTAATCTCATTTGTTCTCTATTTGTTTAATCTTTGTACCTACTATTTCTTATGATCATCAATAAATTTGACATTTCATAAAAAAAAAAAAATTGAATAAAATAACGAAGAACAATATAAACAATATGAAACGAGCATCTCAATAATGTAAAAAAAAAATTCGTAAATTTGATATGAATTTTGAGATGAAAAATTCCATATCAAGCTTTTACGAGTTGAAAAAAAAAGAGAAGTTTTTGCGTCTTTACCATGAATTAATTCACAACCTAACCACAACAATACAAGTTGCAAATTCCTGTCAAAATTGAGAAGAATTTGCATACTGTATCTCCATTGCAAAATAAGGTTGAAGAGATTTCTTCTCAAAATTTGTAGCTGAATTTCCATGTCAACAACATGCCTTAAAATTTAAAGGAAACAACTAAACTCCGAACTTTTAACATGTAAAAAAACTGAGCCAAAATTTGAGACATATTTGACACAATGATTTTCTAACTGTCAAACTTTCAGATTAATTACGATACTTTGTAAATATACGATTTTTAATATGCATAGAATTTTGTAGTAAAAAAATTGAAACTTTCAACAAAAAATCGTATGAATAGTTGACAAATGAAAATGTATGTTGGTATCACGTCTGCATCTGAGTTCTTTTATTAAATTACCAACCGGGGATAGTGCCCATAGAATATTAGGAACCCATATAATTTAATCAAACATACACAAAGTCAAGTGTCAAAGGCTTTCGAAAACTTGAAATTGTTGACATTAGGAAACAAAACAAAACTTCAATCTTGTCCATATTTCGAAATCCTTCAATTTGATTCTGTTGAGATGGTAGATGCTATCACTGGGTTTGTTTTGAAAAAGATCGGTGGCTATCTTATCAATGAAGTGTCGATGTTGATTGGAGTCAAAGACGATCTAGAGGAGCTGAAGACGGAGTTGACGTGCATCCATGGTTATCTTAAGGATGTTGAAGCTCGAGAAAGAGAAGAGGAGGTCTCAAAAGAGTGGACAAAACTTGTTTTAGATATCGCCTATGACATCGAGGATGTTTTGGACACCTATTTCTTGAAAGTTGAAGAAAGATCACAGAGACGAGGCTTGTCGAGAATGACCAACAAAATAGGCAAGACGAAAGATGCGTACAGCATAGGTTGTGATATCAGAAACCTCAAGAGAAGAATCTTGGATATCACTCGCAAGAGGGAGACTTATGGTATAGGAGGCTTCAAAGAGCCTCAAGGAGGAGGGAATATTTCAAGTTTGAGAGTTAGGCAGCTTGGGCGTGCTCGATCTGTTGATCACGAAGAGTTAGTAATTGGTTTGGAAGATGATGCTAAGATTCTTTTGGTAAAACTTCTTGGTGATAATAAGGAGGACAAGAGGCATATTATCTCCATCTTCGGTATGGGAGGTCTCGGAAAAACTGCACTTGCCAGGAAGCTTTACAACTCAGGGGATGTGAAGAGAAGATTTGATTGCCGTGCGTGGACCTATGTTTCTCAAGAGTATAAAACTGGAGATATACTTATGAGAATCATTAGATCTTTGGGAATGACTTCAGGGGAAGAGTTGGAGAAGATCAGAAAGTTTGCAGAGGAGGAACTTGAAGTTTACCTTCACGGTCTTCTAGAAGGGAAAAAGTATTTGGTGGTCGTGGATGATATATGGGAGCAAGAAGCGTGGGAGAGCTTGAAGAGAGCGTTACCGTACAATCACGGAGGAAGTAGAGTCATCATCACTACGCGTATCAGAGCACTAGCCGAAGGCGTGGATGGGACAGTCTATGCTCATAAGTTAAGGTTCTTGACGTTTGAAGAAAGCTGGACATTGTTTGAACAGAAAGCATTCAGGAATATTGAAAAGATCGATGAGGATCTGCGGAGAACTGGAAAAGAAATGGTTCAAAAATGTGGTGGATTACCGCTTGCTATAGTCGTGCTTTCCGGGATTTTGTCTAGGAAAAGGACAAACGAGTGGCATGAGGTGTGTGCTAGTTTATGGAGACGTCTAAAGGATGACTCCATTCATGTTTCCACTGTGTTTGATCTAAGCTTCAAAGATTTGCGGCATGAGTCCAAACTCTGTTTTCTGTACCTTAGTATCTTCCCTGAGGACCACGAGATAGATATAGAGAAATTGATCCACTTACTTGTAGCAGAAGGATTTATACAAGAGGATGAAGAGATATTGATGGAAGACATGGCTCGAGATTATATCGACGAGCTGATAGATAGAAGCCTAGTCAAAGCTGAAAGAATAGAACGAGGCAAAGTCATGTCCTGCAAAATCCATGATCTTCTGAGAGACGTGATTATCAAGAAAGCCAAAGAGCTTAACTTTGTAAATATATACAACGAGAAGCATCATTCTTCTGCTATTTGCAGAAGGGAAGTGTTTCATCTTATTAATAACAGCTTCCCGTACGACAGAAGTGTAAACAAACGGATGCGATCCTTCTTAATCATCGGAGAAGGAGGGGGTATTGTCAAGACCACAAACTTGAAACTGAAGCTACTTCGAGTGCTAGATATTGGAAGGCTTTCTTTTGATAGTGAGTTTTATACCCATACGACTTTACCAGATGTAATTGGGGATTTAATCCACCTGAGGTATCTAGGGATCGGTGATATTTATGTCAGCATTTTACCAGCTTCCATCTCCAATTTACGGTCTCTACAGACACTAAATGCATCAGGCCATAAGCTCTTCCAGTACACGACCGATCTAAGTAATATTACAACACTAAGGCATGTCATTGGAAAATTTGTGGGAGAATGTCTAATAGGCGACGGAGTAAACCTTCAGACCTTGAGGTCTATCTCTTCCTACAGCTGGAGCAAGCTGAACCATGAGTTACTCATAAATCTTCGGGACTTGGAGATCTACGACGACTCTAACTGGGTAGACCAGAGAACAGTTTCGTTAGACTTGGTTTCCTTTTCTAAACTGAAAAATCTCCGTGTCCTCAAGCTCGAAATGAGAAACTTCAAGTTATCGTCGAAATCAAAAACGACAATTGGGTTAGTGGATGTGGACTTTCCCAGTCTTGAGTCTCTGACACTTGTCGGAATAACTTTCGAGGAAGACTTAATGTCTGCTTTGCAGATATTACCTAGACTGGAAGATCTGGTCTTGAAAGATTGTAGTTACCCGGGAGCGAAGATCATCAGCATCAGTGCACAAGGTTTTGGTCGGTTGAGGAATCTTGAATTGTTCATGGAAATATTAGATGAGTTGCGGATTGAAGAAGAGGCCATGCCTAGTTTAATAAAGCTGATTGTGAGTGCCCGAATAAGACTAACAACGAAGCTGATGATTCCTAATCGATTGAAAGCGCTTGTTCGTGCAGGCTACTACGGTATGAGATGATGACTTATGATCCATTTGAATCATTATATACCAACAAAAAACAATATGAAGAAAAATTGGGACGATGCCAGCTGAAAGAAAGAAGTTAAAAATGTTTATGTGAAAAAAGAAAAAAGAAAAGTTTTTGGGAAGTGTTTTTTTTTTTTTTTTTTTTTTTGTTTGGTATTTGTATTTTTCCCTTCTTGGTTATACATTGCATTGTTTTTGTGAAGTGTTTTATTATTATTTTTTTTTGTTTGGTATTTGTATTTTTCCCTTCTTGGTTATACATTGCATTGTTTTTGTGAAGTGTTTTTTTTTTTCTTTTTTTTTTTTTTGGTATTTGTATTTTTCCTTTCTTGGTTATACATTGCATTGTTTTTTTGTTGAACATACATTGCATTGTTATCAGCAAAAGATGATGAAGAAACGAGATTGCTTGCAGGAGAAGAAAGGAAAATAGTTGAGGTTGTCACAAGACTAGAAAATCATATATGTTTTATCACTAGGATAATTTTGCTGATACTTAAAAAAAAAAATGTGAATCCTTTTCAGAACCCAAAATGAGAAGATGGAGTCACACTCACTGGTTCAATCAGAAGCAGAGACCAATCAAATGATAAAGACCCGACAATAATGCTATAAACTTAGGGCATTTAGATGTCAATAACTTATATGGCTATACTATGTAACAAAGGAAGAGAGACCTAGCTTTTGTTGGAATGTCACTTTCATCATTCGGTAAAATGTTCGTTAGCGTTGTGGCTTTCCAACACAAAGGAAGGTTATATGTTAAAGAATACAAAAATAATAATACTTTAATTGTATATACCAACCAGAAATAATCTAATCATATACACCAGCAAAAAATAATACTAATCTCATCTTCAAATCCTGCAACAAAGCCGGGTCAACGAGACCTTAATGGTATACTAATCTCATCTTCACAGCAACAAAGCTGGGTCAACAGATCCGAGACAAAAGGCTTTAGTTTAATAATGATATTGCATGTGACAAGATCTTCTTTACCAAGAAAGTGATGTGTCAACCTTTATCTCCACAGCTAAGTAATTGACTAGTTGACATTTAATAATTTTACTTGAGATACAAAAGGAGATAGAAAGATAGAGAACAGAGAGATAGGGGTTAAGAAATGGAGAAAAGAGCAGAGAAGATAAGGATAGTATTGGTTCCACTTCCAATACAAGGACATATCACTCCAATGATGCAACTTGGTCAAGCCCTTAACTTGAAGGGCTTCTCAATTACTGTCGCTCTCGGAGCTTTTAATCGAGTAAGTTCTTCGCAACACTTCCCTGGTTTTCAATTTGTCACCATACCAGAAACTGTACCAATTTCTCAACATGACACACTCGGAGTAGTTGAGTTTGTGGTTAAGCTCAACAAAACCAGCGAGGAGAGTTTCAAAGACTGTATAGCTCAGTTGTTGCTGCAACATGGAAATGATATAGCATGTATCATTTACGACGAGCTCATGTACTTCTCTGAAGCTGCAGCTAAGGAGTTCAAGATTCCAAGTGTCATATTCACCACTGGTAGTGCTACAAATCATGTTTGTTGCTGTGTTTTAAGCAAACTCAACGTCGAGAAGTTCTTGATCGACATCGAAGGTACACAAGAGTAACTGATTACCTATTCCGAAAACCGTTCTTTCACTCATACAGAGGCTTTTTTACTTTACAGATCCGGAAGTGCAAAACAAGGTGGTGGAAAATTTACATCCATTAAAATACAAAGACCTACCAACTTCAGGAATGGGGCCACTAGAGCGATTTTTGGAGATTTGTTCGGAAGTAGTTAACAAAAGAACGGCTTCCGCTGTTATAATTAACACGTCGAGTTGTCTAGAGAGCTTGTCTCTCTCATGGCTGAAAAAAGAACTCAAAATTCCAGTGTACCCCTTAGGCCCTCTTCACATTACAGCTTCAGCAACGTCTAGTTTACTGGAAGAGGACAGGAGCTGCATTGAATGGCTGAACAAGCAGAAACCGAGGTCAGTCATATACATTAGCGTAGGAAGCATAGGTCACATGGAAACAAAGGAAGTGTTGGAGATGGCTTGGGGATTGTATGATAGCAACCAACCTTTCTTGTGGGTAATCCGACCAGGCTCTATCCCTGGTTCAGAGTCATTACCAGAAGAAGTCAGTAAGATGGTCTCAGAAAGAGGATGCATTGTGAAATGGGCACCGCAGAATGAAGTACTTGTGCATCCTGCAGTTGGAGGCTTTTGGAGCCATTGTGGATGGAACTCAACACTCGAGAGTATTGGGGAAGGAGTTCCGATGATTTGCAGACCTTTTAATGGTGAGCAAAAGTTAAACGCAATTTATATAGAAAGTGTTTGGAGAATAGGGATTCTGCTTCAAGGTGAAGTGGAAAGAGGAGGGGTCGAGAGAGCTGTGAAGAGGTTGATTGTGGATGAAGAAGGTTCAGGAATGAGGGAGAGAGCCCTTGTTCTAAAAGAGAAGCTCAATGCCTCTGTAAGAAGTGGAGGCTCCTCATACAATGCATTGGATGAGCTCGTCAACTATATAGAAACAGAGTATAGCAATTCTTGAAAACAGAGTAAACCTGAAGAATTTCTGTATCCATGCCTCAAGCTTGATCTTGTAAAGAAAGTCCATTGCATGTTTAATCCTCAAAAGCCTTTCTTTCTATATACCAAAAACATTGAGGCATGGATCAAATCTGTCACAACAAGAGATATTTCTAGTACTTATTTTGAGCATCTTTTTCTAATACAGAAATTTCTTATATTTTCTTGATTTCTCGATTCATATTTTTTTCATCACAAAGTGTTTACATATTAACCAATTAATATTTCCCAAGTATTCTTTATAGTTTGACCAACATAATAGGCGAGAAGAATGTCCAGGATGCGTACAACATAGTTGATGATATCAGAACCCTCAAACGAAGAATGTTGGATGTTACTCGCAAGCGGGAGATGTATGGCATAGGAAACTTTAGTGAGCATCGAGCAGTAGCGAGTAATTCAAGGGTGATGGAGCTTCGGTGTCCTCGATCTGATGATCAGGAAGAGCGTGTAGTTGATTTGGAAGATGATGCTAAGGTTCTTTTGACAAAGCTTCTTGACGATGATGGGGATAACAAGACATATATGATCTCCATATTTGGCATGGGAGGTCTCCAAAACACTGCTCTTGCTAGGAAGCTTTATAACTCTAGCTATGTGAAGGAAAGTTTTGAATATCGCGTATGGACTTATCTTTCTCGAGAATGTAAAACAGGAGATATTCTTAAGAGAATCATAAGATCATTGGAAGAAACATCTGAGGTAGAGCTTGAAAAGATGGCGGAGGAGGAGTTAGAAGTTTACCATAATGATATTTTACAAGGAAAAAAATATCGGGTGGTGGTAGATGATATATGGGAGAAAGAAGCGTGTGAGAGCTTGAGAGAGCATTACCTTGCAATTATGAAGGAAGCAGAGTCATCATCACTACACGTATTAGAGCCGTGGCTGAAGGCGCAGACCAAAGATTCTACACCCATAACATAAGGTTCTTAACGTTTGAAGAAAGCTGGAACTTGTTTGAGAAGAAAGCATTTAGAGATATCGTAAAGGTCGATCAAGAACTGCAGAAAATCGGTAAAGAAATGGTTCGAAAATGCGGTGGATTACCGCTTACTACAGTCGTTCTTGCTGGGCTAATGTCTAGGAAGAGGCCAGACGAGTGGAAAGATGTGTGGGAGAATTTGCGCGTAAAGGATTATAACATTCATGTCTCCACTGTGTTTGATCTAAGCTTTAAGGAGATGCTAAATGAGTTAAAACTCTGCTTTCTATACCTTAGCGTCTTCCCAGAGGACTATGAGATCGACGTAGAGAAATTGATACAATTACTTGTAGCAGAAGGATTTATACAAAATGACAAAGAGATGATGATGGAAGATGTGGCACGGTATTATATCGAAGAACTGATTGACATAAGCTTAGTGGAAGTCGTGAAAAGAAAGAGAGGGAAACTAATGTCTTTTAGAATCCATGATCTTATAAGAGAATTGGCTATCAAGAAAGCCAAAGAGCTCAACTTTGTAACTGTTTACAACGAGCAACATTCTTCTACTACTAGCAGAAGAGAAGTGGTTCACCATCTTATGGACAACAACTACTTGTGTGACAGACAACAAACAAATACGATCGTTCTTGTTCTTCGGTGAACGGATGAGCGACATTACTTACGTTGAAACAATTACTTTGAAACTGAAGTTACTTCGAGTGCTTAATCTTGGAGGACTTCATTTTATCTGTCAAGGATATAGCCCTTGGAGTTTACCAGATGTGATCGGAGGTTTAGTACACTTGAGGTACCTTGGGATAGCCGATACGGTTGTGAACAATTTACCAGATTTCATCTCCAACTTACGGTTTCTACAGACACTAGATGCATCAGGCAACTCTTTCGAGCGAATGACTGATCTAAGTAAGCTCACATCACTAAGGCATCTCATTGGAAGATTCATCGGAGAATTGCTAATAGGCGACGCGGTGAACCTTCAGACCTTGAGGTCTATCTCCTCCTACAGCTGGAGCAAACTAAAACATGAGTTACTCATAAATCTTCGAGACTTGGAGATCTATGAGTTCCACATATTGAACGACCAAATAAGAGTTCCTTTAGACTTAGTTTCCTTATCGAAACTGAAAAATCTTCGTGTCTTGAAGATTGAAGTAGTGACCTTCAACTTACTTTCCGAAGAAACAGTTCGGTTAGAACTCCTTGTTGAGTTGACACTGCATTGCAACATAACAAGACTTCCAAGAGACATGGATTTGATCTTTCCTAGTCTTGAGTCCCTTACGCTTATAGTAAATCTCCAAGAAGACCCAATGCCTGCTCTACAAAAACTACAACGTCTAGAAGATCTGGTCTTGTACTCTTGTGGCTACGCGGGAGCGAAAATGTGCATCAACGCACAAGGTTTTTGTCGGCTGAGGAAACTTAAATTGATCATAACAAGATTAGATGAGTTGGAGATTGAAGAAGAAGCCATGCCAAGTTTGATGGAGCTAAATCTCGACAAAAAAAGATGGAGCTACAAAGCTGATGATTCCAGATCGATTGAGAGCATTTGTTTGAGACTACTACAGTAGCTGGAATATAATGGTGGAGCAACGAAGTTGATGATTCTAGATTGTTTGCAAGCTTTTGTTTTAGACGTATCAACTTGTTTCATTACTAAAAACAGTTTGTGATTTTTAAGAATGTTTCTTCGGCTATAATCTTGGGAACAATTGGATGTCATTTCGCTATATGGCTATGTGATTATAACCACCAACTAAAAGAAAGGAAGCTAGAGAGATATAAGAAAAGGGGTCTCCTTCACATCAAATTAGTTAAGGTTGGTATGTATAATGTTTCTTGTGAACAAAGTTAGTGAAGACAAAAGCTATTTTTGACCGTTTCATTCTAAATGCCAAAGAAGAACAGGTCTTCTCTTTTTTTATTTTAAGAGAAGAATATATCTTCATCTGGCTAAAACCAACAACTTCATGTGTGCCAGAACAAGCAAACATAAAAAGAAAAAGAAAATAGAAAAAAAATATTCAATTAAAAAATTTTATTGACTTTTATTAGAATGTCACTTTCTTCACTAGCTTAGGTCCTCAATATAATTTTCTTAAAATTAATTAAATGATCTGTTTTTGAAGTTTTGTGGTTAATTAATCCAACTCCTAGCCAAAGTAGTCTCGCTTCAAACATGACCTAAACAAAACACAAGAAACTGACTTTATACTAAAATCTGTATCTGAACACATCTTATACTTATTTATCAAAAAAAAAAAAAAAAAAAAACTCAATTTTATTCATTGACCAAAAATATAGTTCAAATAATTCTTTTTACAGCAGTAATTGCACCATGATCTGGGAAGTGGGAACCATTAATGTTGTATGTAACACCAGCTCATGTGCAGAGAATAATTTACAAAGAGAACATACAATTAGTGGAGAGCCATGTGTGCGGAAACAAACAAACAAAACACATTGACTTTTCTTATAATGTCATTTGCTTCAATACCGTGGCTCTCCAATACAATGGAAGGTTTCTAATATAAAATAGCATATGGGAACTGTTAATTAGTTGTGAATGCTTCTCTGGAAGATTGTGTGTGAATTGGATTTTAGTAATAATTGGGTCACTTATTTATAGATCTTTTTCATTGAGAAATAAGGGTAAGAAAGAGAGAGTCAAGAAATGGAGAAAAAAGCAGAGAAGAGAAGGATAGTGTTGGTACCATTTCCATTACAAGGACATATCACTCCAATGATGCAACTTGGTCAAGCCCTTAACTTGAAAGGCTTCTCAATCACAGTTGCTCTAGGAGAGTCCAATGGAATAAGCTCTTCGCAGCACTTTCCTGGTTTTCAATTTATTACCATACCAGAAAGCTTGCCAGTGTCTGTGTCTGAAATGGAAGCATTCGGACCAGTCGAGTTTCTGCTAAAGCTCAACAATACCATCGAGGCAAGCTTCAAGGAATGTATAAGTCAGTTGTTGATACAACAAGGTAATGATATAGCATGTATCATCTACGACGATCTTCTGTACTTCTGTGAAGCTGCAGCTAAGGAGTTCAAGATTCCAAGTATCATCTTCAGCACTACAAGTGCTACTCATAAAGTTTGCTGCTGTGTTTTGAGCAAACTTAATGCCGAGAAGTTCTTGATCGACATGGAAGGTACCCAAAAGTAACTTCTTACCCATTTTGCATCAAGTCCTTTAGCTCAAACAGAATTGTTTATTGACTTTGCAGATACTGACTTGCAAAACAAGGTAGTGGAAAACTTGCATCCAGTAAGTTTCAAAGACCTACCAATTAGAGGATTTGGGCCATTAGAAAGATTTTTGGTGCTCTGTAGGGAAATAAGCAACAAAAGATCGGCTTGTGGTGCTATCATCAACACGGCGAGCTGTTTAGAGAGCTCGTCTCTGACATTGATGCAACAAGAATTTGGAATTCCAGTGTATCCATTGGGTCCTCTTCACATTACAGCTTCAACAAGGTCTAGTTTACTAGAAGAAGACAGGAGCTGCATTGAATGGTTGAACATTCAGAAACCAAGGTCAGTCATATACATAAGCATGGGAAGCATATTTGAAATGGAAACCAAAGAAGTTTCGGAGGTGGCTAATGGATTGGGTGATAGTAACCAACCTTTCCTATGGGTCATCCGACCTGGTTCGAAGCCATTGCCAGAGGAAGTTAGTAAGATGGTCTCAGAAAAAGGATTCGTTGTGAAATGGGCACCGCAAAAGGAAGTACTTGCGCATCCTGCAGTGGGAGGTTTCTGGAGCCACTGTGGTTGGAACTCCACAATGGAGAGCATCGCGGAAGGAGTTCCAATGATCTGCCGGCCTTTTGACGGTGAGCAGAAGTTAAACGCATTGTATATAGAAAGTGTTTGGAGAATAGGGATTCTGCTTCAAGATGAAGTGGAAAGAGGAGAGGTCGAGAGAGCTGTCAAGAGGTTGATCGTGGATGATGAAGGTGCAGGAATGAGGGAGAGAGCCCTTGTTCTTAAAGAGAAGCTCAATGCCTCTGTAAGAAGTGGAGGCTCCTCCTATGATTCATTGAATGAGCTCGTCAACTACTTGAAGACAGAGCAAAAAAATGCTAAAACTTCAGGTAGCAATTACTAAAGCCAGAGTAAACCTGAACTTCATGTAACACAAGATTAAGCTTGATCTTTTTTTTTTTTTTTTAATTATGCTAGATCTTGCAAAATTTAATGTGGCTTATCATCCAAATAAATAACAATTCAGATGAAATTCAAGTACCCTTTACGTTGTTCTCTCAAAATAGAATGATTATATCTTTTGACAATTTTGTGGTAAAATATTCATTCTCCTAGCCAAGGAAGTCTTGTTACAAACATATATCTAACTTTCATGAACAATAATGAATATAATAGTTTGGAAGCAGAGGGCTTGAGGCTTTCCGCTAGTTCCACCAAATGACTCTTTGACCTTACTTGTCTAGAGGCACAAGCTTCACTTTCTTGAAGATATTTAAAGATATTCCATGTCAATACCATACTATATAGCTTCAACAAAAGGAATAATGTAAAATGTCAAATACAGATATACGAAGCCGTAAAGCACATGTTAGTTTAACAACTAAAGTATGCATGAAGCATGACCAAACTTGATGTTGCAAAATTTTCAAGGTAGAGATATGACCTTTAATTTTAGGGAAAGTTATTCAGATATCATACAAATTAGGTGAAATGACCAGAAACATACAGATCTTTTTTTTTTATTACTGTCATATTTCGGGTATATTTTGTATACCCAGCGTGCCCCTGTTAAACGTTATAGGAAAAAACATAATTACAAAGAATGTCATTGCCACGTCAGACAAACCGCGTCGCCACGTCGCTGACGTGTATTAATGAACTCAGCCGTAAAGCGATACAGCGGCAATGACAGCTGAGTTACGGTATGTTGCAGGCTATTTAAGAAAAATGGCTGAGTTATGAGCAAACGGCTGACTTACGAGTATAACACAGCCAGGAGTTACGGCTGACTTAATGAAATCTGTTTGAGTTATGAGAAAATTGCTGATTTTCGAGCATAACTCAGCCTAAGTTACGACTGAGTTTTTATCCGATGGTTGATTAGTCAAAATTTTGGCTGAGTTATTGCTTCGACACGGCTGAATTAACTTTCTACGACTAGCTGAGTTATCAAAGAGGGATTAGTTATGGGATGTCGTTACGGCTGATTTATGTTCGAGTGTCATAAATCAACCGTAATGAGCTGGATTAACGGAAAAATCGACCTAATTACAGCTGACTTAGTAGCGAAAGATTAATTACTAGAATAGCATGCAATTACGGCCGACTTATTAAACGATACGGCTGAGTTAAAGATTTTCGGTTGAGTTACGACATTAAACGGCTGAATTTGGCAGCCGTTTTTCCGATTTTTAATTATTGTAATAGTATTCATATTGCGACTAACTTAAAGTTTTGTTTGATGGCTGGTTTAATTAGGCTGATTTACATGTTTGTTTGGTGGCTTACTTGCCACTTCATCAATTAAAAAATGACGTCGGATGCAATATTCTATGTCATCATCATCAAAGAAAATACGAAACGTCTTTTTTCTACTCGTCTTCTTCTTCATTGTGTTGATCTTCACCTGTGTTTTCCCTTTTTCACATCACCAGAACTTAAATTTTGAACATCCAATTCGTCATCGTCTTCCTCATTCTTCTTCATTTTCGTTCATCCTTCTTCCGATATGATTGATCCGGTTCCGGTAATTGTTGTTTCAGGTAATTGGGTAAAAAAACACAAAAATGTATTTAACACCGACGATAGAGGGTGTAGAGTTGTGCAGATAGATGCGAATACAACGCACGACAAGCTTGTGAAGTTGGTTTTTGTGATAAGTCAGCCGTGAAGCATTATAACTCAGCTGTAATATGTAAATTTACGCAACTTTTCCTCTTCCGTGAAGTATTATAACTCAGCCGTAACATGTAAATTTGCCACGAAACATTAAGTTACGTAACATTTCGTCTTTCTTTCTCTTTTTTCTCTTATGACGTGGCTTTAATTTTTTTTGTCTTAATGACGTGGATTAAACTAATTTTTTTTTTTTTTTTGTCATCTAGATTTATTATTAATTGCAAATTATGAGAAATGTTACATAGACGATTCTACAACTGAAAATTCCTTCCGACCCTTACTAGATCCACGACAGACTACACTTCCTTCTTCGTGATCTTGATGAATACCTTCAATGATCCACGACCTGGCGACACTTCCTTCTCTGTGTAGAATCCTGGCGAACGGCTATAATTGTACATCGCTGGAGATCTCTTGCACACTTGCCTCCATTAATCTGCAAATTTGTTAAACTAATTTTTCTTAAATATTTTTTAATTAAAAAAAAACAAAAAAATATCAATTAAAAAAAAACTAATTAAGGGTGTTAATTGTAATTACACAAGAACACTAAACATAGTAATATTCCAACCTTTCTATAATATCTGAGTAAATAGTTTTTTTTTTTATTTTATTGTGCAAATAAATAGTTAGTGGGAACATAGGCAATTTCCATGTTAATATATGTTCGATTATCTTTTAAAAAAGGGAGACTCACAAAAATGCCCCTTTTTCAATACCCCTTTTCAAAAATGCCCCCTATGGATGTCCATTTTTAAAAATACCCCTTTTATGTACAAAATGACTAAATTACCCTTCTTTTAATAAAAGATATCATAAATATATAAGGAAATATAACAAAATTAGGTCCACAAAATACAAAATACTTTTTGGCGGGAAAAGTGATCCCCCAATTTTTCCCGCCAAAACACTTGTAAAAATTTGTAAAACCTTTAAAATACCTTGTAAAATTTTCCCGTAAAATTTTTTCCCGCCAAAAAATTTTCCCGCCAAAAAATTTTTTTTGCGGGAAAAGTGATTCCGCAATTTTTTTGGCGTTAAATTTTTGGCGGGAAAATTTTTCCCGCCAAAAATTTACAAGGTATTTTAAAGGTTTTTTACAAGGTATTTATAAGGTTTTACAATGTATTTTAAAAGGTTTTACAACGTATTTACAAGGTATTTATAAGATATTATAAGATTTTACAAGCTATTTTATAAGGTTTTTACAAGTTATAAGGTTTTACAAGTTTTTTATAAGGTTTTACAAGTTATAAATACCTTATAAAACCTTAAAAGTACCTTGTAAAACCTTTTAAAATACATTGTAAAATCTTACAAAACACTTGTAAATACCTTGTAAAAAACCTTTAAAATACCTTGTAAATTTTTCCCGCCAAAAATTTTCCCGCCAAAAAAATTTCGCAAAAAAAATTGCGGAATCACTTTTCCCGCAAAAAATTTTTTTGGCGGGAAAAATTTTTACGGGAAAATTTTACAAGGTTTTTTAAAGGTTTTTACAAGTGTTTTGGCGAGAAAATTGCGGGATCACTTTTCCCGCCAAAAAATATTTTGTATTTTGTGGACCTAATTTTGTTTCAAATAAGGGTAAAATAGTCATTAAAAATTAAAAGAGGGCAAACTTAAAAATAGACTCTCAAAGGGGGTATTTTTGAAAAGGGGTATTGAAAAAGGGGCATTTTTAACAATTTCTCTTTAAAAAACATAGAATTTCAAGGCTTACTTCTGGGGTATTTTTGTTGGAATTTGTTTTTTTTACTTTGAAAATGTAACTTGTTTTTTACGTTACATAACCTTCTTGACGGATATCTCTCTTTGTGATCCATGCCTCAATGTTTATGGTCAGGGTCGGCTCAACACTTTTTATGGCTTTTTATGGGTTTTAAGGCAAAAAAAAAATTGGGCTCTTAAATTTTTTTTTTTTTTAGTATTTTTTGATATAAAAAAATTTTGTATAATATTTCTATTAAAATTTAATTACTAAAACAAAAAACAACACATAAAAAATTTTATGGGTCCTAAATTTTATTTTTATGTTGTAATCTAATTTATTAATACATTTTTAAAAATATTTTTTTAAATGGACTCTTTAATTATTGGAACACGATATTGGGCTCCGGGCCGTCACACCGCCCTTCTATATGAGCTGACACTGTTTTTATTATTTATTAAAGGGTATTCAATTTATTAAAAACATATGAGCCGGCAATGTTTGTGGTTTATTTTTGTTGGAATTCAATTTCTTCCTTCTTTACAATTCATTAGGTTGATATTATTACTTGAAAAAAAGATATGAGAAATACTTAATTGCGTAAAATCAAGAAGATAATTGAACAGGTCAAATAATACGATATAACTAACATGGAAATCTTCATGATATCACTAATATTTAACAAATAATAATTGATATCTTCATGAAATCTTTCAGGCCTATCCCACCCATAAAGCAAGCGAAGCATCTGCTTTACGCCACAAAATATAACAAAGTTTTTAGGGCCACATTATTAAGATACTTGTTTAGTTTGGTGTTTATGTATTGTCTAAATTAGACTCATGTCTTGAGTTTGAGTCTTTTCTTTTACCATTTTTTTTTTTTCCTTTTTACAGTTTTCCTTTTCATTTTATAACTTGGTTTTTTCATAAATTTTTAACAATAGTTTTTATATAGAAAATTATACTATTTAAGTATGCTTTAGACCACAAAAATCCAAGGACCAGCCTTGAAATCTTCTTTGATATGATTCTATACGTGGAGAAGGAGAACCATGCATGATGCATGTTTATGAGGAATAATTGGGAGTTAAGTCTTACAAAATCGTGAAGATATCACTAGTATTTAACAAATAATAATTGATATTTTGTTTGATTCTCTGGCCAAAACCATGCCCAATCTGGCAACCATCTTATGTGAGACAAAACAAGAAACACGTTTTTTTTTTTTTAACCAAACTTAAGTTCTTCCTTCTATTATATGTCACATTAGAGGCTGGGAATATTATTATTGCATTAAGAAAAAGAAGTTGTCAGTGTCACACGAGGAACACGAGAGAGTAGTTGTCCCACGAGGAACATGAGAGAGGGAGGGAGAGTAGGGTAGAGAGTAGTTGTCATCTTAGACTAGAACGGAGTTCGGCAGAAGGGAGGAGGATACCGATCGCTCTGATTGGCGGCGGCTGATCGGAGTTCGGCGATGTCCGGTGGTGCTTGAAGACTTGACGTGTGGCTTGGAGAAGAACAAGTCTTCTACACATGTCGTTAGCTAAATCATAGTTTGCAATTAATCTTTATATGTTTTTAATTATGCTGGACCGTTAATTTCGCTTGTATCATGTAATGGGCTAAACCGTTCTGTATTTTGCCCTATATGCTTCAAGAATGAAAATATTTAGCCGACAAAAAAAATACATTATGATTTTACTACTATTAAAAGATCCTCCATAGAATTTTGATCTTAAACTATATGTTTCCATAATGTTTCTTTTTTTTTTGGCATCGTTTCCATAACAAAATTTCACCAAAAAATAACACGTTTTAAAAGTGAGTCGAGGAACAATGCAAATAAAAAGACAATAAAGAACTTAAAGAAATTAATTGCTATCAATTGTGATTAACACCTAAAAAATCAACAATTACTAAACTTTCATTTATAATCATGAAATCAAATTAGCATTAAACTCAAGTCCAAATAGTTCACAACACTTGCTAACACCAACTCTCGTTGGTTAGAAGAGGGTTTCTCATCTCAAATTGATTCATGCATTTTATCAAACATTTTTGGTGCATAAAACAATCTAGGTTTTCAAATTAGGTGATCAATCTAATTAAAGCATTAAACGCATTTTAGATGAAGAAAACAAACAGATTACCCATAACTAAACATTCAATTCACAAATCTATCAACCCCTTTTATGAAATCCTAAAAACCAACTAGGTGACTACTCACTCATGGCATAAGAAACAACACAGAGAACTATAAGGGAAAACATAATTCAATTAAATAGATAAGAAAAAGAATTTAGAAATTTTCTCCAATTTGTTAAAAGGGATGAATCTCTAATCTCCAAAGTGACTTACCGAAGAACTCTCAAAAACTTGTAGAAAAAAAACATCCAAGAAAAATTATATCTATAAGGTTTTTATACCTAATTATAGAAAATAAGAAATAAAACCAGTTAAAGAAAACTAAATTTCGGCGTAAATCGGACCGATCGTTTACCTTGTGTATGGGAACTTGATTGTTGACGTGTAGATTTGGGGTCGATCGATCCACGCTTTGGATAGATCGATCCCACAGTCCCCGCATGTTCACACTTTGACGTCTAGAGTTGGACTGATCGATCTAATAGTTCGGATCTATCGATCAAAATCGTCAGGGAAAATGGTGCATGACGTCGAGATCCATCCACTCCATGGATTGATCGATCTTCTAGTTGTTGCTTCTCCTCACGTGCAATCTCGACCCGAATAAGCCTGAAAAAGTCGAATCCATCCAAATCTCGCATAAGCACCTAGAACCTGTACAAGACTCAAAACACGACAAAAAATACGTAAAAGATGAACTACGACACGACAAACTACTAAAAATGAGAGCTAAACGAGCCCTTACTGATATCAAACACAAACATGTTATTTTTCTAGTTTAGACTATCAACAAAGCCAAAAACTTCCACTTTGAGTTATGTCCGAAAGAAGAAAGCACATGACCAATTTTGTGTTTGTCTGCATTGAGGATGTGAAGATGCAAAGAATAATTTTCTCCAAATTGAGGAAACCTTGAAATTAATTTTCTTAGGCTGTTCATTGACTAATCGGTCTAACCCGTTTTTTTTTTTTTTTTTTTTTTTGCAAATAACGTTTTATATAGATTGGTAAAAGTAATATCATTTAGGATCAACTATTTGTAACGTAACACTAGCAAAAAATTTGTTTCCATATCGCGAAAGCGATTAACTTTGGGTTCGATGTACATTATGTAACCGCAACTTTATAGTATTAAGTTTGTTTGTTGCCTTGTGCGGGGCATTTATTGCATACAGTATGTCGTTGAGATATACATCAAGAGGGAAAAGAATATTTACATACCCTTACAATCTGGACAAATATATAGGGTTAATTCCAACCCAAACCTCAAAAAAATTGAATTTCATACCCAAACTTTACATTTAGATCTTAATTCGGAATCGTAATTAACGAGTGTTAGTCAACCGTTATGGTTGCTAAATCGGCTGACATATGTTTGATGACATGACTTAAAATTTGTTGGAAATTAAGTTTAAATTTTTTGCAAAATTAGAATCTCGAACACACGATGTTTCACTCGTTTACCTAAAATGATTGTGGATCAAAATAATTGTAATGAGCTGCGTAAATGAGTGATATGTCGTGGAACATTTAGACGTCCATAAATAATATACTAACTAGCTAACTAAAAAAAATAAAAATAAAAAATAAAAATAAAAGAGACAAAGGCTTTTGTTGGAATGTCACTTTCATTCTTCTGATAAAAATTCCTTAGCGTGTTACACAAAGGAAGGTTATATGTTAAAGAATACAACAAAAAAAAAAATACTTTAGTTGTATATACCAACCAGAAATAATAAAATCATATACACCAGCAAAAAAAAAAAATACTTAAATGGTATTCTAATCTTATCTTCACAGCCTGCAACCATGCAACATGATTTGATCGAGAGTTATTTATGTTGCATGTGGCAAGATCTTCTTGACCAAATAAGCTACGTGTCAACCTTTATCACCACGGTCTTCTTTAAATTGATCACTTTCACTTATATAGTCTTTCCTGAGATACAGAAGGAGTGAGAGAGAGTGAGGAGCTATGGAGAAAAGAGCAGAGAAGAAAAGAATAGTGTTGGTTCCACTTCCATTACAAGGGCATATCACTCCAATGATGCAACTTGGTCAAGCCCTTAACTCGAAAGGCTTCTCAATAACAGTTTTTTTAGGAGAGTTCAATCGAGTAAGCTCTTCGAAACACTTCCCTGGATTTCAATTTATCACCATACCAGAAATCTTACCAGTGGCTGAAGTCGAGGCAATCGGACCAGTCGAGTTTCTGATAAAGCTAAACAAAACCAGTGAGGCAAACTTCAAGGACTGTGTAAGTCAGATGCTGATACAACAAGGTAATGATATTGCATGTATCATCTACGACGATCTTATGTACTTCTGTGGAGCTGCAGCTAATGAGTTCAAGATTCCAAGTATCATCTTCTGCACTACAAGTGCTACACATAAAGTTTGCAACTATGTTTTGAGTAAACTTAATGCCGAGAAGTTCTTGATCGACATGGAAGGTACCCAAAAGTAACTTCTTACCCATTTTGCATCAAGTCCTTTTGCTCAAACAGAATTGTTTATTGACTTTGCAGATCCTGACTTGCAAAACAAGGTAGTGGAAAACTTGCATCCAGTAAGTTTCAAAGACCTACCAATTGGAGGATTTGAGCCACTAGAGAGATTTTTGGTGCTCTGTAGGGAAATAATCACCAAAAGATCAGCTTGTGGTGCTATCATCAACACGGTGAGCTGTTTAGAGAGCTCGTCTCTGACATTGCTGCAACAAGAATTTGGAATTCCAGTGTATCCATTGGGTCCTCTTCATATTACTGCTAAAGAAACGTCTAGTTTACTGGAAGAAGACAGGAGCTGCATTGAATGGCTGAACAAGCAGAAACCAAGGTCAGTCATATACATAAGCATGGGAAGTATATTTGACATAGAAACCAAAGAAGTTTTGGAAATGGCTAATGGATTGTGTGATAGCAACCAACCTTTCCTATGGGTCATCCGACCTGGTTCCAAGCCATTGCCAGAGGAAGTCAGTAAAATGGTCTCAGAAAAAGGATTCATTGTGAAATGGGCACCGCAAAATGCGCATCCTGCAGTGGGAGGTTTCTGGAGCCACTGTGGATGGAATTCAACACTGGAGAGTATTGCAGAAGGAGTTCCAATGATCTGTAGGCCTTTTAACGGTGAGCAGAAGTTAAACGCATTGTATATAGAAAGTGTTTGGAGAATAGGGATTCTGCTTCAAGGTGAAGTGGAAAGAGGAGGTGTCGAGAGAGCTGTGAAAAGGTTGATCATGGATGAGGAAGGTGCAAGCATGAGGGAGAGAGCCCTTGTTCTAAAAGAGAAGTTCAATTACTCTGTAAGAAGTGGAGGCTCCTCATACAATGCATTGAATGAGCTCGTCAACTACTTGGAGACCGAAGGAAAAGATGCTAAAACTTCAGGTAGCAATTACTAAAGCCAGAGTAAACCTGAACATCATGTAACACAAGATTAAGCTTGATCTTTTTTTTTTTTTTTAAATTATGCTTGATCTTGCAAAATTTAATATGGCTTATCATCCAAATAAATAACAATTCAGATGAAATTCAAGTATCCCTTTACGTTGTTCTCTCAAAATAGAATGATCATATCTTTTGGCAATTTTGTGTAAAATATTCATTCTCCTAGCGAAGGAAGTCCTGTTACAAACATATATCTAACTTTCATGAACAATAATGAATATAAGTTTGGAAACAGAGGGCTTGAGGCTTTCCGCTAGTTCCACCAAATGACTCTTTGACCTTACTTGTCTAGAGGCACAAGCTTCCAATTTCTTGAAGATATTTAAAGATATTCCATGTCAATACCATAATACAGCTTCAACAAAAGGAATGATGTAAAATGTCAAATACAAATATTCGAAGCCGTAAAGCACATGTTAGTCAACAACTAAAGTATGCAGGATCGAACTTGATGTTGCAAAATTTTAAAGGTAGAGATATGACCTTTTATTGTGCAAATAAAAAGTTATTGGGAACAAAGGAAATTTCCATGTTAGTATATTTTCGATTATCTTTTAAACTACGAAAAACATAGTATTTCAAGGCTTACCTCTGGTGTATTTTTGTTGAATTTGTTTGTTTACTTTGAAAATGTAAATTGTGCTTTACGTTACATAACCTAATTGACGGAGATATATCTCTCTTTGTGATCCATGCCTCAATGTTTGTGGTTTACTTTTGTTGGAATTTTATTTCTTTCTTCTGTTTACAGTTCATTAGGTGGATAGTATTACTTAAAAAAAAAAGATATGAGGAATACTTAATTGCATAAAATCAAGAACAGGTCAAATACGAATATACTAACATGGAAATCTTCATGATTAAAATAAAAAATAAAAAAATCTTCATGATATCACTTAATATTTAACAAATAATAATTGATATCTTCTTGAAATCTTCTTTGATTGTCTACCTGGCGAAGGAGAACCATGCATGATGCATGTAGACACTTTTGAGGAATAATTGGGAGTTAATAAGTCTTACAAAACAGTAAAGGTATCACTAATATTTAACAAATAATAATTGATACTTTGTTTGATTCTCTTTGACCTACTTGTCTAGAGGCACAAGCTTCCCATTTCTTGAAGATATTTAAATAAACTCCATGTCAACACCATATTACAGCTTCAACAATGATCTGAATATAATACCACTAACATTGAGGAATGGATCACAAGGAGATATATTTCTCCGTCAAGCAGGTTATGTAATGTAAAGCACATGTTAATAAACATAGATTATTATTGATCAAACTTGATGTTGCAAAATTAAAAGACTGTGGATGAAGAAAGCACATGCATAAGGGAGAGAGCCCCTTGGTATGAGAGAGAATCTCAAAGCCTTTGTAAGAAGTGGAGGCTTCTCATACAATGCATTAGATGAGCTTGTCAAGCACTTGAAATCAAAGTGAAGATGCTACATTTCATCATGTATTAAATAGAACTTTGATATAGATCAAGCTTGACGTTGCAAATTTTTTTTTAAGTAGATGACTTTTCTTTTTTGGTGCAATTAATATTTTGGAAACAGAGGAAAGATCCAAGCTTTTGTAAACTCAAGGTTTTTCGATGTAATTCGTATTTGACATGCCCAATTATGTATAGTGATATGATATTTTGGTGTTCTTAAGCCTTTTCTTTTTCTACTAGTTTTTGGGTCTTAATTCACTATTATCACGTGTAAGTATGCATTTATCATGTAGTTTTGGATAATTATGCATTTAGAGTCACAGAATTGCTTTTGCATTGCATATGGTGCTAATTTAGGTACAAAAATGGCAAATGGAGCTAAAGAGACAAAAGGAAGCTTCGGATCACAAAAGATTTCGGTTGAATCGATTGGATTTTGAAGATTAGCTAGAAGATTCATAAGAAGTGCCAAAAAAAGCTCAACCATTTGAGAAACCACCTGAACTAGTTTGAAGAGCATCAAAATAAGGAATTTGGGTCAAAACGAAAGTGGATTTGGAGTTACGGTTAGGAAGTTATGAAGATGAGTAATGTAGCAAAAAGCAGACCGACCCGATCCAGCCCGAACCGGGTCGACCCAACATAAGTCAAGGAATTTCGATGTTTGAATTCGTAATTGACATGCCCGATTATGTATAGTTCCTCACAAAAACTCTATATTGACCAAAAAACTTGTTTACTCTTTTTAAATGTTAATTTCTTCATTCCGTTGAAAAATGTTCATAAGAAATGAGGAATAAATAAAATGGTAAACCAAAAAACCGTTGATGAATAATTGCAACCAAGATCGGAGAACCATGCATTAATCCACTTTTGAGAAAATTTTATTATATTTGGAGACTACAAGTAAAACCTCTTAATTTTTTTGTTATTATCTAGATCTCAAGACAAAACCAACCCAATGTTGGGCTCAAAACCACCAACTCCTATATGAGACAAAAACATAAGAAACACGCTTTTCTTGGAATTAATGTAATATTCTCTGTCAATACTCAATACAAATGGGATTTTATAACAATAATTTTTCTCTTTGTTAGTCAACAGATTTTTAATAATAATTTAGAGCTATTCAGCAATCATCTTATACTAATCAATAATTATGGATGATGAAGATGCATGTATGAGTGATAGACCCCTTGGTTTAAAAGAGTTAAAACAGGATGCTAAACTTTGCTAAAGACAGCATAAAGCTAATCATCTTCATGTAACATACTAACATATAAACATTAGTAATATATGGAGCAAGCTTTGATTATAGATCAAACTTGTTCTTGCAAATTTTACAAAAGTTGATGGTTTGTTTTGCAAATAAAAGCATTTCGAATTCAATACAAGAATCCTCTCCTCTTTACGAAGTTTCTCTCAAAATAGAATGATCTCTTTTGATTATAAGTTCTAACACGATGGAAGGTCTTTGCCCTTAAAAAAAAAAAAAAGAAGAAGCAAAATACAAATTACAAAGCACTTGTTAATTTAACGAATAAAATTAGTGGAAAACTCATCTCTTCTACACAGAAAAATATTATTGTCTCTATACCAAAACAATACCAAGTATTCATCCCTTTACGCTGTTTTATTTGTGACTCTCTCCAACACCCAAAAAATAACGTTTTTGGTTAAAGAAATAAATCGAGGTACACTTAAACATAAAATACTTAATGGTTTGCGAGTTATTGATGTAGCATGTGTCAAAATCTTCTTTGCCAAGTAAGTGATGTGCCAAGACTTGTATAACACGGTCTCTTTTGGAAGATTCTGTTGAATGGTCATTGCCGTGTGTTTATTCAACACAATGTAAGGTTATTATTCGTTTGACAAATGAACACTTGCCTATATAAAATTATCTCCTTTGGAAGATTGTGGAATTTTTCCAACACAAGTGGTGGGATTTTAATAATTATTTGGATCCCTTATTGCATTGAGAGGCAAGATAAGAGCAAAAAAGGGGAGAGAAAGTGCTCAGGAAATGGAGAAAAGTGCAGAGAAGAGAAGGATAGTGTTAGTTCCAGTTGCTGCACAAGGTCATGTAACTCCAATGATGCAACTTGGGAAAGCTCTTCAGTCAAAGGGCTTCTCAATTACAGTTGCTCAGGGACATTTGAAGCAAATAAGCTCTTCATCGCAACATTTTCCTGGTTTTCACTTTGTCACCTTACCAGAAAGCTTACCTCAGTCTGAATCTAAAACACTAGGAGCAATAGAATTTATGAAGAAGCTCAACAAAACAAGCGAGGCAAGCTTCAAGGAGTGTATAAGTAAGTTATTGCTGCAACAAGGCAGTGATATAGCTTGTATCATCTACGACAAGCTTATGTACTTCTGTGAAGCTGCAGCTAAGGAGTTCAATATTCCCAGTATCATCTTTAGCTCTTGCAGTGCTACCAATCAAGTTTGCTGTTGTGTTTTAAGTAAACTCAATGCCGAGAAGTTCTTGATCGACATGGAAGGTACACAAAATAGCTTGATGACCATTTTCGCAATCGGTCAGTTCACTTATATATGTTTTCTTATTTTGTAGATCCTGAAATGCAAGACGAGGTGTTGGAAGGTTTGCATCCTTTAAGATATAAAGACTTACCAACTTCAGGATTTGGGCCATTAGAGCCACTTTTGGAGATGTGTAGGGAAGTAGTTAACAAAAGAACAGCTTCCGCTATTATCATCAATACTGCAAGTTGTCTAGAGAGCTTGACTCTTTCATGGATGCAACAAGAACTCGGAATTCCAGTGTATCCATTAGGCCCTCTTCACATAACAGCTTCATTCCCTGGTCCTAGTTTACTCGAAGAGGACAGGAGCTGCGTTGAATGGCTGAACAAGCAGAAACCAAGGTCAGTCATATATATAGGCTTGGGAAGCCTTTCTCAAATGGAAACCATGGAGATGTTAGAGATGGCTTGGGGATTGTCGAATAGCAACCAACCTTTTTTATGGGTCATCCGAGCAGGTTCTATCCTTGGCTCGGACGGGATAGAGTCATTGCCAGATGAAATCAGTAAGATGGTATCCGAAAGAGGATACATTGTGAAATGGGCACCGCAGATAGAAGTACTTGCACATCCTGCTGTGGGAGGGTTTTGGAGCCACTGTGGATGGAACTCAACACTCGAGAGTATTGCGGAAGGAGTTCCAATGATTTGCAGGCCTTTTCAAGGCGAACAAAAGTTAAATGCAATGTATATAGAAAGTGTTTGGAAAATAGGGATTCAGCTTGAAGGGGAAGTGGAAAGAGGAGCGGTCGAGAGAGCTGTGAAGAGGTTGATTGTGGATGAAGAAGGCGCATGCATGAGGGAGAGAGCCTTTGGTTTAAAAGAGAAGCTCAAAGCCTCTGTGAGAAGTGGAGGCTCCTCGTACAACGCATTGGATGAGCTTGCCAAGTACTTGAAGACAGGGTAGAGATATTATAAGAGAGCTTTGATTATTCGAATTCCGTTACATCGTGTTGTTCTTTCTTATTTAGCAAGGTCTTCTAAATCCGAATTTGCCATTTTAATTTTCAGATGCATTTAGAAACACTAGTATCACACGAGGAACACGAGAGATAGAAAATAGGATACTAAACTTCGCAGCAATTCATAAAGGCAGAATAAAGCTAATGAACTTCATGTCACATATAAAACATAAAAGTAATATATAGACCAACTTTGGTTTTTATAGATCAAGCTAATAATTCCAACACGATGGAAGGTCATTTGCCTGGATAAAGTTAGTGGAAAACTCATCTCTTATTTGTGACTCTCCAACACCCAAAAACAAAAGTTTTTGGTTAAATAAATGAAATGAAGAACACCTAATTCTCATACAAACATGAAATACTTAATGTTTTGAGAGTTATTGAGGTAGCATGTGTCAAGATCTTCTTTGCCATGTAAGTGATGTGTCAACCTTTATCTTCACAGCTAAGTAGTTGACTTGTTGAATGGTCATTTGCGTGTAAGGTTATTATTGCTTTAAAAAGTGAACACTTGAAAAATAAAATGGTCTCCTTTTGGAAGATTGTGGGATTTTAGTAATTATTTGGATCACTTATTGCATATGAGCGACAATAGAGTAGAAAAACAAAAGTCAGGAAATGGAGAAAAGGGCAGAGAAGCGAAGGATTGTGTTAGTTCCAGTTGCTGCACAAGGTCACGTTACTCAAATGATGCAGCTTGGAAAAGCCCTTCAGTTACAAGGCTTCTCAATTACTGTAGCTCAGAGACAGTTGACGCAAATAAGCTTCTCATCGCAACTTTTTCCTGGTTTTGACTTTGTCACCATACCAGAGAGCTTACCTCAGTCTAAATCTAAGAAACTAGGACCAGCTGAGTATCTGATGAAGCTTAACAAAACAAGCGAGGCAAGCTTCAAGGAGTGTATAAGTCAGTTATTGATGCAACAAGGCAATGATATAGCATGTATCATCTATGACAAGCTTATGTACTTTTGTCAAGCTGCAGCTAAAGAGTTTAAGCTTCCTAGTGTCATATTCAGTACTAGCAGTGCTACAATTCAAGTTTGCTACTGTGTTTTAAGTAAACTCAATGCCGAGAAGTTCTTGATCGACATGAAAGGTTCGGTTCCCAAAAGAGCTTGGTGACTCATTTCGATCGATCACTCATGACAGATTTTTATTTCTTACCTTGCAGATCCTGAAATGCAAGACAAGGTATTGGAAGGTTTGCATCCTTTAAGATACAAAGACTTACCAACTTCAGGATTTGGACCATTAGGACCACTTTTGGAGATGTGTAGGGAAGTAGTTAACAAAAGAACAGCTTCCGCTATTATCATCAATACTGCGAGCTGTCTAGAGAGCTTATCTCTGTCATGGCTGCAACAAGAACTTGGAATTCTAGTGTACGCGTTAGGCCCTCTTCACATTACAGCTTCATCGCCTGGACCGACTTTACTGCAAGAGGACAAGAGCTGTGTTGAATGGCTGAACAAGCAGAAACCAAGGTCAGTGATATACATATGCTTGGGAAGCAAAGCGCACATGGAAACCATGGAGATGTTAGAGATGGCTTGGGGGTTGTGTAATAGCAACCAACCTTTCTTATGGGTCATCCGACCTGGCTCTGTCGCTGGCTCCGAGTGGATCGAGTCATTGCCAGAGGAAATCAGTAAGATGATCACAGAAAGAGGGTACATTGTGAAATGGGCACCTCAAATAGAAGTACTAGGACATCCTGCAGTGGGAGGCTTCTGGAGCCACTGTGGATGGAACTCAACACTTGAGAGTATTGCGGAAGGAGTCCCAATGATTTGTAGGCCTTTACAAGGCGAACAGAAGTTAAATGCAATGTATATAGAAAGTGTTTGGAGAATAGGGATTCTGCTTCAAGGTGAAGTGGAAAGAGGCGGTGTAGAGAGAGCTGTGAAGAGGTTGATCATGGATGAAGAAGGTGCAGGAATGAGGGAGAGGGCTCTTGATCTAAAAGAGAAGCTCAAAGCCTCTGTAAGAAGTGGAGGCTCCTCATACAACGCATTGGGTGAGCTTGTCAAGTTCTTGAATACTGAGTGAAGATGCTGAGCTTCATATATTATAAAAGAACTTTGATAATAAGGGAACTCTATGTGGACAGCAAAAAATGTTTACTTTCTTTGGAATATTAATTATTATTGTATCAATTATAAGAGAGTTTTATGTGAATTTAGGCATCCTGAAAATGTTTTTCAAGCAAAATGAATAATCTACAAAGTTTCCAAAACTTTTGAGGAAATTTTATTATATTTCGAAGACTACAAGTAAAGCCTCAACAAGACAAAACCTACCCAACGTGACTAAAACCACCAACTCTTATATGAGCCAAAACAGAGACACGCTTTTCTTGTAATAATTGTCACTTTCTTCCAACTAGTAAATGACACATTATTGAAAGTTTATTACGGCATTAAGAAAGAGTAGTTGTCAGACAACGAACACGAGGGTCAAGAGAGAAATAGAGCTTAAGCAATTGAGAAAATGGAAGCGAAGAGAAGGATAGTGTTGGTTCCAGTTCCAGCACAAGGCCATGTTACTCCAATGATGCAGCTTGGCAAAGCCCTGAACTTGAAGGGCTTCTCAATTACAGTTGTTGAGGGACAATTCAACAAAGTAAGCTCTTCTTCTCAAAACTTTCCTGGTTTTGAATTTGTTACCATACCAAAGAGCTTACCAGAGTCTGTACTTGAGAGACTCGGACCGATCGAGTTTTTGATAGAGCTCAACAAAACCAGTGAGGCAAGTTTCAAGGACTGTATAGCTCAGTTGTTGCTGCAACAAGGAAATGATATTGCTTGTATCATCTACGACGAATTCATGTACTTCTCTGGTGCTGCAGCTAAGGAGTTCAAGATTCCCAGTTTCATCTTCAGCACTTCAAGTGCTATCAATCAAGTTTCCCGTTGCGTTTTAAGCAAACTCAGTGCCGAGAAGTTCTTGGTCGACATGGAAGGTGCCTAAAACCAACTTAATAACCCATCTTGAAACCAATCGTTTCATTAATACGTCATTTTTTTGGCTTTTCAGATCCGGAAGTGCAAGAAAAGCTGGTGGAAAATTTGCATCCATTAAGATACAAAGACCTACCAACTTCAGGAGTTGGGCCACTAGATCGATTATTTGAGCTCTGTAGGGAAATAGTCAACAAAAGAACAGCTTCCGCTGTTATCATCAACACGGTGAAATGTCTAGAGAGCTCACCTCTGACACGGCTGCAACATGAACTCGGAATTCCGGTATACGCATTAGGCCCTCTTCACATTACAGTTTCAGCAGCTTCTGGTTTATTGGAAGAGGACAGGAGCTGTATTGAATGGCTGAACAAGCAAAAACCGAGGTCAGTCATATACATAAGTTTGGGGAGCATAGTTCAAATGGAAACCAAAGAAGTGTTGGAGATGGCTTGGGGATTGTCTAATAGCAACCAGCCTTTCTTATGGGTCATTCGGCCTGGCTCTATCGCAGGCTCCGAATGGATAGAGTCACTGCCAGAGGAAGTCAGTAAGATGGTCTCAGAAAGAGGATACATAGTGAAATGGGCACCACAGATAGAGTACTTGGACATCTCGCAGTGGGAGGCTTCTGGAGCCACTGTGGATGGAACTCAACACTCGAAAGCATTGTGGAAGGAGTTCCAATGATCTGCAGGCCTTTCGACGGGGAGCAAAAGTTAAACGTACTGTCTTTAGAGAGTATTTGGAGAATAGGGTTTCAGGTGCAAAGTGAGGTAGAAAGAGGAGGGGTCGAGAGAGCTGTGAAGAGATTGATTGTTGAAGAAGATGGTGCCAAAATGAGGGAGAGAGCCCTTTTTTTAAAAGAGAATCTCAAAGCCGCTGTAAGAAGTGGAGGCTCCTCATACAACGCATTAGAAGAGATTGTCAACTACTTGAAAAGAGAGTGAAGAAGCTGAACTTTATGTATTATAAGAAGAGCTTTGAATTTTCTAGATCAAGCTTGATCTTGTAAAATTTACAACGTTGGAATTTGTAATTTATTTGACCCTTTGGAGGTCATCATGCCAAGGAAAAAAATTAGAAAGAAGGAATTTTGGGGCTTACCACAAATTACTCCCAAAGACTCTTTGCCTTCCTTGTGTAGAGGCACAAGCTTCCCAGTTGTTGAAGATATCTGCAACACCGAGAAGCAGATTTAACAAAAGGATAAATAAACAGAAATGTAAAATATCTCGCACTTGACCACAGCATGACCTGAACAAGCAAAGGATTATATGAGTATAAAGATGATAGATTCATAAACTGCATATGCTAATTGCTATTTGAAGACCTTTCACAAATTCACCAGCAGGATTATAAAGTGTGCTATGTATAAAAAAGATCATACTGACCACAACCGAAGTCCCAAAAGTGGACAGCATAGAACAGAGAACAATAATAACACAGATATACACATTTTAACGTACACCACAACGTTTGAGCATGAATCAGATCTGTCACAATGAGGGATTTTTAGAACTTGGTCTGAGAATATGGACTCTTAGATGACTCAATCTGGTTTTCTGAGACTGAAAAAAAAACCAAAGTAAAGAATCTGAACTAACAGTTCCTCCAACCATGGAACTCAAATCTGCTTCAGTGCAAAATTTTACCCGAAACATATCTCACGGGAGTCACGACCATCCACTTTTAGTTGTTACACCCGTTGGAGCCACTGCGGATGGAACTCAACACTTGAGAGCATTGTGGAAGTAGTTCCAATGATTTGCAGGCCTTTTATTGGTGAGCAGAAGTTAAACGCAATGTACAGTATATAAAAAGTGTTTGGAAAATAGGGATTCTACTTCAAGGTGAAGTGGAAAGGGGAACGGTCGAGAGAGCAGTGAAGAGGTTGATTGTCGATGAAGAAGGAGCATGCATGAGGGAGAGAGCCCTCGGTTTGAGAGAGAAGCTCAAAGCCTCTGTAAGGGGTGGAGGCTCCTCATATAACGCATTAGATGAGCTTGTCAAGCACTTAAAGACAGAGTGAAAAAGTTGAACTTCATGTATTATTAGAGATCATTGTATTGTATGGAACATGCTTAATCTTGCAATATTTACAAAGTACATGTGTTTTGTTTAATGAAAAATAAAAAGAAATTAAAATCAAATACGTTTATCACTTTTGGCAGTTTGCTCAAGATAGAATTGATGTAGCAGAAAAAGCCATTTTTTTTGTCTGGGCCATCTTTTCGTATGAAGCCAAAGTCGGCAAGAGAACCAAGAAGACAAAACCATCTTTGCCTTTTTTTCGTTACCAAGATAGAGAGATATAACAATGTAAAGAGAGCCAAGAAGAAGGAAATACAGATGAAACAATGTCCACAAGTCTGAGAATCTGATATATTATATCTGAAAGATACTCATTTTAAGAGATCTCATAGATTGGTCACCGCAAAGAAAAGAAATAGGAAGACCAAACTCGCGAAACACGGGGCAGAGCAGTTTTGTTTTAGTTGTTCTTCTAGGTTTTCGAAATGGAGGAAAAGCTGGCGAGGAGAAGGGTATTGTTAGTTCCAGTTCCAGCTCAAGGACATATATCTCCAATGATGCAACTTGCAAAAACCCTTTACTTGAAGGGTTTCTCAATCACAATTGCTCAGACCAAGTTTAATCACTTTAGCCCTTCAGATGACTTCACTGATTTTCAGTTTGTCACCATTCCGGAAAGCTTACCGGAGTCTGATTTTAAGAATCTCGGGCCAATAGAGTTTCTGCATAAGCTCAACAAAGAGTGTCAGGTGAGCTTTAAAGACTGTTTGGGTCAGCTGTTTCTGCAACAAGGTAATGAGATCGCATGTGTCGTCTACGATGAGTTCGTGTACTTTGCTGAAGCTGCAGCGAAAGAGTTTAAGCTTCCAAACGTTATTTTCAGCACCACAAGTGCAACGGCTTTTGTTTGCCGCTCTGTATTCGACAAACTCTATGCAAACAATGTCCTGGCTCCCTTGAAAGGTACTCTTGAATTCTCCGTCCCCATTTTTGCTAGTGTCTATAATCTGTAACAGCATGGTTCTTGACCTTTTCGTAGAACCCAAAGGACAACAAAACGAGCTAGTGCCAGAGTTTCATCCCCTGAGATGCAAAGACTTTCCGGTTTCACATTGGGCATCATTAGAGAGTATAATGGAACTGTATAGGAATACAGTTGACACACGGACAGCTTCCTCTGTAATAATCAACACTGCGAGCTGTCTAGAGAGCTCATCTCTGTCTCGCCTGCAACAACAGCTAAAAATTCCAATGTATCCTATAGGCCCTGTTCACCTGGTGGCCTCGACTCCTACAAGTCTGCTTGAAGAGAACAAGAGCTGTATCGAATGGTTGAACAAACAAAAGAAAAATTCTGTGATATTTGTAAGCTTGGGAAGCTTAGCTTTGATGGAAATTAATGAGGTGATGGAAACTGCTTCAGGATTGGATAGTAGCAACCAACAGTTCTTGTGGGTGATTCGGCCAGGGTCAGTACGTGGTTCTACATGGATAGAGTACTTGCCTAAGGAGTTTAGTAAGATAATTTCGGGTCGAGGTTACATTGTGAAATGGGCTCCACAGAAGGAAGTACTTTCTCACCCTGCAGTAGGAGGGTTTTGGAGCCATTGTGGATGGAACTCGACACTAGAGAGCATCGGGGAAGGAGTTCCAATGATTTGCAAGCCGTTTTCCAGTGATCAAAAGGTGAATGCGAGGTACTTGGAGTGTGTTTGGAAAATAGGGATTCAAGTGGAGGGTGATCTAGACAGAGGAGCGGTCGAGAGAGCTGTGAAGAGGTTAATGGTGGAGGAAGAAGGAGAGGAGATGAGGAAGAGAGCTATCAGTTTGAAAGAGCAACTTAGAGCCTCTGTTATAAGTGGAGGTTCTTCACACAACTCGCTAGAGAAGTTTGTACACTTTATGAGGACTCTCTGAAGACTTTTGTCTATACTAAAACACCAAAACTTCAAGATTCCTCTTTCAACTATTCCAAGTATCACATCCTAAAAAATCTAAGTGATGCAAAAATGTATTTGGATAATGACTGACTGAAAAGTCTTGAAGGAGGAATGAATGAATAAACCCACTTCATTTCTCTTGAGGTTCAAAATCACTCTAGTTTTAGCTAACATCGACGAATAGAATCACTATAAATCTCATTACCAGAAAAATGACAATAACCTCTTGTATAACTCTAGAAACTATCAAGATATATAAACACAAAAGACCAAAAGAAAAAAGAAATGGATCAACTCACTTCTATAATAAGCTTCGCAATATGTTGCCAAACCCAACATCTTCCTTGAATCACCACTTGCCAGAACTTCTATGTGAGGAATCTCCTCCCGAAAAATCTCTGTACTTAGCGGTATTTTTTCCTGAATTGTGGAGTTAAAAGATCATTGTTGTGAACAAAAGTAAACAACTGGAAATTGCAGAGGAGCTAGAGGTGCTTACCAGTGAGAAGAAGAAGACAGCATCTCTAAGAGGTAAATTTGTTGATCCATATCTCAAATATAGTCTTTCCATCTTCTTCAGATACTTATTCACTACAAGATCAAAATATCATCATCTTCACATTATTACATTATATGAAAACATCAAATCTAAGTACAATGATAGACGACAACACAGTTCCTGCGACCATGGAACTCAAATTGAATATGCAATGTCACTTAGTTAAAGACAGAGCCTTTGGGCTTTTACATACAGAAACATATAACATAAGCACTAATCCATGAATTTACATGTTATATATGTATGATCACGAAGTTCCAATTCCAAGAAAATTCATAATTAGCTCATCAAAAACTATAAAGTTACCTCTTTTACTTCTGCCGGAGTCGTTGACGGGAGAATCTCTCCGACTCTCGATCTTGCTACGACAGTCCAAAACCACCGGATAATTGTCGCAGGTGGGTCTGGTTAGTGTGAAACCGATCAAAGGAGAGATTTTGACATTTTTGTTTTGGAGGAAGACGAGGAGATTTCTTGAACCGAATGTCTCGGTTTTTCTAGAACCGCTCCTCAGATTTCCGGTTTAGATTAACCAGCGCGTGCGTGTCTTCCGGTTCGTACCATTTCCATCATAGTATAGCCATGGAAGATATCTAGAAAGAAAAAAACAAAATCACTTTTTTTTTTTTTTGGCTCAACATCAACTTATCATTAACCAACTTAAGGATTACAATTCATTCAACCTCAACTTGTTTGACCCAAATGCAATGACACTGTCTAGTACCACCCTGGAACACTTAGAAGGATCCAACGCTACCCGACGCGAGTCATTGCATTGTTACAACCACTGCAAGATGAAAACACCCCGCTATTCGGAATGAAAACATCTCTTAGACCACCTAAATTAACCACTATGACACGAAAACAACTACTAACTCAGAGGAAACCAAATCTTAAGCTGAATTACAAATCGATTCCAAGCTATGAGACTCTTATGATTAGCGTGTAGACCGTGTCCCGATAGCGTCCACACCCAAAGGTGCATCATCAGAAAACTTGGGATCTCCGGCTTTTGTTGTTCCGGTCTTAAACCAAAAGCGGACACTAAATCCGAATGAACCGACTAAAGATACGAGGCAAAACCGGCATGACTCGAGCATTCTCCGAACTAACCAGTCAATAGCAGGATACTAATCGATTAAAGATAACTCAGTGGATCCCGGATTAGTACGACCTCACCTTTACGGTGCATTGCCGGAACAATCTCGCCGCAGGTGCCTTGATGCCTCGCTCCATCGACGGACTGGACCAGACTTGAGGGGGCTCACTCGATCTCCGGCTTGAGGACAACCTCATCTCGGCCACCGTCGACCACATCACCTCCCCAACGCCTGGAAGACTCTGACTCCGACTCGACCATAGATCTCTGATCGGCTAGAATCTCCAAGGAGAACCATACATGATACATATTGCTATTTTGAAGGAAAAATCTATTTTATTGTATAACAACTCTTTGGACTTTGATGCAATAATAGCACCAAGATTGGAGAACCACTTTTGAAGAAAGTGTTTTATATTTGGAGACCACAAGTATAATCTCAAAACAGAACCTATACTCTAGCTGGCTAATACCACCAACTCTTATGTGAGACAAAACAAACCGACCAAACATGCTTTTCTTGGAGTTAATGTCGCTTTCTTCCTTTCACTAAATGTCACATTAACGTGTAGACTTATTTGGAAGATTGTGGACAGTTTTCAATGCAAATTGTATTTTAATAATAATTTTGAGATCAGTTATTTAGAAGATGTTCCAAATAGAGAGATGAGAGATAGAGCTTAAGCAATGAAGAAAATGGAAGCGAAGAGAAGGATAGTGTTAGTTCCGGTTCCATTACAAGGTCATATAACTCCAATGATGCAACTTGGGAAAGCTCTTTACTTGAAGGGCCTCTCAATTACTGTTGTTGAGGGACAGTTCAATCGAGTAAGCTCTCCTTCTCAACACTTCCCTGGTTTTCAATTTGTTACCATACCAGAAAGCTTACCAGAGTCCGAACTCGAGAGACTCGGGGCATTCCATTTTGTGCTGAAGATTAACAAAACAAGTGAGGCAAGCTTCAAGGACTGTATTAGGCAGCTGTTGCGGCAACAAGGCAATGATATAGCATGTATCATCTACGACGAGTTCATGTACTTCTGTGGAGCTGCAGCTACGGAATTAAAGCTTCCCAATGTCATCTTGTGCACTCAAAGTGCTACAAATCATGTTTCACGCTGTGTTTATAGCAAACTCAATGCCGAGAAGTTCTTGGTCGACATGGAAGGTGCCCAAAACTAGCTTAATAACAATTCTTGAAACCAATGAATTTCACTTAAGATGCTTTTTTTTTTACTTTGCAGATCCTGAACTACGAGACAAGGTGGTGGATAATTTGCATCCATTAAGATACAAAGATCTCCTGCCTTCAGATTTTGGGCCATTAGAACCAGTTCTGGAGTTCCGTCGGGAAGTAGTTAACAAAAGAACAGCTTCAGCTCTCATCCTTAACACGACCAGATGTCTAGAGAGCTTGTCTCTGTCATGGTTGCAACAAGAACTCGGAATTCGAGTGTACTCATTAGGCCCTCTTCACATTACAGCTTCAGCACCAGGATCTAGTTTAGTGGAAGAGGACATGAGCTGCATTGAATGGCTGAACAATCAGAAACCGAGGTCAGTCATATACGTAAGCGTGGGAACCATACATCTAATGGAAGCCAAGGAAGTGTTGGAGATGGCTTGGGGGTTGTGTAATAGCAACCAACCTTTTTTATGGGTCATCCGGTCGGGTTCCATCCATGGCTTCAATGGGATAGAGTCATTGCCAGAAGAAGTCGGTAAGATGGCCTTAGAAAGAGGATACATTGTGAAGCAGGCACCGCAGATAGAAGTACTTGGACATCCTGCAGTGGGAGGCTTCTGGAGCCATTGTGGATGGAACTCAACACTGGAGAGTATTGTGGAAGGAGTTCCAATGATTTGCAGGCCTTTTGACGGTGAGCAGAAGTTAAACGCAAAGTTTATAGAAACTGTTTGGAGTGTAGGGATTCTGCTCGAAGGTGAAGTGGAAAGAGGAGAGGTCGAGAGAGCTGTGAAGAGGTTGATCGTGGATGATGAAGGTGCAGGAATGAGGGAGAGAGCCCTTGTTCTAAAAGAGAAGCTCAAAGCCTCTGTAAGAAGTGGAGGCTCCTCATACAATGCATTAGATGAGCTTGTCAAGCAGTTGAAAATAGAGTGAAGAAGTTGAACTTCATGTATTATAAGAGAGCTTTGATTAGTATAAATCAAGCTTGATGTTGCATATTTTTCAAAGTTATTGGAAACAGAGGAAAGAGGTCCAAGCTTTAAGAAAGTCAATTGACCAAATAAAATGTTTTATTTTTATTTTTGGAATGTTAAGTTCTTCCTTCCGTTGAAATAAAGTTGATAAGGTTATTGCTCTCCAAAGATCGGAGAACCAAGTTTTTTAAGAATATTGCAACCAAGATCGGAGAACCATTCTTTTAAGAAAATTTTATTATATTTGGAGAGTACAAAGTGAAACCTCTTGACAACTTTGTTAAAATCTCAAGACAAAACCTACCCAAAGATGCTCAAAACCACCAATTCCTACGTGAGACAAAAAAAAAAACAAAAAAAAAAAAAACAAAAAAAGAACAAAAGAAAGGGTGAATTGCAAAAGTAACTATTTTGAAGAAAGTTATTAAATATATAGCACTATAAAGGAGATAATATACATGTTCTAAAAATTTCCGCCTAAGCCGATTAATCTCCGCTTAATCGCTAGGTCCACTCTATCCGTCTCGATTAAAGACTAATCCCTAAAGAAATCAGTTATCCGATTACTCTCCGCCTAATCCGATTACTTTCCGCCTAATCCAATTACTCTCCGCCTAATCTTACATATCCCGATTATTTTTAGATTGCAAGTATAATTTTTTTTTTATTTTTGTTATTCATTCATTTAAAATGGGAGTTTGTGATGTTTTACAATAACTTATATTCAAATTTTAATAAAAATCATAAATTTGCAATAAAAATCATAAAAATTTGTCTCAAAAATAAAGTTTTATGTGTTTACTGCAATTTTGAAAACAATATTGGATTAATATGTTTTAAAAATATTAAAATAACCCTAAAACTAATCCCCGATTTTAATCCGATTTTCCGATTAATCGCTAGGCCCATACCGAGCGCCCGACTAGCTAGCAATTTTTCAAACAAGGGATAATATAATGAGTAGCACATGTGGGTATTGAAAAGACTAGAAACTCCTTCTCACTCATTAGAATGTAGATATGAGGCACGTGAAGAAGTCTGAGAAATTAAAGAGATTGGATGACGTGGATTCGTTTGTATCTAAGTAAATTTCACAAAATAGAATAGTACAAAATTATAAGTCAAATAAAAAAAATTATTTCTCACAAATCTCTTAAATGGGTCAAAACGACTCTACCCAATTCACTTAGGTTTCAATTCAAACAAAAAATTTATCTCGCTTTTTCTCTTTTTTTTTTTCAACAATGGTTGTTTCTTTTTTTGTATTTATATCCTAACAAGATTTTAATTATTTTTAATTAGAAAAAACTAAACCCTAAGAGAGAATAAAGAACCCAAGCAACAATTTTATAAATTCAGTGATGAAATTTTTAGTCTAGTTTGTAAGATTAACAAAATTATCAATAATAATGATGAGATTTCAGAAAAGATATTTGTTAAGTTGATGTAGACAAATAAATAAGGGGGTGTTATCTTATATAATAAAGGAGAAGTCGAAAGTGCTCACGTTCGCTCTCAGAATATGGGCAGTCGTTTTTGCCCTTAATGAAATTGCCTAATTTAATTATTATAGATGTTTTTTCCGTTTTTATATTTAAAAAATTGAACCAAATATTTAAAAAAGGTTAAGATATCCGAATATGTTTAGTGGGCTTATTTTCGGAGAATGACAAATTGGCCCGGTATAAATTACACCAAATATGTAAAATCCTAAAATCCTATGTTACAAAACCCTATAAATATAGGATATCTTTCATGAAACCCTAAATTGCTTTTTATAAATATGTGAGCCGCTAGATATTAAGCTTCTTATCGTTACATCTTCATATCTCTTCTCTCGGTCAAATCCATGGCCGCAACCACCTTTGCCACCGCATGTAATGTTTCTTCTCCTTACCACATAATTTTTTTTTTCTTAATTCAGATGTGATTATGGTTATAAAGTGATGGTATGATCAGCGTCGTGATGGGTATATTTGTTATGATTTTGCTTTTGATTACTTTGTTTGTGCATAAATCATGGTTAAACGCTAAAGTCTTAATTAAACGTCAAGACAACGCTAAAGCCTTATAAACCAAGGAAGTCGGTTTTGTAATTGTTGACATCTCTTTAATCGAATTCCATCTTGAAGTAGCGGAAGCGTGGAGAACGAGAAAAGAAAAATCACTACCACCGTCGTCGAAGGTGTGATTAACCTGGTGGCAATAATAATGGGGTAGTCATTGTTGAGGGAGAGATTGGGCTTTAGAAATATAAGGCCCAATCCAAAGGAAGCCCATCAACGAAGCAGGCCTTAAAAGCCCAAAAGACAGTTAAAGCCCAGACGACCTCGCCGCCTTACAGGCCTGCCACGTCACCGGACCCAAGGGTAAAACCGGTAAAAGCTGTCAGGGTACGCCCTACTCCGCAGGGTTATAAAAGAAGGACGACTAGTCCTGTCACATCCATCGAAAATCACGCTGACACGGCAAAGACACGAAGAGCTCGGCTAGGACACGAAGAGCTCGGCTAGGACACGAAGAGCTCGGCTAGGACACGAAGAACTCGGCTAGGACACGAAGACCGATCTCAGTCTAGAAAAGAAAAACGACCTCAAGCTTCATTCAGCTCGGAAAACGACCTACAGTTCGACCTCATCGACGACCTGAAATCCTTAATCCGAAGTCATCGACCTCGGTTCGTCTAACGCCATTCGTGCTTCGGCTCGAATTGTTTTGGGAGATTCTTTTTACTTCCCTAGAGAAACCCTATTTCGTACTTGTGTGATTCGTGCGTCAACAGTTGGCGCGCCAGGTAGGGGGATAGCTCAGAGATTTCTCCAGTCAACAAAACGAGCCCGCGACAACACGATGGCAACCGATGGAAACCAGGGAACCAGCATGGGCGTCCGAGACGACAACGCATCCTCCACGGGAGGAGAGACGGTGACGCCGATCCCGTTAGGAGTACTTCCGATAGGGAAGGCCACCCATACCTCGGTAGCTATTCCCGCATCGCTACCTCAGACGCCCGAGGGGCCAGCGGAAGCAGCAAGGAACGAAACGCCCCCGGCACACCAGGAGGAAGGCGAACCGACCTCTCCCAGCAGACGACGTCCAACGAACCTCGAAGAAAACCGTGCAGAACGGCACGCTGCGGCAACAACTCCCGCCGAGCCAAACCGACTGCTCCAGAACATCCTCGACCATCTAGGTCGACAGGACGCACGAACAGATGCTCGGTTCGCATCTCTGGCCGCGGCTCAAGCGTTCTCTATGGACGAGATCAACCGTCTGCAAACGAGTCGAAGTGCAAACGCAGTCTACACTCCAGAACTCCCCGGACGTCCCCAGGCAGCTCAGCCCGTCCAAACCATGGGCAGCACCAATCCGCGAGATACGGAGATCGCCGAACTAAGACGCGCTGTTCTGGAAATGAGTTCGAAAATTCACCGTGCCACTAGCTCGGCTCCAGAACTCGACCGTGTGCTCGAGGAAACTCAGCAAACCGCTTTCACCCGAAGAATCACAAGCATTTCCGTCTGCGGCTCCAAGAAAATCAAATTAGAAAGGTACAACGGAAAAGGCGACCCTAAGGAATTCCTGCAACCTTTCAGCGTCGCGATTAACCGCGCCGAGCTGACTCCAGAAAACTTCGAAGCAGGGCGGTGCCAGATCTTCATCGAACATCTCACGGGCCCGGCTCTCAACTGGTTCTCCCGCCTAAAGCCAAACACAATCAGCAGCTTCAACCAATTGTCGTCGTCTTTCCTAAAGCACTACTCACCTCTCATCGAGAACCAGACGTCCAACGCCGACCTATGGTCCCTATCGCAAGGCCCCAAGGAGTCACTCCGATCGTTTATCGACCGCTTCAAGGTGGTAGTAACCAAAATCACCATCCCTGACGAAGCCGCGATAGTAGCCCTGCGCAACGCCGTCTGGTACGATTCAAAGTACAGAGACGATATCACTCTTCATGCTCCGAATACTCTTGAGGACGCGCTTTATAGAGCCTCGCGGTATATCGAACTTGAAGAAGAGCGGCTCGTTCTAGCCAAAAAGCATAATCCGCCCAAAACACCTGTAACCAAGGAGACCGCTTCGGCCATACCTAACACAGCAAACAACGCCGAGCCAAAGCAACATTCCAAAGGTAACATCGGCCAGACACGACGACCTACAACCTTCGTCGTTAACAGCGAGACACCATCACCAAGGCCGTGGAACAAGTACGTAAGGGACACCGATTCCCCGGCATCGACGTCAATATTCTGTGAATACCATAAGAGTAGAGCGCACGCCACTGAAGACTGCCGGTATCTACAAAGCTTGCTGATGGCAAGATACAAGAGCAGAAGCATTGCGATCGAGTGCGACCGCGCCCAAGGAGGTAGAAATCAAAAGCGTAACGAAAGCACGGCTCGTCAATACCCACAAGACCATGCGAAAGCCGAGGAAGTTGAAGATGCGAATGATTCCGCCAAAAGACCTCGGAATGGAAAGGCACCAGCCGAAGCTCCAGTGGTCGTCAGACAGGTCCGAATGATAATGGGCGGACTGCAAAACTGCAACGATTCGGTTCGATCAATTAAACAACATCGCAAAAAAGCTGAAATGAAGGAAGTATGGCCGTCTACGAGCGCGCCACCAATTACGCCCATCGACGAACCCATATCATTTACCCAATCCGACCTGGAAGGCGTCGATACACCGCATAACGATCCTCTCGTCGTCGAACTCATTATCGGCGATAGCCGAGTAACTAGGGTGCTCATCGATACTGGAAGCTCAGTCGACCTCATCTTCAAGGACGTTTTGGCTATAATGAATGTCAGCGATCGGCTAATAAAACCCGTATCACGCCCGTTGGCCGGATTCGATAGCGACTTCGTAATGACAATCGGAACAATCAAGTTGCCCATATTCGTCGGAGGAACGATCTCGTGGGTCAAGTTCGTCGTAGTTGACAAGCCCGCAGTTTACAACGTTATTTTGGGGACGCCCTGGATGCATCAAATGCAGGCGATCCCATCCACATACCACCAGTGCATCAAGTTCCCAACGCATAACGGAGTATTCACCTTGAGAGGAAATCAACAAATCGCAAGAACATGTTTTCTCATCGAACACAAGAACCATGTCACTAAGAAGTTATAGCAATTAACGACGCCAGCGTCGTCGACCGTCCCGACCCTGAAAAGGTCCCTCGAAGAGCCTCAACTGAGCAGAACAGAACAAGTGAATATTGACGAGACGGATAAGACAAGATGCGTCGCAATCGGGGCCGAGATAGCACCATCGGTTAAAGAACCACTCATCGCGTTCCTAAAAAAGAATTCTAAAACGTTCGCCTGGAGCATAGACGACATGATAGGCATCGACCCTATGATCGTTACGCACGAGCTTAACGTCGACTCAACCTATAAACCGGTAAAGCAGAAAAGGCGAAAATTGGGAACGGAGCGAGCCAAGGCCGTAAATGACGAAGTCGACAAGCTCTTGAAGGCCGGCTCGATAACCGAGGTAAAATATCCGGAATGGCTAGCGAACCCGGTCGTTGTGAAGAAGAAGAACGGCAAATGGCGTGTTTGCGTAGACTTCACCGACCTCAATAAGGCGTGCCCAAAAGACAGCTACCCGCTCCCCCACATCGACAGGATAGTCGAAGCGACCGCCGGGAACGAACTTCTGTCCTTCATGGACGCATTCTCGGGATACAATCAAATCCTCATGCACAGAGATGATAGGGAAAAGACCTCGTTCATCACAGACCGAGGAACCTATTGCTACAAGGTGATGCCATTCGGCCTCAAAAACGCCGGTGCGACGTACCAACGTTTGGTAAATAAGATGTTCGCTGATCATCTCGGACGAACCATCGAAGTTTACATAGACGACATGCCGGTCTACGTCTCGCTCTAGGAATGAAGATCAAACGAGTCCAAGCATACGTGGACTCACAGCTCGTCGCAAATCAATTTAGCGGCGAATACGAAGCCAAAAACGACACTATGGAGGCATACCTCAAGGTCGTCAAGAAATTATCCTCACAGTTTACACATTTCGAACTAACCAAAATCCCGCGAGGAGATAACGCGCCGGCTGACGCTCTCGCCGCATTAGCATCTACGTCGGACCCCGACCTTCGACGTATTATCCCGGTGGAAAGCGTAGATCAACCAAGCATCGAAGCAATCGATACTGTCAACTTCGTCGGAACCAATCACGATCCGGACGCAGCCGACTCAACAGACTGGCGGGACGAAATACGCGATTTCCTCACCGATGGAACGGTCCCAACGGATAAATGGGCAGCACGTCGATTACGCATCAAAGCCGCAAAATACACGACCTTGGAAAATCGCCTCCTAAAGCTCAGCGCAACCGGAGCATGGCTGAACTGCCTACACGGCGAGGATATCACAGAAATAATGAAGGAAACACACATGGGGGCCGGCGGCAACCATTCCGGCGGACGAGCTCTCGCATTACAAATCAAAAAGCAAGGTTTCTATTGGCCGACTATGATATCGGACTGTAAGGACTTCGCGGCTAAGTGCGACCAATGTCAGAGACACGCGCCCTCGATTCATCGACCAACCGAGCTACTCAAGGTCGGTGCGGCACCATATCCATTCATGAGGTGGGCTATGGACATCGTCGGCCCGCTACCAGCCTCCAGGCAAAAACGGTTCATCCTAGTCATGACGGATTACTTTACTAAATGGGTGGAAGCCGAATCGTACGCGGCAATACGAGCCAAGGATGTCCAGAACTTCGTTTGGAAATATATAATATGCCGACACGGCCTTCCATACGAAATCATCACCGATAATGGCTCGCAATTTATCTCGCTGACATTTGAGAATTTCTGTGCGAACTGGAAAATTCGTCTAAACAAGTCCACACCGAGATACCCGCAAGGCAACGGGCAAGCCGAAGCGACCAACAAAACTATTCTTGCCAACCTCAAAAAACGCCTCGACGACAAAAAGGAAGCTTGGGCAGACGAGCTAGACGGAGTACTTTGGGCGTACCGAACTACGCCCCGCAGTGCCACCACGCAAACACCATTCGCGCTAGCCTACGGCATGGAAGCAATGGCCCCAGCCGAGGTCGGATACTCAAGTCTTCGACGTTCTATGATGGCAGTCCGTCCCGACCTCAACGACCAGATGATGCTTGACAGACTCGACGAACTTGAGGAAATGCGCAACACCGCACTATGCCGAATTCAGAACTACCAGCTTGCTGCCGCCCGATACTACAACAAGAAAGTACACAACCGCCACTTCGACGTCGGCGACCTTGTACTCAGGAAGGTCTTCGAAAATACAGCTGAACTCAACGCCGGCAAACTAGGAGCGAACTGGGAGGGGCCGTACCAAGTCTCAAAAATAGTTCGCCCCGGCGACTACGAACTCCTCACCATGAGCGGCACTGAAGTCCCACGAGCTTGGAACTCCATGCACCTCAAGCGATACTACTACTGACGACCTCGCACTCTTTATATATAAAAAAAAAAAAAAAAAAAAAAAAAAAAAAAAAAAAAAAGGTAGCTCGGCCTTACCGATGCCTCTCTATGTAATGTGAACTACGAACGGCTTGATCCCTCCGATCAGGGGGTACGTAGGCAGCCCTGCTTGTAGGGCGCAGCTATGATATTAATAAAATTTTGTATTTCCATCTAATTTTGAAATATAACCGAACCGAACTATACATCGATACCCTGGCCAGGCAATTCGATCGAACACGTTCGAACGAGAACGCACACCCTTACTTAAGTCTGCCAAAACAAGTAAAAAAAGTCTTGGAAAAAACCTACACTTAAGGGTCTGAAAGCCGAGCTCCGTACTCGCAAAGCCTCGATAAATTGGGTAGCATAAGCCGGGGATGAACCCGCACTCCCAAAAAGTTGTCAGGCCAATACAGGGTAAGCCGATCACCGCGCGTCGCACCTCACGATGTCTCGAGCCCGCCTCGAACACTCCGAGCAAACTCGGAAAAGCCGAAATAGGTAAAATTTCGCACAAGCCAAGTCCAGCACTTGCATCATACCGGCAGAATAAACGTATAAGCCGAGGACGGACTCACAAATTCCCAACCGGTCAAGCCTACCAACAACCAAAGTAACCTAGGCCTCGCATCAGCTTGGTGAACTCGCACCAAGCCGATCACGACCAGGTTTACACAGAAACCGGCCGCGTCCCGTCCTACACAGGAGCCGACCCTGAAGAACAGGCTAAAATAAAAGAAGGAAAAGAAGAAATAAATGGCGAAAACCACATAAAATAAGCCGACCTAGCGGCAATCATGTTCAAACAAACCGACCCAGCAGAAATAAAGCTAAAAACCGAGTTAACGGCACGAGTTCAAAAGCCGACAAAGCGGCGACTAGATAAGAAAAAGCCGTCAAAAGCGGCAAAACGACAACTTTAAAAATGACCTCGCGGTCAGCCTTCGATATCAATGTCCTCCCCGTCTTGGACAACCTGAGCTAGCGGAGTAGCCACCCGTGGAACCTCCTGGCCGTCGCCAGTCTGCTCAGCGCCTATAGCCTCGGTCCCAAAACCACCCCCATCCTGAAGTTCGGCCCCGGTCTCGCGAGCTTCAACTGCGACCTCCTGCTGAGTGTCCTGATCAACGGCATCTTCTTCGACCTCGTCACCTCCGACGAAGTCCCTACCACTGGCAGCCGAAGCGGCATACTGAAGGTTCTCAGTAACCTCGTTCCGATCCGCAAAGAGGGTATAGGCGTCAAAATCGCCATCCTGAAGTTCGGTCACGTCGAAGGCCGCAAGATCAGCTCTGTACTGCGCCACGTCGGCCTCAACCCTGGAAAGCGTTTCCTCCGACTTAATGACGACCTCGCCGTCTTCCACTAAGGCCTTCAGAAAACCAAGGTTCCCGACCGCCTGGTTGTAAAGCAGAAGAGTGGGCTGCGCGGCACGGGTATCCTCAACATGAGCCTGTAGACGGGTGAGACGAGCCTGAAACAGCCGGGCCATCTTCGCAAGAGCTTTACCCCTACAGTACTCGCCGTACTCAGCACGACGTTCTCGCAGTCTAGCCTTTTCGGAGCGGAGGATCACAGCGAGCTCGTCATACCGAGCCTTCTCTGCCTCCACTTCGGCGCTCAAACGGTTCCTCTCCGCAATCAGCCCATTCCGGTGATGATCGAGAAGGTTGACCTTCTCCCTAAGCTTCACCGCCTCGTCCTTAACAGCACCCAACTCTCGCGAGACTTGCTCTACCCGCTCCTTCTCCGCAGCAATGGCAGCCTGATAATCACTCGAATTCGGGTTCTCGGTCGAAAGCCGACGAACTCGGCGCTCGTAGAGATGAACCATGCGGTTCATCGCGAAAGTCGCCTGATAAAAATATATATAAACAATCGACCGAGGAAGGGTAACAAAAATATATATACACATATATATAGTAATAACCTCGCATGATTTCCTGGCCGCCTCGGTATACGCATCCCGCTCCCGAAGATCCTCAATTAGAGGGAACGAGCCGGGGCCATGACCCATCTCGCGGAATAGAGCAGCACAGGCATCCGCATTAGATGTGAAGGGAACATCCCTATCGACATAGCGGTACGACCACCGGTGGTCGGCGACCCGAGGCCTCTTCTGGGCAATCGGACGAGCTCCCGTATCAGCCGGCCTCTTCCTATTCAGAGGCTCGACTGAGCCACTTCGGGCTCCTACGGCCCGGAGATCGTCACTTGGGGGAAGGATTACAGCTCGGTCACCCTCACCAGCCTGCTGAGTTAAACGGGCTGCGAGCACCTCGTTCTTTTTTACCCTCTCGGAGTTAGGGCTCAACGGTCGAGAACTCCCGGCCTGGAAGGCGTGACGCCCTCCCTGATCTAAGAGACTCTTCTTCAGGGCCTCCCTCATTTGTCGCTCCTCTGAGCGAGTTGGCTTCGCCACAGGAGTCTCCGTGGCCGGCCTCTTCTCCTTGTAACGACTGGCGTAATCCGGAACCACACTCAGGTCGAACTTACCCATTGCTTTACGACCTAAAATCAAAAAAATATGTATATGAGCCAAGGGAACGAAAACCCGCAGATGCGAACGATATATGCGATACCTGGTTTCGATGGAGCGGAAACTTTGGAACTTTGACGAATTGGCCCACGACGAGAAGAACCTCGGCGACCGCGTGAAGGATTCCGAGAGGGGCGGCGAGCAACTTTGTTAGTAGACGGCCAGATATACGTACCCTCGGCGCGAATCTTTTCGAGGTCCTTCTTGAGCTGCTCGGGAAATGGATCAAATATCGTCGGGAAACGAGCTGCATAAAAAAAAAAGATATAAGAAAATCGAAAACAACCAAAGAAGAAGTGTGAGGGCGGAAGACGAGCTCAAGCTACCGGGTGAAATTTTCCACCCTGTATAGATCGGAATTCTAACGTCCTCAACAGATTCTGCCGAAATCCTAACAAAGAAGTATCCCGCCGACCAGTCACTAGTTTTGCTCTTGGCCTCGTCGACAAGCTTAGGAGTCGTGGATGACTGAACGTAGTATAAGCCCGGCTTTTTCTTGCTGAGGCTCTTAATCTTAGTCACCTCCTCGTAGTGAGAAGAACGGACAACCACGCCGCACCTACTCGCCAACCGAACCAGGCCTACCGCATTCCGGATGGCAGCAACAGAAAGCTGAGAAAGAGCCATCTCCCGCCTCGCTACATATTCAAGCAGGAAGCCCGGAATCGGAAAAGTAAGATCGCACTCCGTAAAGAAACTCTCATAAACACAGAGGAAGCCGGCCGGAGCGGACCAAGGTTGCTCGGATAAGGCCGGAATGCGAGTTTCAATCGAGGACGGAGCGTCACAATAATGGAGGGTATATGCGAGGGTCTCAAATGACGTCCGGGTCGGCCCCAGGAAGTCAACGTGATAGGGAGACGGTCCGGGAACCCCGAAAGGCATCTCAACGAGCTCAGGCTCAGCCTCCAGATCGTCAAACTTGACGTCACCAATATCCTCATCTCGGAGACTAGGAACGAATGGAACGATCGAGGTAGCCCCGACAAGATCCCGTTGAGAGGGCGAGTCGCGACGTTGCAGTTCGGCCGCGAGAATCGAGGAACCGGCGTCAGACGACCTCGACGAGTTCTGTCGATGAGGGGACGAGTGGGACTCTAGGTCGTCGTCAAAAGAATTGGCCCGGAATCGATCAACGGATGATATACGACCCGAAGAATCAGACGAGGTGCGAGAACGGAAGTGGTCGGAGATGGAACCGCGAGAACTAGCGTCGGAAGACATCGCGATAAAACAAAAAACGAGATAAAGCGAGAGAAAACGAAATAGAGAGGAGAAAGTTATACCTTTAGCGGAGGAAGAAGAATGAGAAACGGACGAGAGAAGAGGGGGTATTTATAGAAGCGAAAGGTGATAAGTAATCATTATATCTACAAAATTGAGCAATAATTACGAGCTAAGACAGCTTCACACGCGAAGGGACGCTTCGGTCTCCAAACACCGGGAACAACGTCAGACGAATCGATTCTCGCGTCTCTCCCACGCGCGCGCGTCGCCGAAACTCGTTGATCCGGAACGACGCGAAGAAAGGCGATCTCTTGCGTGTCTTGGGAAGGGAAAAACAATCATGATCCTCGCAGCAAACGATGAATCATGATTGGGGGGCAACTGTTGAGGGAGAGATTGGGCTTTAGAAATATAAGGCCCAATCCAAAGGAAGCCCATCAACGAAGCAGGCCTTAAAAGCCCAAAAGACAGTTAAAGCCCAGACGACCTCGCCGCCTTACAGGCCTGCCACGTCACCGGACCCAAGGGTAAAACCGGTAAAAGCTGTCAGGGTACGCCCTACTCCGCAGGGTTATAAAAGAAGGACGACTAGTCCTGTCACATCCATCGAAAATCACGCTGACACGGCAAAGACACGAAGAGCTCGGCTAGGACACGAAGAGCTCGGCTAGGACACGAAGACCGATCTCAGTCTAGAAAAGAAAAACGACCTCAAGCTTCATTCAGCTCGGAAAACGACCTACAGTTCGACCTCATCGACGACCTGAAATCCTTAATCCGAAGTCATCGACCTCGGTTCGTCTAACGCCATTCGTGCTTCGGCTCGAATTGTTTTGGGAGATTCTTTTTACTTCCCTAGAGAAACCCTATTTCGTACTTGTGTGATTCGTGCATCAACAGTCATGGCGAACGTGTTAATATTTTTGTTTGACATAACACAAGCTCTCTCTTTGACTTCTAATCTTTTTAATTTAACACGTAAATTACTTCTCTCTTTTTTTTTATGACGTATTAACGTTTATTTCCAAACCTAAAGGGCTAAAGAGTAGCTTGAGCATGCAGATCAGAGAACAAAAGAAAATCTTGTGTTACGCTTATTTAATCATGTTTGATTCCATATCTGTTGCTAAAGTTTTTTTTGGGGTGATTTTGCAGGTTTTACGATTGATTTATAATGGCAAAGATTTCGTATCTTATATTTCTGTAGAGGTTGTGAGGGAAAAGAGAGATCGATAATGAGAAGGTAGTCTCCTTAGTCTTTATATACCTTTTGTTCATCGCAACAATCTCATCATGTTGGCGTCTTATCTCTTTTATGGCTTAAGATGATTTATCTTCTCAAGGTATCCGATCAACTAAATTTGGTATGTTCTGCCATAATGTTATTTTCATACTGACATGAATGCATACAGCCTGCTATAAATCCGCCACAAGCTGCAGTATTCATAACATTTGTGTGGTTTCCCCCGACGTTGAAGAAGATTGACTCGACTCAAATGGATAATACTATCTAGACTGCAATCCGCATTCAGTAGTACCCCAAGTCTCTACTCATGTTGATTAAAGATCGCTGAGTAAGTATTCTGAGTTGTTTCCACCAATTAGTTCGGCTTCCCATTTTCCTTTCTGTGACAAGCCCCTCCTACTGTATGAGGTTTATAAACTTGCTTATGAGCCTCAGTATGTGATACAATGTAGTTTTAAGCATAACTTACTATCAATGTTATTTCTTGACTTTTTGCTCTTGAAGCTGCTGCATATACTGAACACTTGAATTTTCTGACAAGAGTTGTTCTAATTTCTGCTGTTGGTATATCATCTAGAGGATCTAATGTGTTTGAAGTTTCATGTAGTTGGTGAAGAGAGAAAGAAGAATCCTGCAGAGGCAACGATCGAGTTCCGGAGCTTGAGTGTATTGTAAGCTCATGGAAAAAGAAAAAAAGGCAGAAGAAAACAAAATTGGATTCTCCGAGATTCAACCAAAGCCGCTAAGACATTATCGAAATCGGAATTGACACATCGAAGGAAGTGGTCGGACGAATTCCCTCTGCTAGGACAAGGAAAACCCCCTTCACCGAAGAACTGCAATGTCGAAGCAGCAACAACACTAATGAGCATGATAGTTATATACTAAAATTATTTTCTCTCTTATTACCATTGTTGAAGATTCTGCTTGGCCAAAGTAAACGGTTTCTCCTCCAGGCAGAAGTAGCAGGTCTTCAAAGAGGGCGAAAACCTCACCACTCGGCTGATGGATTAAAGAAATCACAGTTTTGCCACTGCTTGCTATGTTTCTAAGAATCTGAACCACGAAGAAAGAGGAGACTTGGTTTGGTTAAGACCTCGAGGGCAATACTGAGCCGTTTCTTCTCTCCTCCGCTTATTCCACGCAAATGCCAGTTTCCAATGGTCCTGTCTGAACATTCTTCAAGACCCATGTCAGTGATTGTAGCTTCCGCAATGTCACTGATCTCTTCTCTGGTAAGCTTTGAAGAGAGCCTAAGATGAGCTGAGTAAGATATGGATTCTCTCACTGTTAAAGTTCCTAGCAACACATCTTCTTACGTCACTTAAGCATGAGAGTTTCTCAACAGTTTTCAAAAAAAAAAAATTAAAGGAGTTATTATTTAGGGTTTATGACATTAATGGATAATAGTTTGATTATGTAAAAAGGTAAAACTAATGTTTGAAAGATAGATTTGCTTACGGCAGCACCAAAGTTAAGTCTTTTCTTCTTGCCATTAACAAGAACTTTGCCACTCATTACAACATTCCCTTCTAATTCCTGTACCATCACCAAATTTGTTATATTCAAAATTTTACCTCTTAGATCTTTTGTGTTTCATCTTTTTTTGAATAGTCTTATATCAATTATCATTGATAGAATCATCATTGATAGATTTATGGCAGACTTCAGTGTAGACTTAAGTCACTAAATTACTTTTGAAATGTAAAGTGTTTTTTTTTTTTTTTAAACTCAGGGCTTTCTTTTATGTGTCAGGTGTGTGCTCTTCTATTCGGAGGAGGTTACGCAAAGAGCGTTGTTGGACATGTTGGACATGTTGGACTTATCCTCATAATTACCGTCGGTGTCTCTCTAAAAGATGCATCACCTTTCCCTAAAGTGACCTGCACTGTTTGGTCCACCATTTTCATGACGGGTTGTCGTCTCTCCGTTGGTAGACCACCTCTCATGTTGTTGTGTATAAGAGTGTTTCTACTGTTTAATTTGTCAGGAACCAATCCGTTCAATAGCAATGCTTTACTAATTTTACATTAAAATCATTGCAATTATTTAGAGCATTCATGGATAAGATTCGGAGAAAAGCCTATTGGTAGTGTTGTTATTTTGGAAAAAATCAATTCCAAAAATGAAAAACCTAAGAATCTAGCTCTTAAAACTACAAACGTTCTTATAACAAAGTCAAAGCTAGAAATAAAGTTGATAGAGTTTTTAGCAAAAAAAAAAAAAAAAAAACAAAGTTGATAGAGTCATTTAAGGATAAATTTTAAGGACTGCAAACTTTGCATTCATATTTTCTTGGTTATTCGATGGGTTAAAAACGTATATTCGAGAAAAAAGGGTTTTGTGAGTTACTTAAGTTTGTTGTCGTCTGTAACATCCCAGAGGATTATGAGCCGACATGCAGAATTTATAATTTTAAAACTTTTATTTTAGTAAGTAGTTCTCTTACGTTCAACATATTTTTAAATATAAAAATAAAACTGAATCATCTACGAACCATTTCACAAAAAAAAAATGAAAAAAAAAAAAAACAGTTGATCACAAAAGAGAGTTAAATTCATTCTCTATTTTAGGGTTAGAGTACAGTTTTAAACATTTAGACGGAGTTACATATTAGTTTAAGTTTATTTGGTAGAAATTAGGATATAGTGTTATCAGGATTTAGTATGTTTGTTCGTTTTTTTTTTATTATTTGTTTTGGTGTTTTCATTATTTACTTTTGCATCTACGTTTCTTTGTTTTTTCTTTTTATTTTGCTAATGATTATTGGTTGGAGCAGATTTTATTGGTATTAATTTCGTATAATTTTTTAAATTATCATCTCACGAACAAAAATTTAGTAATATAAATTTATATACTTATATATCCATATAACTTCGTATTTTAGTAATTATATAAATTCGCATTTTAATAATTATTCTATATAAATTAATGACTCTTCATTTATGTGAACACCAAATACTCAAGCTAATCATGTTCACATAAGTATAAACAAATATTGGTTCAAAACCTAACTAAACCCAAGTGGGGCACGATATTTCACTTTTTATATTATGAAATCTCTATATAAATCACATGCATATCTTTAATCGTTTTGTGACCTAGATACACAAGTTTAAAATTTTAATTGTTGATAACATGTTCAGTAAAACCAAAATTGGTTTGCTAATGGCTCGAGGTCGTGTTTGTATTGGACAAAACGATCACCTCCATTATGATGATTGATGATAGCCTAGACATCTTTTCTTTGTCTTTTTTTGCATGGTCTAGATTCATATATATCTTGATAGTGGCTTTGTAAGATTTCGTTTTGATAGTCAAGGCCATGCCTAGGAAAAGTTAAAACAAGTGGATAACATTCGAAAATTTAAATCGTAAAGTTAAAAAGTTTTTTTCATTTATTATGCGTTTTATAATTAAGAAAGTGACTTTTGGTTAGATCCTTCGATTTATCAACAAAAAAATCAAAACTCTTCGTTCTTTTTTCTCACGAAACGGGAAGCTATAGATGATGACGTCGACAATTTAAGACCTATTAAATTTGGTTGGTCTAACGAAATGAAGGTGTTAAACAAATAGCGGGAATGGTCTGAAAGAGGTCATCGATCTATTCGTGTAGTGTTTGGCTGATCAGCAGGTACACATGTTTTTTATAGACTTATTTGAGATTGCTTAAAAATGATTTGATTAGTTAAATTTTTATATTTTATTTCTATGTTCTGATATATAGGATCATAGTATAGAAACTAAAATCAAATCTGAACTCATCTCATAATAAAAAAAATAGTAACTAGATAGCTATTCATCACTTTCGGTTGAAAAGTGTGAATGAGGACAAAAGAACTCTGAAGCATCCTTATACTATTATTTTTTGGAATCAATAGTGTACGTAGTTTTAAATTTCAGAGTTTTTAAAACAAACAAATTTTTTTAGGTAAGTGTATAGATATGATACTCATAGATGAGATGGTAATTTTGTTTATTTATGTTGGTCTTTAGTTTTTTACATAACTAAAGTCTTCTTGAGCTAACATGAACTTCTATTTGTTTTTCAAGGGAACCCGGATTGATGCTATTATTCCTCCGATCCAATACAAAAAATATTTCAAGAGATACCTCATGGAGGGAGAATGGTACCTCATGACAAACTTCCAACTCATTGATCCTCCGAAGAAGATAAGGAACTCGGGTCATCTTAAAAAATCAAATGTTTCCAAGAAACAATTACGGACCATGTTAGTCCAAGATCGCATGCAAATATCTTCAACTTTGCTTTATTTGCAAACATCAACAATGGCTTGATAGCCAAGGAAATTTGTCATGGTATGTATATATGTATATTTTATATATAAATCGATAGACTTATTTTTAAATTCGTTAAATAATGAAATTTCTTATGTGGGCGATGATTATGAGTATCCTAATGAGCGTGAGATTCTTGATTTTCAACTACGAGACCGCAAGTAAAAATAAATTAATTTGATATGTTTAGTTTAATTTATATAACCATAGTAATGTCGATCATTATTATTAGGTCGTTTAAAATTTCTAATTCATTATGATATATTTTTTTCCACTGGCGTGAAGATAACATGTTATGCTATAAGAAAAGATTGTCATCAATTTGTAGGTATGTTGAGAAATAATGTCTATGATCTTGGGTATTAGTGGAACTATGGATTGGATCCGATCTTTTGTGTACTCCGATTCTGGAGAGTAATGAAATCGAAAGTGATAAAAATATACATGTATAAGTTTTACATTGGAGAATCGTTTTTATTTGTAACTATTGTGACTTATGAGATTTTCACATATATGATTAGGGAAACAATGTCTAATGTCCGGAGATGGGTATTCAAATGAGTTTATTAATCGTGACTTCTCCGAAATTGATAAGAATCGCTTTATGTAAACTTCATTTACGTACTATTTTCTAAAAAATAAGTGCTTACAAAGTTTCATTATTCTAGCTAACCTTTTTGTTTGTTTTTAACATAGATATGAATTCACGTCTACCATTCATCCAGATGAATTTGGGGAAGTTGTCGATGAGAACTAAATGATCTTGCCATATGATGTGTGAGGAACTACTAAATAAATCTATTTGGAATATTGTTATGTGTTAGTCTTTTATATTGCTTTCTTTATCCAATAATATGAAAACTCTAAGTTTGATATGTTTTCTTATGTGTTGCAATATATTACTAAGACTTGGAATGATTTTATATGTAAGTTTGCAAATAGATATCTCTGTGCTTCCGAATTACGAACATGCTATAACAATATCTTAATTGTTTTACAAAATACGAGAAATAGCCATCTTAAAATTATAGTATTTTTATTGTCATATACTTGACATTGTTTCCATATACATATTACATTACATATTTGTTGTTACAATTGAATTTAAACTTTGCAAACATCTTCCCTAATTGTAAAAATTCTATGGTATTTTAAAACCCGTTAACTTTGTTTTCATAACTTAATTCTTTTTATCAACTAAGCTTGGCCGCGTAAGGCGCGGGTAACTACCCTAGTTGGTTCTTAATTTACATGGAATTTTGATGACTTTAGTAAAATCATAGAAAGTAAACAAATGAAAGATTCTAAACTATTGTTGGAGAGTTTTTGAGAGTTTTTGAGAGTTTTCTATAATCTTGTTGATTAGTATTTCATAATCTTGTAAAGTTTCTCAAACAATCTCTCTATTTTGTAAAGAAAAGTGTAAAAAGTCATAAGTCAATAACATAATAAGTAATTGATTCTTATGTTGGAATTGAATAACACAAAGAGATTAGGCGGGGAGTAATCGGAGCTGTTCAGCAATCATCTTATACTAATCAATAATCATGGATAATGAAGATACACCCTTGGTTTAAAAGAGAGTCTGAGTGAAAATAGGATGCTAAATTTTGCTAAAGACGTAATAAAGCTAATGATCTTCATTACGTCTGCGTATGCGGGCTTGGGGAGTGACACAACCTTGCGTATTCTGTGGAGAACCGACTGAATCAAGGGACCACCTCTTCTTTGCCTGCCCTTACACTTTCACCATCTGGTTCGAATTGACTTCGCCCCTACTGCGTCACAAGCTCACTCCTGACTGGTCTCAAACCCTCCTCTCCCTTCGTTCTACCCAGCTCAAGCTGCATGACAAGACACTGGCCCGACTTGCCTTCCAAGCATCCGTCTATTTGCTTTGGCGAGAGCGGAATGGTCGGATCCACAATCAATGTTCCAACTCGTCAACCACTATGCTTAAGACAATTGACAAAGCTATAAAGGAGCGTATTTCTTCGCTTAAGTCACGGAAAGGATCCAATTTTGAAGAGTTGCAGGTTCGGTGGACAGAGCTACGTGGTGGTTGATAGTTAATGGGCTGGTTTCTTTTATTTGAAGTATTGGTTTTCAAACTTTATTTAAATATACATAAGTAATAGATCGAGCAAACCTTGATTTTTATAGATCTTCTTGCAAAATTTACAAAGCATTTCAAATTCAATACAAGATGGTTTGTTCTTTTTATAGATGGTTTGTTATGTAAATAAAAAGCATTTCAAATTCAATACAAGTATCATTCTCTCTACGCAGTTTCTCCAACTCTAATGATCTCTTTTGATTATAAAGTTCCAACACGATGGAAGGTCATTGCCTTTAAAGAAAACAAAAGAAAAATGAGTATCATTCATGTGTAATGGATACACTGTGATTCAGAGGAACACAAAAACTGTGTTCCTCGGCTTCTACAAGTCTGCTTGAAGAGAACAAGAGCTGTATTGAATGGTTGAACAAACAAATGAAAAAGTCAGTGATATACATAAGCTTGGGAAGCTTTATAGCTTTAACAGAAATTAATGAGGTGATATGAATTCCAAAAACCACACTAGCATTTTGCACATGAACTAACCTTTTGATAGTACAAAATATTAATGTATGTAGCCACTTTTGAGGAATCTTTTGTATTTGTAGACTACTAGTAAACGCCTCTTCACATTTTAATTACTTTATTATCTAAATCTCAAAACAAAACCTACCCAAACCAACTCTTATGTGAGCCAATAAAAAACAAACAAAGAAACACGTTTTTCTTTGATTTTTATTCGAGTTAATTGTCAATTTCTTCCTTCTACCAAATGTCTCATAATTAGCAAGTGGAAATAAGCAAATTATAAATTGTACACAAAAATATACAACTTAAAGGTATACCAACTCTTTGATGCAATAATCGCACCAAGATTGGAGAATCATACGTGTTGCAGCTTTTGAAGGAAATTTATCAACAACTCTTTGGACTTTCATGCAATAATAAGATTGAAGAACCACTTTTGAGGAAATTATATTATATTTGTAGACAAGTATAATCTCAGAACAGAACTTTCTATACTCTCTAGCTGGCTAAAACCACACAAAATGTCACTTTCTTGCTTATACTAAATAAACACAAAGTAGTTGCCAATGCAAATAGGAATTTTATAATAATTTGGATCAGCTATTTAGAGATGTTCCGCATTGAGAGATGAAAGTAGAGAAAGAGAAAGAGATTAAGCAATAGAGAAAATGGAAGCCAAGAGAAGGATAGTGTTAGTTCCAGTTCCAGCACAAGGTCATGTTACTCCAATGATGCAACTTGGGAAAGCCCTTTACTCGGAGGGCTTCTCAATTACAGTTGTTGAGGGACACTTCAATCAAGTAAGCTCTTCTTCTCAACACTTCCCTGGTTTTCAGTTTGTCACCATAAAAGAAAGCTTACCAGAGTCTGAATTCGAGAGACTCGGAGGAATCGAGTTTATGATAAAGCTCAACAAAACCAGTGAGGCAAGCTTCAAGGACTGTATAAGTCAGTTGTTGCAGCAACAAGGCAATGATATAGCATGTATCATCTACGACGAGTTCATGTACTTCTGTGGTGCTGCAGCTAAAGAGTTCAAACTTCCCAGTGTTATCTTCAACAGTACAAGTGCTACAAATCAAGTTTCTCGTTACGTTGTAGGCAAACTCAATGCAGAAAAGTTCTTGGTTGACATGGAAGGTACCCAAAACAAGTTTAATAACCAATCTTGAAAATTGAAACCACTCCTTTCACTTAACCTTGCTTTTTTTTTTTTTCTTGCTTACTTTGCAGATCCTGAAATGCAAGACAAAGTGGTGGAAAATTTGTATCCATTACGATACAAAGACCTACCTATTTCAGAAATGGGGCCACTAGATCGAGTTTTTGAGCTCTGTAGAGAAGTAGGCAACAAAAGAACAGCTTCTGGTGTTATCATCAACACGGTGAGCTGTCTAGAGAGCTCGTCTTTGTCATGGCTGCAACAAGAAGTCAGAATTCCAGTGTCTCCATTAGGCCCTCTTCACATGACAGCTTCACCACCTTCTAGTTTACTTGAAGAGGACAGGAGCTGCATTGAATGGCTGAACAAGCAGAAACCGAGGTCAGTCATATATATAAGCGTAGGAACACTTGGTCAAATGGAAACCAAGGAAGTGTTGGAGATGGCTTGGGGGTTGTGTAATAGCAACCAACCGTTTTTATGGGTTATCCGAGCGGGTTCCATCCTTGGCATTAACGGTATAGATTCATTGCCAGATGAATTCAATAAGATGGTCTCTGAAAGAGGATACATTGTGAAACGGGCACCGCAGATAGAAGTACTAGGACATCCTGCAGTGGGAGGCTTCTGGAGCCACTGTGGATGGAACTCAACACTCGAGAGCATTGGAGAAGGAGTGCCAATGATTTGCAGGCCTTTTCATGGGGAGCAAAAGTTGAACGCAATGTATATTGAAAGAGTTTGGAGAATAGGGTTTCAGGTGGAAGGTAAAGTGGATAGAGGAGAAGTTGAGAAAGCTGTGAAGAGGTTGATCGTGGATGACGAAGGTGCGGGGATGCGGGAGAGAGCCCTTGTTCTAAAAGAGAAGCTCAAAGCCTCTGTCAAAAATGGAGGCGCCTCATACGACGCATTGAATGAGCTTGTCAAGTACTTGAAGACAAAGTAAAGATTTTGAACTTCATGTATTATTAGAGATAATTGAATGGTTGCAAATTTACAAAAGCAATACAAATCAAACTCGAGCATCTCTATTGGCAGTATGCTCAATATAGAATTGTTGCATCATGAAAAAGACAATTTTTCTGTTTGGGACATTTTATGAAATAAAGCCAAATAAACATCTTTCGTTTTCTTTGATAACTACTCTCTCTAACAAGATAAAGAGATGTAACTACTAGCATACACCATCGACCACATGTGAATTTACATGTGGGCAAGAGAGGCAACAAAACATAATACGGATGAATTAGTGTCCACAAGTGATGAGAATCTGATTTTTTATAAAGGAAAGATACTTCTTTGAATAAATCACATAGACATTCAAAGGAGCTGAGGACCAGAGTAACCTATAATCCCGGAACTGAGAGGATTACTACTTAATTGTTCTTGCAGGTTTTGGAAATGGAGGAAAAGCAGGCGAGAAAAAGGGTCGTGTTGGTTTCAGTTTCAGCTCAAGGACATATATCTCCAATGATGCAACTTGCGAAAACCCTTCATTCGAAGGGGTTTCTCAATCACAGTTTTTCAGACCAAGTTCAATTACTTTAGCCCTTCCGATGACTTCACTGATTTTCAGTTTGCCACTATTCCGGAAAGCTTACCGGAGTCTGCTTTTGAGGATCTCGGGGCACTAAAATTTCTGCTTAAGCTCAACATAGAGTGCCAGGTGAGCTTCAAGGACTGCTTGGGTCAGTTGCTGCTGCAACAAAGTAATGAGATCTCATGTGTCATCTACGACGAGTTCTTGTACTTTGCTGAAGCTGCAGCCAAAGAGTTTAAGCTTCCAAATGTCATTTTCAGCACAACAAGTGCCACGGCTTTTGTTTGTCGCTCTGTATTCAACAACGTCTATGGAAACAACGGCATAGCTCCCTCGAAAGGTTTTCTTAAGATTCTCTGTTTCGGGATTCCCCTAGTGTCTATAATGTTGTAACACTACGGGTTTTGACCTTTTCGCAGAACCCAAAGGACAACAGGACTAGCTACTTACAGAGTTTCCTCCCCTGAGATACAAAGACTTTCCGGTTTTACAATTTGAATCATTAGAAAGCACAATGGAGCTGTATAGGAATACAGTTGACAAACGGACAGCTTCATCTGTGATAATCAACACTGCGAGCTGTCTAGAGAGTGCATCTCTGTCATTTCTGCAAAAACAGTTAGAAATTCCAGTGTATCCTATAGGCCCTCTTCACATGGTGGCCTCGGCTTCTACAAGTCTGCTTGAAGAGAACAAAAGTTGTATGGAATGGTTGAACAAACAAAAGGTAAACTCAGTGATATACATAAGCTTGGGAAGCTATGCTTTAACAGAAATTAATGAGGTGATGGAAAGTGCTCTGAAGATAAGGTTGTGTCACTGAATCTTGCTACTATTTAAGAAAATAATCAAAGGGGACACAAAAGTGCTCTGAAGATAAGGTTGTGTCACTGAATGTATGATGTGCAGAGAAACAATCATATATTAATGAGAATTATAAAATTATAATCTTATACTGGAGATGAATGTCAGCAAGAAACATTAGAAAGACTTTTGTTTTTGTTAGAATATCACTTTCTTCCTATTGTTGGAAGTTCATTGGTTTATGGCTCTCCAATCAATCGTAAGGTTATTAGTATCACTTTAAATAAGAAAAAGGTCGTCATATGAGGATCACTTGATTTGTATTAAAATGGCCTCTTTTGAAACATTGGATTGGTTTGTAAATTTTAAAAGTAAATAAAAGTAAAGATTGTGTCTGACTCCATCTCTCACAGAAATAAACAATTCACTCTTTTGATTATCACTCTAAGAAGTCTACAGACAAATAAAGCAAAGGGACTTACTTATCTCTTACAAGATAGAAAATGAGTATATGAAATTTGTCAGAGGTCTTCTCTTGATCTAGCTTGGACATGATATGTTTGTATGATCTCTCCTACACAGATGAAAATTTCGAAGATGTGACGACGTAGAAAAGTAGAAGCCAAGAACCTGTAACAACAATCAAATATGATCAAGACAGTAACGACGCAGATAATTTCGAAAGGTATAACTCTACCTACCTGAAGACATGGAATTTAACTGAGAAAGACGAAAAATATACGAGAGAAAATGATTCTGTGATGGATATACTTAACTATTTCGCAATTAAAAGTAGAGAAATGCTCATTCTACCTAAAAGCTTGCATGGGTAATATCTTGCTTAAATCGAAAAGCATCATAAGGCTTTCCCACTGAGGAAATCCAAAACCAAATAACATAAAATGAAACTATCACTTTGGTGACTATCTTTCTATAAGAAAACTAAAAGAGTACACTTGTGCAGCACTATATATGGCTTTTTAAGCGCACAAAACAATATCAAGCCACCTGACACATATCCTCTCTTGAATTTAGAGCACTACTCAGTTACAAACATTCAGTGTTAGTTACCTAAACACACAGTTCTCAAGTAAAAAATCTTTAAAACAGCATATAAAATCGAACATGATCTGAATTACATGAGAGCAATTTTGATACATCTCAAGAACAGTTCAACATAGCACAAGAATCTCACAATCAAATTCAACTTACTTGATTATATTAACTCTGTCAATATCACCAAACAAGTGATTAAACGCCTTAAGACTTTATTATCGTATACCATATATAGTAAAAGACAGCAACACTTGATGAAATTTCGATCAAATCGTGTAAGAATTATAACTGTACTTAAAAAGACAGAAACTTTGACAATAATCATCAGTTCCACGAGCAAAAACAAGCTCACCTATCTCTTCCAACATTGAATCCATCTATAGACTTCCTTCGATTCATTTCAATTCTCATTCGCGCTACCACCACCAACAGAAGGATAAGACGCCATGGATCCAAACTTATTCTGCTGCATCATATATGGATTTGCCTCAAACCCACCACTTCCACCAGCTCCATAATGATGATGATGATGATTCTGATGATAAGGATCATGTTTATGATTTTGATGATGATATCCTTGCATACCCATATGATGTGCATAAACTGGCATCTGCATCATCGGCTGCGCTCCATACGGTCCTTGAATCGGCACTCCAACATTACCGCTGCTACCGCCACCGCCACCGATGTCTTGGAAGCTCTGTGGAGGCACAGGTGTTGAAGAGAAGAGCTTATCCGAAGCAGAGGGACCTTCGTTCGTCAACCCCTGCATTCTTTTGAGGTAAAGCCTATATTTCTGGAGATGAGAGGCAACGTTCTCTCGAGTTAGTCCTTCAACGTTCATCAGCTGCATAATCGTCTTTGGAACAGCGTTTTTGATTCCTAAGTGAGCAACAACGTCAACGAATCTCTTGTGTAGCTGTGGTGTCCACACTAAACGCGGTCGTTTTAGTGTCTTCCCAGATAGATCTTCAGTTCCTGAATCTCCTTCCTCCGCCGCCGCATCTGGATCCACACCGCCATCGCCACCACCACCGCCGTCTGATATCTTCTGCTTCTTCGAATCCGATCCAGGACTACTCGATCCGACTCTATCTTCCTCCTCCACCGCGTTGCTGTTATTATTCGACGATGAGGTATTTTGACCGGAAGATCCGCCACGCAGCGACGAGAACGTCGTCTCCGATGCACGATTCACATCCTGAATCGTACGGCTTCGCTCCGGTGTGATACTAAACGCCATCGCCAAGTTCGGTGGAATCAGAGAGTAAGAAAGCGATGCTAGATCTTCGTCGCTAGGTAGTCCCATCTCCCATTCAGAAACCCTATCTCCGTCGCCGGAAACATCGTAATCGCTCATTTGTACTTCCTCTCCCATTTTAAACTCTCTAATTTCTCGAAATTCAGTTAGAGATTGAAGTCTTTGAAGCTCAAAATCAATAAAAATTTCAAATCGGAGATCGGAGAAAGAGAGAAGTTTGGTTTGGTGACGATGATGAGCAACAATTTTTTTTTTTTTTTTTTCAGAAGTGAAACAATTTCGAAAAAAGAGAAGATTATCAGTTGTTTTATCGGAAAAAGAGAAAAGCAAAAAGATAGTAATAGAAAAGCGCAATATTTTAATTCCAACGTGGACGAGTTAGCTAGATATTTTAGATCTTCAAAATATCTTGACATATGTTAACTCAACCAATCTTATTACAACACGTCATCAGTAACATTTTGTAACAATAGTAACGAAATTACCAATCTAGGCACGTAAGATGAGCCACGTGGATTGAAAAGGGCCAAGTCAGCTATTTTTGAGGGTATTTCAGTAATTTTATCACCGACTTAGCAAGTTGCGTTTGTGGGTCTACAGAGAAAGTGGGCAAAACCGGTGGGTTCGGCCAGCTGGAGAGTGAAAAGAGGATAAAGATTCGGTGATGAGTATGTACAGTACTGACACGCAATGTGTTCTTTCAACCGTTGGATTGTTGTTTTAGATATTTATAGAAGCATCTAAAGATCAATCTAACGGCACAGAAGTGGCAACTAAGTTCACGAATTTTTACAAAAATGAAAATAAATTATTGTGGAAAAGCTAAGAAAGTCTTTTAGTCAGGTGGTTTAGTTACTCTGTTGGCTTCTTTAACGTCTCGGGTTCGATTCTCCAACTTCGTAATCTGACGAAACGTTATCTTCTTCCCAAATTTCTGATTCTCTGCGATTTTCCCAAACTCATCTTCTTCGAGTGACTTGTACAGATTAGGGTTTTACTCGTTGCATTTCTCGTTATTGTTCGCTATATTGCTCCTTGATTGTGGTCGATGACCTCGCTACTTCTTCTCAGAACTCTTCCGCTCCTCCGCAACGGTTTTCTCAACCATCGTCATCAAGTTGGTATCGTAGCTGGTGGAATTCTCAGTCACCGTCGGCGTTTGTGGTGTTCTCTTGCTGATAAACCACAGTTTTACGAGAATGATTCTACGGCGGAGGGATCCGGCGCGGGGATGAACACGACGTCGCCTGCTGTTGATAATAGCTGGCGTTTTGAAGATCCTGATTATCGGAAGTGGAAGAATCTAGAGGCTGAGATTCTTCGTGATATTGAACCTATTGCTCTTCTCGCTAAAGAAATTCTTCATTCTGATAGGTAATTTCTTCTTTTCTACAGAAAATGAGCTTCAAGGTCTGTTTTGTTGAATAGCTGCACAATTTGATAGCAGTGAATCTGGAAAAAGTAGTGTCAATGTTTCGAATTACAATTCCAAATGAAATTTTGGTTTGTGGTTGATCCCTGATTGTTCTTGAAGTACTTGGAATGAATCCTTCATGCTCTACAATAGCTGTACTACGTTTGGTTTAGTATTGAAGTTATAGGCTCATAGCTTCTTCCAGTAGCTTGTTGTTTTACCTAAATCAAACAACATAGAGACACCATTTGGCCGTTGATGTGACAATTGGTCTAATCTACAATGGTTCCAACCAATCTGTATTGTGGAGAGGCCAAATTTCTATAGGAATGGATGCTTGAAGTTTGATCTGATTATTGTGGTCAATGCAGAATAATTGTTCACCCTATAGTGATAAATGCTCTTGTATCTTCAGTCTACTCTGGAACAATGGCCAAAGTGGAACTATTTTGTAGTGGACTATTGGTTTTTGAAACTAGATTCAGTGCATAGTTGCGTTTTGTGTAGATATTTTTGCAGTCAGAATGAACTGTTTTTCTTCTTGATAAGCAGGTATTTGGATGGAGAACGCTTAGAATTTGAGGATGAGAAAATTGTCATGGAAAAGCTTCTTGCTTATCACCCCTACTCAAAAGATAAAATTGGTTGCGGTCTTGATTTTATAATGGTACGTAGATTCAACTTTAAGCTCTACTCATAAAGAAATTATCTGGAGGTATTGTACATATTCTCGAACAACCATGATAGATAGATGAGTTACTGACATGTTGTATCTCAAAATGTGATTGAAATAAATGGTTATATCCATAACTTTTTTGATTTACTTTTTTTTGTTGTTGCTTGGAATGCTTATGTGTGGCTACTTGTTAATGACAGGTTGATCGGCATCCTCAATTCAGGCACTCAAGGTGCCTCTTTGTTGTGAGAACGGATGGTGGATGGATAGATTTCTCCTACCAGAAATGTCTTCGAGCTTATGTCCGAGATAAGTATCCGTCTCACGCTGAGAGGTTTATTCGTGAACATTTTAAGCGTGCTAGTAGCTAAAAAATCTGTATAATTGTCCCACTCCTCATCACTGCAAATTCTCATATAAATTTTGCTGAAATCACACAATCAGCTACGATGCTTTGATGTAGAAAAATTATACTGGCTCTATCCATTGAAGGAAGGCTTAAATCTGTTACGAAAATATCAGAAGTAAAAATATTGTTTGTTCCTTCAAAGCCATTTCAAAGTCCAAACTGTCTCAGAGCAAAAAGCCCAAAATGAACAATCTCAAAAAGAAACCCAAACCAGTACGCCTTTCTTTTGTGTCCAAACGATGAGCATAAGAGACGAATCTACCTTTTTTTTTTTTTATCATCTAGACGAATCTACCTTATTCCAACCAATATTTGACTCCATATATATATAACTCATTAAGTCATGTTTTGGTTAACCAACAAGAAGTAATTAGTTGACAAAGAAAAAGTTAACCAACAAGCATTTAGTCCCTAAATTTATAATATTTTATAAACTCAAAAAATGTCAACATATGAATGTTGATAATCAAGATATATACATGAACACATTTACATCATTTCCAAAATTCAAAGACTCATATTTATATATTCCACATCAAAAGACAAACAGATCTTTTACCTTCTTTTTCTTTTCATTTTTAGGGTCAAATGGATCTTTTACCTTCTAAAACAAATATCTTTACAAAGAAACAAAATTATTTTATACTCCAAATGAAACATACTTACCCATAAAACGACGACGTTTAGTAACTTACCAAGAAAGAAACCAAGGTAGGTCCCACGCTGCCTCTTCCGAAACTTCTTCGAAGGGTGACAGTTTTCACATTTCGGTCAAATATCTCGCACACGTCAATGACGCTCTTCACTCCAAAATACTCCACCGTTAATAACTCCGTCATCATCTCCCCATTCAAAACACTGTCACGTGTTCCCACCGTTTAATCTAACACCGTTAACACTCACCTACAAAACCACGTTATATAAACAAAACTTTTTTCTTCATCTTCCTTCTCTCATTAAACTTCAGATCCTTTCACCAGCAACACAAGTTCTTTCAAAAGATGATGCCAAATTCTAGATCGGCGACTATAACTCCGACGACAGAATCAACCACCACAACAACAACGACTCCGGCGACGTCGTATTGGTGTTACAGTTGTACACGATTCATCAGCGTTTGGGATGATCATGACGCAAACGCTGGAGTCTTATGTCCTTATTGCGACGGAGGCTTCATCGAAGAGATTGAAGATTCTTCTAATTCTCCCGCCGCAGCGATTCCGGTTACGGCTCCGGAAGTTAGATCGGTTGAAGATATTCATAGATCTGTAATTAGACGGCGTAGATCCGGTCGTCGTACATCGTTTAATCCGGTAATCGTCTTGCACGGAGGAGGAGGAGGAGGAGGAGATAGAGTTGAGAACGAAGAAGGAGACGGAGCTACTAGAGAACGACGAGCTTATGAGTTTTATTACGATGATGGATCTGGTTCTGGTCTAAGACCTCTTCCTGATTCTGTATCTGAGATCTTAATGGGATCTGGATTTGAACGTTTACTTGAACAATTGAGTCAGATCGAAGCGTCAGGTAACGGAATCGGTAGATCTGGTAATCCACCGGCGTCGAAATCAGCGATTGAATCTTTAGCTAGAATCGAGATCTCAGATTGTCACATGAAAGCAGAAGCTAATTGCGCCGTGTGTACGGAAGTTTTCGAAGCCGGAATCGAAGGTCGTGAGATGCCGTGTAAACATATATTTCACGGCGATTGTATTGTTCCATGGCTTTCGATTCGGAATTCGTGTCCTGTGTGTAGATTTGAATTACCTTCAGATCCAATTCAAAGGAGTAATGAAGAAGAACATGCCGTTGGGATGACGATTTGGAGATTACCTGGTGGTGGTTTCGCTGTTGGGAGGTTTAACGCGGGGGTGAGAGAAGGAGAGAGGATTTTACCGGTGGTTTTGACGGAGATGGATGGTGGTGGACTTGGTAGTAATGAAGGACCGAGAAGGATTTCTTGGGTTAGAGCTCATGAGACACCGGAGATGAGTAGGAATGGTGGTCGTTCTGGTAATGGAGGTAGATTGAGAAGAGCTGTTCGTGGAATGGTTTCGTTTATGAGAAGAGTGAGACCAAATCGTGGCTCTTCGAATTCGAATTCGAATCTTATTGATTTGGATAGTGATGGTGAAGCTAGAGTTATGAATCGATCGACTTCGTTGATCAGAAGATTTTTCTGATGGAAACTGGAGAATCAGGTTAGGTGATAAAAAGGTTTGAGATTTTTTTGTTTGTTGATTCAACAATGTGTATATATTTATTCAGATGAAACTATTTGGAACCTCTTTGTTACATCAAATTTATTGGAAACCAAATGTCAAATACATTATTCTTAAAACATTTTTATTGGATTTTGAGAAAGTGAAAGGATGTGTTTATTTGTGTTCTTGGGATTGTGAGAAATGAGGTTTTGAATGGATGGTGCGGGTGAAGCGGACTAAAACACTTTATTTTTGGGGCGGACAACAAATTGTCACGTATACCAAGTTTTATTTTTATGTAAAAACGGTCCGTAGTTGGTATGTGGTGGATTTTTTTATATTTTTCGATCTGCACTACTAGCGGTCTAATCCGCAAACGGCCGTAGCAACCATTTGAACCTTGAAGGCACGAATAAATGAAGAGAGAGAGGTTGTGAAATCGATCATCCTTTCAAAGTTTACCAAATTCATTTTGGGTGTGTATTCATTTTTGATCAAATCAGGTGATGATCTTTGTGATTGATCATGAGATCACTTTACAAATATCATTTCGTCATTTCCATGGAATATCAGGAAATCTAAATTGAGTTACGTGGATACGTAGATTTCTTCAGAATTTTTTTTAAAAAATTAGGACAAGGAAATCGAGTTCCCGTGTCAACATAAACCCTGAAATTGTTTGTTTAATAGTTGAATGGATATATAGTTGGCATTAGTCTTGCATTCGTCACTACTTACATCATCAGCTGATGATATGAATTATTCTTAAATATAATTTGACAAAATAATCGAATGGATAGACTTTATAGACACGGTCTTAATATCTTTATTTCTTTTATGACAAATACAATGTTTCTTAATGGTGAAAGCCAAGGTTCTCCTCTACTCTATGGGTGGGTGGTCCCAAAAAGTCGATAAATTATTGGACGGAACTAATAAAAGTCACCAAAGTTTGTGTCAGATATTTTCTAACTGTCATTGTAAATGTCTAACCAAAGAGACTAGATGCTTGAAATGGAGTAATGGAGGAGCTAGAAATGGCCGGACCACTTATCGTATTTACTTTTTGAGTAACGTGTTTTTTCCTCCATTAGCCAAAGTAACTTAGCTACATGCGGTCCAACAGTTTAAACAAAATTAAAACATTTATTTCACTATGAAACATGTAAAAATACAGAACAAGTCTGGTTTAGTAGTTCTAAAGAAGAAGCAATGTAAATGCCGGTAATGTAAAGACAGTTGGTGTAGAATAAAAGTTGAATGATGGTTATAATAGTTATTTTATCTTTATTATGTTTTTGGTTTTGTATTTCGAATGATCGGAAAGTGATGATACGCATCACACACTTTGAAACGATGTAAAAACCATCATTTCCGAAACCATCCGAGGCACATTCTTAATGTGTTCTATGAATGTTGAATACGCGAACCTAAACGTTTTATATGTGACTCATGCATAATACAAGTAGATAAAATGAGAGCATTGCAATTAACTTGCAAAATATTGGAGATATCTCGGAGAGCAAGATGTGTATTTTGCGGACCAACTAATATGGACCGTCAAAGTTCGCTTATGAAGTGAAGCCCGTTAAACCGAAGTCGAAGAATATTCTAGATATCCTATTGTGATAAGAATTAAGAGATTTAGAATAATTACTTATTCATGTTTATCTATTTCCTATTCTAATTAAGCTAAACATAAGTTGATCTCTATATATGTTATATCAATTCTTTTTTTTTTTATAACCCAGGTGTCCGGTCCCACCGAAATGGTCCGACTAGCGTCGTGTCCAAGCGGAACTGACGTAGTCCTGAAAACCTGCAGCCGTCATGTGAATCCCGCAGTGGCCAGGAATCGAACCCAAGTGGCGGTACCCCCAACTGGAGGCCCTTTACCACTAGGAGACAACTCCTGGTTTTGTATCAATTCTATTGACATCAACAACACATAATAAAGAGTTTTCCTCCAAATCCTTCTCTAGTTCTACACAAAACGTTGTACACTTTATCCCAAATTCGGAGCTTTATGAAGTTGCACATTATTAAAGAAGCAGCACCGGCCAACAAAGGAATTAAGGAGAGTCGATGATCGTGCAGATGGGTTACAATCTCTATCTAATTATAAAACAACTACATATTTTAATTTTACGGCAAGCTTAGAACATTCATTTCAAAACGAGTTTACAATATATAAGAACATATAGAACCATTAAACTACCTATTTCAAATATTGGTTGCAAGTACGATATTGAACTAACCAAAAAAAAAAAAAAAAAAAAAAAGATCTGAAAAAACAAACTATATTCTTTTTTTTTATTCAGTTGACATCAAGCTTTGATAACAAGAAAGCGCATATGAGTAATAACCAGGTGCGAAACAAAAATTGTAGGTAGATTAGATGTTTTTACTAAATACTGAGTTACGTACGCACTTTTTTTTTTTTTTTTTTTTGGTAAAAATTACGTACGTACTTACGTGGCTGTCTATACAAAATATGGACATTGATAGAGAAAAAGAAACAAAGGATTAACGAAAGAACAGAACCAAATGCAATGGAATACCCTTTTCATTAGTTATAAATTTAATAACTGTTTTTGCTTCCACAAAGATTCTCTTCTATATTTGGATCCAATGCAATGAATCTCAAGAATGTTTGTGCCAGCAAACGAGCATCAAAACGCAGCGTTTGATTATGTAGAAGCGGGACTTCTGCTCCTTGGCGACTTTGAAGCATTTTCCAGTCACCGAAGCTCCTTTCTGAGACAAGCTTCTAGAGAGAGAAGACTTGGAGGAGAAATCAGCTGAAGATTTCGTGGAACAGCTTCTAGACAAAATCAAAGACTTCGAAGCTTTAGGCTTTGAGGAGAAACTCCGTCTGAAAATGGGTTCGGAAGAACAAGAAGACGACGAAGGTTTTGTTGAGAAGCTTCTAGTGAAATGGGATTTGGATGAAGGAGAAGATGAAGTTTTTGTGGAGAAGCTTCTTGTGAAAAAGGGTTTAGAAGAAGAAGAGAAATGAGTAGTTTGAAAGATGGCATCTTTCTTTGTATGATTCCATAGCTTTTCAACATCCATGAATCAACAATGTGCTTCCTTCTATTGATCCAAATGTGTCTATATATATGTATATTGTGCGTGGAGAGAGAGAGATAGTTTATATCAAAAATGGGTTTAAGTGTCTATTGTATATCATATATGTATGTATATAATAGGGTCTACATGACCATGACTAGATCCTTTGCATGGATGCTGCATAAATGTGGTTGCATGGGAATCGAATCTAAGGAATGTCCATGTTTAAATGTGGTTGATTGAGGTGAATGAACTATATTCACTAGCATATTATTTAGAAACTAACTTGGATCTCTCTTTTGTATATTTCGTATGGTTAAATTACTAAATAATTATTTTGCGTCATATATATAGTTTGAACTTTGATGTATATGCATAATGCATTCACATTTTACAATTATCATTTTTGGCATATATGCTGACATAAATCTATTGAGAACTAGTGAACTTATAATTGGGTGTGTAGTAACATTATATTATGATATCTTCTGGATTGGCTAGATCTAGAAAGTAGTTTTATATTTGCATAGATGATAGTATCATTGGGATTAATCTACGTATAATTTTTGTTAAGAAGATTCCACCAACAAAAGGAAATTAGAACTATAAAACTATTGGCAGTCAACGAGCGTATAACTTTGACCGAATCTATAAATGTTATTTCACTGTCTGTGTCTGTCCATGCGAGTCTTAAATATTTTCTAGCAATCTGTCGGTTAGTGATGAATGTAACATGATGTATGTGAAGATTCGATTAACTTTGGCAACTTTGCAATCCCTCTAAAACTAAAAATAAATTGATCAATGTAGTAAACCTAAAATTCTCTTATTGGTTACTACTTACTAGTTAGTTTTTGCTCTCCTACAACTAATATCCTTATGTATCTTACTTTTGACTCGAAAACATAACATTTTAATAACACATGTTAGAATATATATTTGAAAGTTTGCTAATTGAGACCTTTGTTTTTTTTTGCCATCAGAATTTTATTGATATAAAAACCATTACCAAAAAACAGTTTTGTTGGTTACAACTAAACCCAAACAAAAAAAAAAACAAAAAAAAAAAACCAGCTTAATAACGCATCAAATGATAAATTGATGAGAGTAAAGAACACAAAAGTGTTTAGGAAGAATTATAATTGGCTCTTATAAGATTAATGTTCCAAGATACATCGATATATATATAGAGAAAGACTGAACCTAATTTTCTAAATTAAGATAAACTTTGTCGATCTCGGTCGATCTCTGGTTCTTCCAATACCCCCCGGCAAACTCATACGTGGTCACACGTGTGAGATTGGACAATTATTCATAATAGCGGCTTTATACCCGGCCGTCGGGTCATCATCGACGTTTATACCCGATCGTAGGGTTCAAAGCGGCTACAATACCCAGCCGTTAGGTCATCAAAGTTTATACCCGATCGTAGGGTTCAAGTAATATAAAATAACACCCGCGATTGCGAGGTTCAGATGTAGCTCGCGTGATTGCGAGGTTCGGATGTAGCTCGCGATGGCGAGACTAAAAGAAACAACTCACGAGGGCGAGAAGTTTAATCAAAAGGGATATCAAACTCGCGAGGGCGAGAAAAACATCATTGTTACCGAAACTGAACGAAACCACTAGATTCATGTTCATGATCAAGTGGTTTGTTCTTCAAGAAACTAGCAACTTTGCTAGAATATCAACGTGGCCAATCAATGACCGGGATAAACACATGAAAATCTACCAAGAATAAAGGATCACGTCTCTTTCTTCTTTTTTTTTTTTTTTTTTGTAGTAGCGGAAGCAAACAAAACCTTAACCCATAGGAATAAGAACCTGGCTCTGATACCATAATAAATTGATGAGAGTAAAGAACACAAAAGTGTTTAGGAAGAATTATAATTGGCTCTCATAAGATTAATGTTCCAAGATACATCGATATATATATAGAGAAAGACTGAACCTAATTTTCTAAATTAAGATAAACTTCGTCGATCTCGGTCGATCTCTGGTTCTTCCAATATCAAACGATAAGGATAAGCAGAGGATACGTGTACTATGAGATGTTTTATGTTGTATGTAAAAAATAGTTAAAAAATAAAATAAAAATTTGAAAAGTTTAATACAACGATATAAGTAATATTTTTACCACTCGTTATTTTTTTTATATATACATATCTTTTGATTTATGTTGAAAATGTTTATCCACCTTAATTAGTGTTATTTCGGATCATGTACATAAAAAATATAGATGGTTCTTGTTTGAATATTTGAACCACACATAGACATTAAATTGATATTATTAATAGCATCTAAAACTTTTGTCTATTGTTATTTGAAGATATTAAATACAATCATTTCTGTTTACATTGAGATTACTCTTTTTGACACATCACTCATGTTTTTTCCTTCTCCTTTAAGATTTTCCAAGGACAAGATGGAAACGGAACATGCTAAACAGGGGAAAGGAAATACGAAGGATCCATATGAACAATGTGGTCAATGGTCATCTAACAGTATTTTAGTTGGATCGAAGACAAATACCAAAAAAACATTTAATGTTTTAAGAAAAAAGAAAAAGAAAAAACATTTTGGACCAATTTCACATTCACATGTGAGCATGTGAGTTCTTACAAGGCATGGCCAATGAAGACTTCTCAGTTCTCACTACTCACATTCATATCACTGTCCATTTAACTATAAGAAATTTTAGTTTCACGAAAAATATTACAATATTTATTTAGTCAAATATATATATATATGCTTGACCAATTGTTGAATGGTGAGAAACCCCAAGAAGGCGAAAATTGAGAGAATGCACTACTTTGCACAACTTTTATTTTCCAATGTTCTTGAAGATCTCTTGATATCTTAACATTCTTCAACTAAATAGAGAATAAAAATGTGAGGCTGAAACATGTAGTTGCCATGCATTTTTGTGATGTTCCATTCGAAAGCAGCCGTTTTCCGAAGCAAGAGGAATAAAATGAAGGAAACTGAATCTAACCCGATAACTCTCTTGTAAATTTTGATGGTGATATATATTTAACAACCGGCTTGTAACCACCAAAGACAACATTTTTTTGTGCAAAACAAATTATTACATAAACTTGCATCATATAGTAAGAAAGATGTACGGTACATTAAAAAAAGTGAATTTAACGAAAGTGAATCCGAAAGTACATGTTGCATTAAAAAAAAGTGAATCCGAAAGTACATGTTGCAATTGTGAGAATTATCTAAGTTTATGATAGAATTTTCAGGGGCAAAAAGGTTGGGGAGAAAAGCTGAGAATGCAACTAGTTTATGGCTATAAAATCAGCTAACCCGCCTAATTTTGATACTAAAAATTTTAAAAATTCTGGAGGCCCAATACATTTGTTTCTTGAAAATTGGTGGTGGGCCGGGCCTGTGTCGAAGAGAGAAATTAGTGGAACTCTCAGAAACCTTAAGGTATTAAGCTCTAACATAATTTGATTGGATTCTAAAATTGGAATCTTTCAAAATTGCTTTATTTGGTTTGCCTTAGTTTATGGATGAGAGAACAAAATCCTATAACCGAAATGTCGTTATTTGTCGATATATAGGGTTAGTTATTCGATGTTTGTGATCGTTGTATCGTTACTGATTGGGATCCTCAGCCAGGAGCATTGGTTGGACGTATGTCATTTCAGTCTTTTAATCCTTCTATTGAGGTGAGTGTGTTTATGTTTGTGAAACATGAGATGTTTGTAATTCGTGTTTTTATATAGTTTCAACATTCGGAAGTAGAACTGGTCTTGTGGTAGAAATTGAACGAAGAGGCATTAAAACGGTCGAAGAACAGATGGTTTCACCTCAAGTTGTAGCGGTAAAGAATGTCTTTTAGGTATGTTGCCTTCTCGTTTCATATTCGTTTTGTTATCAGGCAAATTCATGCCCAAGGGTACTTGTTGTCGTCGGGTACTGAGTAACGAGGCTTAAGTTTTATCCTATCTTCTAAAGAGTAAGTTATCATTTCTGATTTATGTCTCTTTATGTTGTAATCAGTCAAAAGGCATTATGTCTCGATGAATCAAAGTGTCCGAAAGACGAGCTTAGTGGAGAATCCAAAAGAGCAAGAAGGTGGACTGGAACGTTTTGATGCCGTCAAAACCTCAAACCCAAATTAGCTGACTGTGAGCTCTGTTTATGGTTAGGGCACATGTGTTCGTAGGTGCTTGTAGATTATCTGCTTACAATGTCTTTACTATCATTTACGCTGGTTTGCTACTGGTTTGTTATATTATAGCAAAGTTTTGGATTCTTGGTTACCAAATGCACTTGCAAGAAAGAAGAGAGACTCATTCCATATATATGAGAGCAAACAGATTTTACAACACTTTGAAACAAAAAAAAAAAAACAAAGAAATGGAAAGCTAACAAAGTTATGCAAATGACGACAGATTTGTTTATTGCTTCTTAGCAGGTTTCCAGCAGGAAACAGCATAGAGAACTCTTCCTTTCCAGCCCTGAAACATCCAGTTGTTATCGTTGTCGATCACGAAATCTTTGTGGTAACGTTGTTTCACTATTTCTTTCCCGTCCTTTACGATTTGTTTATTTAGTTTCGCTGGTCTAAACCCGGCTCTTAAAATCCTAACCTGCCATTGCTTGTACGTCTCGGGCCTTGCAAACCGCTCAGACCCTTCACAGGCTATCACACTCATTGCATCTCTTATGATTAGCTCCCTCTCCACCAGGGTCCTGCAATTGTCGTCTTCTGATAATGTGGTCTCATACATGTCAAAGAGTGACGAGCAATGGAACAGAGCTTCTCTGAACCTTGTTAGGAAGAAGGGCGAATTGTACGTCCCGTTGATCTCTGCAAACACAAAGAGGTCAGGATTGATATCTCTGAATAGTTTCAGAGCCGTGTCTCTTGGTGAGTTGAGGGACACGGTTTCATCAGGCGTATATTGTAGCCGGAGGATGCAATTGACAACTGTTGTCTCTCCACTATTGATCACCAGATCATCAAGAGTTATGTTCTCCCAGTTTTTGGCTATGAAACTGTACTCAAACGGGACTTTGAACTTGTCACAGAATCTCTTCAGTCTTCGCCCGGTCTCTTCTACCCGCTCTGATGGGCGGAAGCCTGACTGAGGCAGCTCGATACCAGTCACACGGAGTAGTGGTGGTCCGGTGTCACGTTTTGAAAGAGCTTGTATCAGACAAGGCCACTGAAATCCATAGAGGATCCCAAAATCAATGATGTGAAGAGTTGTTGCTTTGGAAGCAAGCTCAACAATTGTTCTGTTTGCAGTGAAATAACACATTATTAAGGTGGGACAAGCCTGAACAAACCCCTTGTACGCCTTCAAAATGTCCACCATTGATGTTCTGCTAGAAGTAGCAGATATTGGTGTAGTCATGGTTCCAGTAATACGCGCTTCAAGCGCCTCAGCGAAGTGATAACCAAGTCTTTGAGTTGCATCGCCGTGGCTAGAAGAGTGTTCTCTTATCTCCTTGAGTTTCTCAGAAGCTCTTCTCTGGTCAAAGCTCGCCACAGCTTGCGCGCATTGCATCAAAAGGTTCCTCATATCCACTGGCTGATCTGACTTTTGCTGCTTGGATCGATTCGATGAACCCTTTGCTTGTCTTGTTTTCTTCTCTGTTGCTTCTCCCTGATCATTCTTTTGACATACCAACAACACTTCCTCAAACTTTTCTGCTAACTCATCCACCGTAGATATTGCAGGAAGCTTCGATTTCCTTCCACCCTCAAGATCATCATCTTCATCATCATCCCTGTGTCGATACCTTCTGGTTGACTCCTCTGAAACTTCAGGTTGATGCAAACTCGTTATAGAACTGAAGTTTCCAAGAGAACCATCCTCTAAATCGCCGGAGATCTGATCAGACGGTGGAGGAGTTTGATCTTGAAGTACTTCGTAGAAAGATCTCTCAGCGGCTTGTAAAGCCAAACTGTCTTCCAACATACAAGACTGTCCTTCAAGATCTTCTTCCATCAACATGTCATTGATGTACTTAAAGACAGGGAGGTAATCTGAACATACCTTAGACTCGGTCGGAGAAGGGTTGCTCTGAGATTCAGATTCGTTGAAACAAGTGAAACGATTGGTAGTTCCAGATTCAAGATTGTTTCTTGGTTTGCAACAAGATCCAGAACCGTTGTCGAATCTGAACCCATCAACAGGTACTGGCAAAATAGCATCCATGAAACAGAATCTCACTAGAATGAAGATTGAAACAGAGTACTTTAGTAAGTCAACGAACAGAGGAAATGAGAGAAATAAGTAGTGAGAAGTTTCATGTGAACACAAGTTGAGAGATGTTGTTGATATATAAGGATATTGTTGTTTTGTTTTATTTAATCTTTGTCTTGGCAAAGAAGAAAAATGAAGTTTCGAGGAAGCAGAGAATGTGTGGGGTTAGAGATAAACACTAAGCCGCCACAAAAGGTTAGTAATAATATGTCCAAGACTTTATCTACTGTCGTGGGTCCAAATGACTAAAAAGCTATTTGTTTTCTTGTTGTTGTCCTCCTTTTGGTCACTTGTCTGGTCAAATATTTGATTTATGAGAACACTAAGACCATACACATTGCCAGCACTCGACCAGCGGGTGTATGTAATTAAAGAAAAGGTAAAGATAATGCAAAAGTTAGAGAGAGAGATAAGAAGAGAGAGGTAGAGACAGGATTTTTTTTTCCTTTTTTTTCTAATGCTTCATACCCGGGTGTACTGCTACACTCGAGTTTCAACTTTTTTTCACTTTTTGTATTTGTTTTGAGTTTTTTAATACATACACTCGGTCAAAGTGCTCGCCGTTGTGTATGCCCTAACAAAGATGATGTAAAGTTGTAAACAATTCATTTCCTTTTTAAAAATATTATTACATAGTTTACCTGCATTATTTGCGGATGAAATGATTATCAAGTAAAAACTACAATATATTTACTATATTATTATCCAAAATCTGAAATCTATATGTATTACGAACATGAATATATATATATATATATATATATATATATATATATATATATATTTATCCTATTTGAATCATCGATTCTTATATCAGAATTTCTTTTATCCGTAAAATGATTGAAAACAATAATTTATTTTCTAACTTTATTTGTTTTTTCTCCAAAAAAAATCAATTGTCTATTCGCTAAAATAATTACCTCATTTTTGTGTCTGCACAAAATCATCCACACGTAAATTAAATGTCGAAATATTTGTTTCCAAAATATTAGTATAAACTTGTGTAAGTTTCCAAAATTTTAACACTTCAACAAAAAAAAATCCAAAATATTGTGTAAATTTTCAAATAAATGACCTTTCAAAATTGAAATGAAGAAGATGAATACGTAAACATTTCTATAAAAACGTTAAAATCATTCATATACTTTTTGTTGCGTCAAGTGGACAAAGCAAAACTTCGCAGATATTAGAGTTCTTTTTAAGTGGGCAGAGTAATGGAACGAGACAGAATAATGGAACGAGACAGAATAATGGAAGGTCTAGAAACGAGAGGTAATAACAGGGGTCTAGAAAACAACTACAATAAAGTCTGAAAATTTAACAATGGAAGTCTAAAAGCAATGTGGTTGGAGAGACTGAAAGGTAAATTTGAGCGCTTTTTTTTTAAAGCTCATTACTTCAATTATGGCTGTGTAGAGTATCTAGTATGATGAAAACATGCAGCTTACATATATCATACCCATCAAAGAATGACCCAGATTCTGTTCTTGTTCGTTTTAAAGATATTCTATCTCTTGATCTGAACAACATCTAACATCGCCGGCTATCAGTTTCTACATCAAGTGATTTTAAAAGTGATTTTGAGATTTTCTCTCTATATGGTGAAAGCTTTTGTATTTGATATTAGTCTATGTCTTCCTTGTCTAGGTTTTTGCAGCTTCATTCGTTTTCATCGAATCTGAAAAAATCTGTTGATCATCTTTTCTTTAACACTTATTTCTACGCGAAGCTCACTGACCTGTACGAGGTAATCCTTTCAAAATAATTCTTTGCTGACATTCATGTGATTCATGTGATTCACATGACTTATGTCCACTATTTTTTGTCTTTTCGTTTTGGCAAAATAGGAAAAAAACACGGGTGTAACACGTTTTGACAAGTTGAGGCAGTGGTAGAAGAACATTGATTTTTTCAGTAACACTTATGTTTTTATACCAATACAGAAAGAGTAAGATATGTTTCAGAGTCTCAGAAATCCATGCCTTTGAAACTAATAAACGACACTTCGGTGCCTTTTATGCGAGGCAAGTCGAGGACGGTTTTGTAAAAGAAATTGCAAAACCTCGATTTGCCTTATCTGCCCAGCGCATGTAGATATCAGAATGCTCCGGAAAATCGTATACCACAACAATCACAGCATGTTTCAATAGAAGTGTCAAAAAAACAAAAACATAAATGAATAGATGAATATATCAAAAAGAAAAACATAAGAGAGAGATTGAATTAAAGCAATTTACCTTGATCATGCTTTTGCACAATATGATTGCATTTTTGGCAACACACTCACATTGTCCATGTTCTCGTTGTCATTCACAATGATGACCCTGGTAATTAAAATTAAGAAAGCAAAAAAAAATCCAAAATTCGTCGAATGTATTTAGAATATTTTTGTATGTTTCAAAAACTATCGATGGTCTTTAGGATTTTAAGAGTGGAAGATATTTGTTTATATTATCGACATCTACCCACTCGAGAAGAAGCGACGAATTTAGATTTGTACTAGTGGTTCAATCAAAAGAAAAAGACATAGTTTGCATATCTTGGTACTAAAGAAGCACATCAATATTTCTAACATTTTAAAGAAGAAATCGAGAGTACTCAATGTTGCACCATTCCATTCACGTGAAACACAAACTTCTAAATGTTCTTCGACCATTTATTTTCTTTTACAGTCATAGGAAATTGGTTTTGAATTGAAAGAATAATTTTGAAATTTGTCAATATAAGTAAATGAAGAAATCAAAGCGATGCAAACTCTAGCAAATAGAAGAATGACATTCAGATAATGTTTTAAATTTGAAAATAACATCAGAATTTATGTTTTACAATTTTGATGTTTGTAAATTCAAGATATCTTTTACAAAAAACAATAACTCAATAATCTCAAGAATTTGTTGACAAAGAAATAATCTTTATAATGTGACAATTGCTTTCTGGTTATATGAACCTAATTTAAAGTAAATATATCAAATTCTTACCATGTTTCTTGTGGTTCATAAATATATATGCATGTATATATACATATTCGAATATAGTTTAC